AATTCTATTTGTTGAAAAATTCGAAGCGAGACCAATATCTTGCACATTTTGATCGCTCGCTAAACTCTAGTTTGTTTACACGCTCTGTTAATTGGTTTTTCTCTTCTCCATTAAAATGGTTTCTTTTGAATTTCTCGCACTCGTACAAAAGCAAAAGTTCCTTGTTATTGTTGTTGTTTTTTTAATTCCCGTCTCGTTTCGTTCGTTTCCCATCCAACCCTTTCTGCTTACCCCCTCTCACTGGCGGTTTTCTGGTCGTTCTCTCCATCATCGTATATTCGATTCAAGTGTTTGTGTGTCGCTGTTTCATATTATCAATCCTATCCGTTTTTTCATCGCACTTCTCCCAATTTATTATTGTCGCATCTATTTCAGTCGTTTTTCCCTTTCTCTTTCTCTCTCTCTCTCTTTCTCTCGAAATCATTTTCTCGTTGAATTACAAACAGATGAGGAGACAAAAAATGTCGAAAAGATTTATGGGCATCGCGGCGAGACCATCGAAAAATTTTCGATGAAAATCACTGTATCGTCGCCAATTTTTGCCAAAATTTCAAAGAAGAACAGGAGCACCTGCCCTCGAAACGAAAAATGTTGAAATTGAGAAAATTTTCAATTAAGCTTCAAATTTTCTGGACGATATATGGAATTCAATAATTGAATTTGCATGTTTTTTTTGTTCGTTTGTTTAGCGCGGATCGACGATTGGGATTAATCAAGAACATTATTTGGAACAACGAACCTGTTATGAAATCACAATGAGTCACTGCCGTCTGTTTTTTGTTCGCTTATAATGTGTTTCATTCAAGTGGTGGGCGAGAAGAGAGAAAATTCTGAAGTTTCAATATTGTTTCGCCTCCCAATCGTACACCGTGCGTCGCCAAATTGATAATCACTCTTCTCTTTTCTTCTTCTTCTTCTTTTTTTTTCATCGCCTTCGTACCGTTATACCAAAATTGCTTCATCATCGTCATCGTCTTCTTTTTTGTTATTGCCTACCAAAAATAAACCAGATGACTAATAATTTGATTGTTTGGTGTAAATGTTGCGTTTTATGCGGAAAACTCGAGCAATAAGCCGATTACTATAGGGACACAAAAATTGATAATGACGCCAGCTAATTGGATTTTTCCGTATTTTGGGTAGAGTTTGAAATGAAGCGGCTTAGTTTGATAGCGAGGAGAAGAAAAAATCGTGGCGTCGTAAATCTACACGAGAGACGCCTTGACTATAAGTGAGTCACTAGAAATAGGCGGGTTCGTTTTGCCATCCATAATTCATTATCAGTAGTAATTTATTAATGACTGATGAATATTCGTATCTAATATTTGCACCGATTATCTCATAATTTGAAGGTACAAACCAGAATTCCAATTAAAATCGTTGATTTTTCCTTTCTTTCTTTTTTTTTTGCCCTCAAGATCACCTTCTTTTCAGGTTCAAATGACCATGAAAAAAAACCTTCACTTTCATTTTTTTTTCTCGGAAGTAAACATTTTGTGGTTTCCGATAGATTTTTCTCGAATCTCTCAGGTATTATTTCCAAATCATTGAGCAATTCGCCTGATTTAATAAGTATATACATTTTTTGCTCTTCCTGACGGCAATTTTTTTCATTTATTATTGCTGTCTATACACGTTGAAGCTGCAATTTTGACACATTTGAAAGTGTCTGGTTGTAGATTTACGAAAATGCGCCTTTAAAATTGACTACGCAAATAGATGAAATCTGAATGATTGTTGTGCAAACTTTAATCAAGATAAATAATTTTGTTGAAGCAGAAAATTGAGTTTTTTGAAAATTTCGAAAAAAAAGCGAAAAATGAAATCGCGCCCAATTTTATTTGTCAAACAACGACCCTAAAAAGTTGGAAAATTTATTACGATATTTGTCATTGCTAAAGGTGTGTGTTCCAATGTTCTTCAAGCGCTTTAATGCACCTAATCCGCACTTGAACGAATTTCTGCTCGCTCGTTTGAACAGACGCGAATTAATGGAAGAACCCTTTAGACGATTCAATTTCGAATTTCAAAAAAAAACAATCCAACAGAAGGTGAAACGAACGAACTTTGAAGCCTTATATGTAATATGGAAAAAGAGAGAAATAGGCGAGAGATAGAGAGGGAAAAAGATAATCGTGGATTGTTGCGACGAAACCCGAATACATTTTAAATGCTCAATACCCGAATTCGAGCATTATTATGTGCTCCTCCAATTTGTGTGCTGCTCTTCGCACTTTTTTCTTCTTTTTTCTCTTTTTTCCTCTCGCCGGAATGATTTCTTTCGGCCTAGTAAAACAAATATTCATGCGGGAGGGTTTAAACGTATAATTATGTGCCCTATTTGGAATCGCCGTCGGCGTTTTTTTTTTCTACTCCCAAAAGTATTGTTTTTGATTAGCTCTTCTCCTAATCTTTTTTTCTTCGTCGTCGTTGGAGAAAAACGAAAAACTGACGGGCTTCGTGCGATCGTTCGAAACATGTGTTTTGCGTTTTTACACAGTGTTTTTTTTTCGTCCCCGTAAAACCTCAAAATTCGGTCAGAATTTCAATGGAAATTGTCAAGTTGTAATCAATAATTTGACCGATTTTTCAGAGGCCTTCTATATTTGGCTCAATTCGATGCCGATTTCTTTTGTTCTGTTCGAATTTGAGAAACGTGGCTTTTTTTTCGAGCCGATCCGCCGCTTTTGATACTAATCAAACAGAGATCATTAGTTTAATTATTTTTATCGTCTTTTTGAACTCTTCTATGTTTTTTTTTTCGTCTTAAATTTTGCGATGTTCACCCATTATTCATTTGGTTTATTGTATGAACGAATGGCGGAATGACGAATTTGCATAGAAACTCTGAGTCGGCGCCGCCCATTTTCTCCAACCACCGACCGACTCCTCTTCGAAATTGAGTCGTCGTGTTCGTCGTTTTCTCGACGAGATTCGACTAGACTCTTTTATGGAATGTCTGCGAACACGCTGACGAAACATCACGTACTTTCAAATTCAATATTTTCGCAAGGTTCATTCATATTTCAACAATTTTAAATTGTGTTGCTTCATTTTCTTCTTTTCCAGAAACAAACCATCCGTTTCCTAGTTTTGTTGATCTCAAGCTTCTACTCAAGACCATTTCAAAGGTGCATACCTGCGGTCTTTGCCAAAGTGCTAGAATTCAGTTTCATTTTTTTCTGAAACCCAGAAGTAATTATCAAAATTTTAGGAAAACCTCTCAAAATTCGTTTTTTTTTTCATTCCATTTAAAATGATTATCGGTTGTTGATATTTTGCCGGATCACCTTAGCAACATCGTGTCGCGCAGGTGCGCCTTAAGGTCATTTTTCTTTTTTTGTTCGTGCGTTCTTTCTCTTTATTGGATTTTCCATCAAAATCTGTGTGGGAACGATTCATTTTTGTGTTGACGCATCATTGAACTATGTAAATAGTTAAAGGCGCACATTATAAGAGGCGGTCAAAAAAAAAGTGGGCAGGCTCTCGAGTGCGTGGGGTCGCTTTTTATGAGATTTATTAAAAAATGTCGCCTAAACCCGTATTAAATGCGTCATTAAAAACTTGTAAAACGCGCTCATAAAAAAATTTTATGGTTGTGGATTTACGCAGGCTGGAACGAACGACACTCCGCTTTTACGTGTTCACGCAACGCGTATGTCCTCGTTTTATCGTACATCAATTCTCGCGTGATAGAAATTCAAAAATGAGCGCGTCCTCGCCTCATTCCAACTCGTCCCATTTTCTATTCAACTTGTCTTTGCTGTCGCTTGTTTCGAATGAGCAATCGGTAACAACGCTGTGTCGCCGCCGGCTGGTCTCGCAACGATTCCCAATTTTGCAGCATGCTTTTGTAACAACAAAGTAATAGCAATCATCAAACAAGCTTCTCACTTCAAATATTATCAAACAAATTGTCGTTATTTGGCAAATTATGATTATAAATGGGTAGGAGATTTTGATAATTGTTTTGTTTGAGCCAACAAAACAATAAATCTATAGAATCAAATCATATGCACGGAGTATTTCACGACTTCTTCAGCGATTCGCCAAATATGTCACGTCTCTATTCTCAGGTAATCAGGTGCAAAATATTCGTTTTTTTTTTGGAATTTTTTTTGGTTGGAGTACGATGATTCAGCGAAAGTTGAAGTCATACCATAGAAATTGAAATTGTTTTGTTCCGCTGATTCATGCGCCTTTAAATATTGTTGTAATGAGTTTGGAGCACTATTTCGGTCGACCGCATTTTATTAGGATAATACGCAGCACAACAACGACAACAGCAACAACTACCCGTTTACTACTAATTTGCTCTGCTCGCCTGCGCTTCTCACATGCCCTTCTATGGTCCGTAGAAATTGTCAGAAGGGCACGAAAAAAGAGCGGTGATTTAAAGTTGGTCATAACAGCGACTTCTCCGAGATACGAGATTTATTAGCAGAAAAAGAAAACGAAGAAGAAGGGGGAATGAGTAAACCACCGCTTTTTTTTGGGTTTCTTCTCTCATTGTCGGTTATCTTTGGCAAAAGGCGTTGCCAAAAATGATAATGGTGAAATCGATGATTTTTCATTGATTAAAAAATCCAATCGCGAAAATTGGAGCGTCGATACTAAATTGAAGACGAAATTGCGGCCCAATTTTTTTGTTTTGAGACTTTTCTCAATTTCCGGTCAATTTTGGGACGGCCGTGTTTGCACACTTTCAGCCCTATGTATTTATATAAATACTGTAGCTTGTTTGTTGGTTTACCGCTTTTTATAACCAATTGATGGGATGCGACTGAATCATATTGACATTCAATTCATCTTTCCCTATTTTTTTTGGTCTCAAGTTCCCAGTTGACTAAGCTTGTGTTATCAGTGTTGTTGCCTACCTCCCCTCCCGCCTACATTTCCATTCAGCCCTTTTAAAGGAAACTTGTCGTAAAAATATATTTGCCGTCGTTTCTTGCACTTTTCTCATAACAATTTGCGACTTACTTGCAGGCCCAGTGGTAATGAACTGCGAGGTGAAGCATGCGCTGCACTGCGCCGTCTTGCTCACCTGGATCGGATGCTTCGCCTATTTTTGCGGTGTGTTCTCGGAGCCAGCCGAAGGCACCGTGCCCGATAGCCCATTTGAAAGGTTGGCGGATTTTTCGAAAATCATTTCGTTTTTTTTTTTTTGGAAAACAAAATATGACGAGTTTTTCACGAAAAAAAAAACATTATTTTTGTCAAAATTCATTTCAAAATAAAATTGTTCACAACACTCTTCTTTCGAATTGCATCATTTTAAATGGAAAACATTTTTTGGAAAAAAATTGAAAGAAACCCGCCAATTAAATTGATCAATGGCCCTTTGTGGGTGCAAAAAAAAACAAACTTTGTCCTTTTTTTTAAACTCGCATTATCAACAAAAGTTTGGTCGATAATGTGTCGGGGTGTTAAATTTGAACTTGACAAATATGAAAGTGAAATGATCCCCTGATCGTTTCAGGTACGGTGTATTATGGGCCGGATTTCTTTATCTTCTCCGATTCACCGCCCTCCTCGTTTTGCCACAATGCCTATGCAATCTCTTCGGGCTGCTACTGTTCAACGCATTTCGGGAAAATGTGAGAAATTTGTTTCGAACGTTTTAAAATCGACATTTACTTGCTTTAAAAAAAAACCTCTTAAACATTAATAATTGCTATAATCATAATAATAATAATAAGTAATAATAGAAAGTGTGGCGTTATTGCAGGTACCATTGAAAGCGGCGCCCCTTTTATCACCATTTGTTTGCTTTCGTGTCGTCACCAAGGGAAATTTTCCGCTTCTCGTTAAGGTATGACGCCTTTCTGGATGTTTTTTTTTGTGTTCTTTATTCCATGAAAATTGATTTGAATGCCAAGATTCCTTTAAAAATGTCTTATTTGACACCTCGGTAATTTTTTTTTGAAAATTGGGTGGACCGTTAAACGAAAATATTCGAATTGGCGCAATGTGAACAATTTAAGTTCAATTTTGTTCTTTTGGGCATTTTATTAATTGAAAAAACCATTTGAAATTTAATAAAATTTATATAACAAATTTTTAAATATATAATGAAGAATAGAATGCCCAAAATTGGCTCGAACGGTGTTCGCAGTAAGAACAGATTCAATAAATTTGCAATGAGAAGTTCACGTTGAACTCGATGGACGAATCGCTGATCGAATTCTCATTTTCCGTCGTTATCTTCGATGCATAAATGTGCCAGCTTTACAAAAATGTGTCGCGATAATTTTGTAATCGATGCCATTGACGAAATTTTTGATGAGTTTTTTTTTTGGAGTTTTGGCCGTGCTTACCTTCAGTCGACTGATAATGACTCATGAATCATTTCGATGGAATGTTTAGTCGAGTTTTGTAGGAGAACATTGATATCAACATGAAGACGTGCTTCGACGCTGGAATGGAAAAATTCATTTTTGAAGTCGTCACCGACAAAGCGATCAATTTGCCGCAGAATTCGAGGGTTCGAGAAGTTGTTGTGCCGACATCATATAGGTTGGGTTTTCTCGTTTTTGGCGGCCCAAAAAAAATTGAAAAGCGATTTCTTCAGAACCAAAAGCGGTGCGAAGTTCAAGGCTCGCGCTCTTCAATATTGTCTCGAAGACGATGTCAACATTCTGCAGCCGACCGATTGGATTGTTCATCTTGATGAAGAGACGTTACTAACGACTAATGCTGTATGTTTCTGATATATATATTTTTTACACCTGAAATTTGGTTTTTTTTTGTAGATTTGCGGAATTCTAAACTTTTGCGAGGATGGAAAACATCAATTTGGACAAGGTGTCATCACGTATGCGAGCGGTGAAATTGTCAACTGGTTGACGACGCTGAGTGATTCGTTCAGGTATTATTTTCTTCTGATGTTGGCTGGAATCATTGGATTTACTATATTCGAGATTCTTAAAGTTTTCGAAATGTCAAATTTGTGAACTTTTGAAAAAAATGGTTTTTTTTTTTCGCAGAATTGCCGAATTATGTCGAATTCGAAAGGCAATATCCAAAATAGAAACCGAAATTTCAGTTTTGGAATTTTTAAAACGTATTTTGCTTACCATACATGCCCAATGTGCTGAAAAATTGTTTTTTTTTTGCTTTTTAATTTTTGAGTATAATTTTTCATTCTAGAGTTGCCGATGATATGGGAAAACTTCGATTCCAGTTCAAACTGTTCCACAAACCATTGTTCGGCTGGAAAGGCTCGTATGTTGTGACACAAGTGGCAGCCGAGCGTGTTGTCTCCTACGATCATGGAATGGAGGGATCGATTGCCGAAGACTGCTTCTTCTCGATGGTGGCGATGAAGCATGGATACTCGTTCGACTTCATCGAAGGCGAAATGCACGAGAAGAGCCCGTTCACGATGTGGGACTTTTTGCAACAGCGCAAACGATGGCTGCAGGGAATTCTGTTGACGGTGCACTCGCCGAAAATCTCGATATTCCATAAAGCGCTTCTCGCGTTGTCGTTGTACGCATGGGCGACGATGCCGTTGACGACATTACAAGTAAGTGTTCGCAAATTGTGTCAGAAATGAAAAAAACGAAAAATTGTGTATTTGTGGGGTTGGTAAGTGGTGAGAAATTCAAAACCGCAAAAAAAGTCAGTGTAGATCATCAAATTTGGAATATTTCGCGTTGGCTGTAAATATTTAATGGGCGTACGAAGTATGAAACTGTTCGATTTGTCTTTTGCTAATCTGATTACTCAAAACCAATCGGATCCGACAAAATTCGGCTCGAGAATCAACCCAATCTGATTGGTAATTCTACGGATAAAGTTGTTAAATTGGTAATTTGTCGGATCCGATTCGAATTGAAAAAATTAAAGCATACCGAATTCGAATAATAACCAATCGGGTCCGACGATTTTATGTACAATTTTATATGTAGCATTACCAATCGGATCGGATTGATTCCGGAGCGGAATTTTGTCGGATTCGATTGGTTTTGAGTTACCAGATTACGAAAAAATCTGTTGAAACCGAGACTTCGATTTTCAGGTGTTCCTGTGCCCAATGTTCCCACTTCCCAGGTGTCTACCATTCGATTTTCTGCTTTCATTCGTCGGTGCTGTCAACCTTTACATGTATATTTATGGTGTCATCAAATCATTTTCGCATAAATATAGGTTTGTTCGATAATCGATTCGAATTTGTCGAAATCCGTCATCGTTTTTTTTTTTTGTTTCAGGAACAGTGTCTTACGATTGGCGATGTATCTCGCCGGCGCCCTGATGACCATTCCGTTCAACATTCTTATTGAGAATGCCGCGGTTCTTGTCGGCATGTTTGGACGAAAAGATCAGTTCTACATTGTCAATAAGGATGTGCAGACAGTTTAGAAAAAAAAATAACGGTAGGAGACGCGCTTTTTCTTTTGTTTCTGAAAAATCACATTCACCAGCCGGCACCAGCCGGCATTGAATGCAAAAAATTTAGATTGTGACCATTTTTGATGGAAAATTTTGGAAATATGTGAAGCTGACTTCAATTTTGAAAATCAATATTTATCTAACAGCTAACAAAAGCTGGTACGGCCCCATGCCGGAGTAATCCGATTTTTTTGATTTTCTAACCACAAACAATTTTAAATGGAAATAATCAATTTTTGAGTCTTTTAGAAGACTTTAAAAACCAAAAAAAGGAGCTAAAATTACTATCAGGATTTTTATTTAAGATTCCGGAAATTGGAATTTTCGGTTTAATAATAATAATTTATAAATCAAGAAAACAAAATGAATTTGATTTGGTTGAGCATTCTGTTTTTTTTTTCAGGTGTAAAACGCGATTGCTCAATTCGGACTGCGAAGCCGTCGAACTCAATCAAAAAGCTCTCCCATTCTCCTTTCAACTGCTGCCAAAATGAAATCACTTAATACATCGTTTTAATCGAACAAAAGAGCACACTACTACTAATTAATTCTTGCCAATTGATGCTTTTGTTTTTTTTTAGCTTAATGCGTATCCCCATACAAATTGCTCAAATAACATTCGCGTTGTGATAATGTAGGCGATTTTTTTTGTTTTTTTTTTTTCAATTGTTTCCTTTTTTGCTTATTCATTTTATATATGCCGAGTGATATCCCATTCTATTTCTTCGTCTTCTAATTTTTCGATGGACCATTGATCTCGGTTTTTGCATCCCGTAGGTGTCGAGAACTTACAGTAACCAGTTACTGTTTGCTTCATCCTATCCACGCCACACCCCGTTGTTATTATAGCCTTTTCATTCGACCAGCTCGATGATCTCGTGTATATGAGTCTACGTGTTTCTTTTTTCCATTTGGAGTTTCTAGAAAATGAATTTTTTTTAATCGAAAATTTTTGAAGAAGCGATAGCGTATTAAAAAAAAGTGTTGATATCTAAAAAATTTTCGGGACCCGCGAGACATTCCGAGAAAGTTTACACACACACAAATAATTGAATCACTCATCTGAAAATTTAGATATGAATATGCGACAAGTCAGAATGAAAACGAAAATAAGAAAAAAAAAAACAAATATATTTTCGAAAAGTGTGCATTTGCGCGCGCGGTGCATGCGGACTTTTTCCTCGGGATCCCACTAATCGCAGGAAATCGTAATATTTTTTTTAATTTTTCCGTAGAAAAGTGTTTTAATGAAAAATACCGAGTGTGTGAAGAATTATTTCATGATCATTACGAAAATCCAAAAAAATCTATGCGTCGTTAGTTTTCGATTTATAAATATTCTTTTAAAATGAATTCTTAACTTTTTTCGAAATGCACATATATGTACATCGTATAAGATTTAATATTGAGATGAATCAAATTTATAAGAAAACTTATTTATTAAAAATTTAAACTGTAGAAATTTATTTAATAATTTGAAAATAATTAGCATAAATGAAATAAAAAATGCAAAGTAAAAAAATATCAGACGAGCAATTCCTGTGATTTTGTGTGAATTTGAACAAATGCTCATAGTAGTTGTCACTTATTGATGTGTTCTGAAAAAAAGAAAATCACAATCACGTTATTCGAACAAATTGATTTACATTTTTTTCAAAAGATTATTCGCATTTTTGATTGTTCATTTCGGAATCACTCATGATTGAATATTCTTCAGATTCTGAATATTCTTCATTTAACTTCAATGGTTCAATTTTCTGCAAAAAAAATTATTGATTTTCAATAGAAAATTGTTACCTTTGTAACCGAATCAATATTCTCTTTATCGCTTTCATCGAACTCGACGTCAGATGACTCGTCGGAGACTTCATCAATCACCGAGTCATCATCCGACGAAATGAATCCGGCGTTCTTTTTATTCAACGCAATATCCACCATGAGTTGTCGGCGTCGAACGATCTTCTCCGACGCCGAGCAATCGTCAATCTTCTGCTCGAGATCCACGAACTTCTTGAGAAACTTCCAACACTTCTTTTCGGTCCAACGTTCGCTGCCCCTCACGAATTCGTACAGCTTCTTCGATAGATCCCTCATCAATCGCTTCTTTTCCGCATTCGATTCCTCTCGATGCACATTTTGAGCATAATATTGAGCGGTGTGGCTAATCTGGAATGTTAGCCGCCTCGGACCTTCGAGTGTCTCGCAAATCGCCTCGTAGCGTTTGTTGATCATTGCGTGATAGTTTGCCATTATTCTGCAACAGAAATAATCGGGAATTGAGAGCTAATTGGAAAATGAGTAGAGAATGAATGAATGCACACCAGACTGCCGTATTATGACCTGCCCACTTTTGTCGCCATTCGCACCATCGCTGATCCTTCGCACATTCAAATGAGCCAACTTTCCCGTTGTCACGTATTCTGGAATATTGCCAAAAATAATAAATGTTTTGGAGAACCCAATTTTCTAAATTTTGAATAGTCTTTCTTGGGATTTCCAGACATTTGATAATAGAAACTTTGCAGATTTAGAAAAAAATTCCGTTTGAACTCATTCGTTCTTCTCGAATCGATTTCCGTATAAAAATCTGTTTATAATCTCAATTCTAAATTTGTTAGAATCAATTATTTGAATAATTATTCATTTTTTGTAAATCCTTTTGTCGGCTTTTCTAGGTGTCCATCGCGGCAGTCAAAAAGACGATCGATAACCCAAAGGCATCGTACCATGTGGTGGGAAATGACACTACCAGAGTCAATTGGACCATTTTGTACATGAATGGATAACACTTAAAGGGTTGCTTATTTGGGCAATGAAATGGAAACATCGTTTGAAATTGGCCATAGTCGTTGAGTGGCTGGCCAAAAGAAAATGATGATCCGATGACTCGAAACAGATTAATTTACATTCGATTTAAATTGAAAAAGAAATTATTTTCGAATCCGATTGATTTTCATTTACCTGAGTTCGTCTTAACAATTTGCTTTTTTTTGATATTATGATCCTTTAGGAAAAATTGCCTTAAAAATACATACATATTGTCTAAAAATTAAAAAAATTGATGAATACAGATTTTTTGGAAAATTTCCACCTGCGCAAATTGTTAGTTGTCGAGATTTGTATGAAAAATGCAAAAGGGAGATGGGGCTAAAATTTTGAAGGTCCGTATAACTAGAAATTTACAGGGGTGACCTACATCATTCGATAGGCAATTTTTTCTAAAGGATCAGAATACGAAAAAAAAGCAAATTGTTGAGACGAACAAGAGAAAAAAAGACCTACAATCTTGTAAATATACGAGTTTTCCGTTTGAGACCGATTTAAATAATCAAACTAAAACGTTTCTTAAAATTTTGAATTAAAACGTGCAAATTGAAAAAAATGTAAAATTTCAAATAAATGGGTCAAATATATGTAGAAATTAAGCTGGTGATAAATATTGAAAATATCAAAAATTGATATTCCGATTAAAATAAAACTATTTTTGACAAATTTATTCGAACTGGAAAATTCGATAAATTAATGGGACTCATTTTTTTTCAGCATCTGAAGACTTGAAGCTCACCCAATCATAATAATTTCATTTGATGAGATTTATCAATAAAAAATAATGCATTTTCATATCTATTTTCCATTCATTTATTTATCGGCGTCTTCCATTTCTTTTTCAAGCATTTTCCTCGCGATCGTTTTTCTCGAATGCGGTCCCAAACGGATCCGTCGAATATTGTGTCGATAGCCGAACATTTCCATTTTGGTGAGCTCATCTTGCTCTCGAATGAAGCAATAGTTGATGCATGTGCACGTCGCGATCAGAACGAACGCCATGAAGATGCCGAAGCAGATCGCGCAACCCCAAAGATCCCAATTGTTGAATTCCTGTTTGGGCATGTCTGAAAAAAAAATAACAACAAAATTGATTTTTTTAGTTGATAAGGTTTTTTTCGAAAAAAGAAGCCACTAGCTATATCCATCCAATTTTAAATATATTGAAGTTTTGTTTTTTTTTATTTCAATATTTTTCAGAACACGTTTTTCAATAATTTTCAGAAGTCCAGTTAAAATTAAAGAAATCATGGCTTTTTATTGGTGTGTAAGAGCAAAATTCTTGCTGGAAAAAATTGAAAAACCCCAAAAATTGATATTATTTTTGACGAGAACAGGCTCAAAATGAAAAGCAGAATATCAATAATTGGACAAGAATTTTTGCCCGATATCCGGTAAAACGTTTAAAGTTCAAAAATTCGCAGCTGGATCATTCATAAATCAACGCGCCGTGTTTGATTTGACCTTGATAGGTCAAAAAGCGCCGCCCTTTTCTCGTCGATTCGCTAATTTGAACGATAAATCGAAATTCTTTTTCTTAAAAAAAACTATTGAATTATCATTGTAATTCGAAAAAAATAATATAATAAAGTTTGGAAAAATTTTGAGTTTCATTAATTTAACATTTCTATTGCTACTTTCTTGGGTCTCGTTTGGAAAAAAGTTCTAACAATTGCTCATACGATTTTCCCGCTTTTTAATCTTCATTATATGAAAAAGGATATTTTCTAAAAATTGATTTTAAGTACTTTAGTTGCAAACAAAACTTTCAAATGACAGAGTACAATTGCAGCGCGCGAAACTCAAATTTCTGAAATCCGTCTTTTTTTCTTCTCAAAAATTTCTTTAAAAGGCCTCAAAACATTTGAAATGATACAAAATAACAATATTTAATCAAGCGGAAAATTTGTTTTAAATATTTGATTTTTTAAAACCACTCTTTTTTTTTCTAACTAATAAATTATTTCCAAAATTGGTAGTCCACGACATATTCTCATAATGGTATGGATCAAATGAAAACACTTTAATGGAGATCTTTGAAGAGATTTGAAAGGAAAGTCACCAGGATTACCAAAAAAAACATTTTATTGATTTATTTAATTCTTTCCCGTTCCCTGAAACAGTCCACAGATAAGAATAAATATAGATTTTAAAGATTCAATTCAAAGATGATTTAAAAAGGAAAAGTAGACAACATTCGAAAAATAAAGAAAAACGTGTCATTCAGGAATGAAATTTTTTCCTGAATCGGCCCTTGAAATATTAAAACAAAATGGCAACTTTAAAATTGCAAAATAACACAAAATGAGGGTCCCCAAAATGTCAGTGAAAGCTCCGCCCATTTTCGGCGCAACGCCTTCATATTTGAGCGGTCAATTGAATCGATCAAAACCGCCGATCGGTCATCGATTCTGTTGTTCAAAATGAGTTTATTAAATTAATTTTTATCTATATAAACAATCTGGAATATTTTCGAAACACTGCATTTTTTCGCAACGCTTCTTCATAGTGCCGTAGTTGGAGCGAATAGGGACCCGTTCGCAAATCATTCTTGAATAATCCTTCAGGTTCCTGAAATGAGAATAAGAGACACGTGGTTGAGAATCGAGCGAATCATATGCGTACCGAGAATTTCTGAAGAAGCGCGTTTGAAACGATCTCCAGAATCACCTCTTTGGCGAAATACGCCACAAAAACCTCTTCGCATTCGCCTTTTAACGGCGGCCGACCAATCCATTTCAATAGCAATTGAAGGTTCGACTCGCTAATTCGCCTAGAATTTGTCAACATAAAAGTGCAGATGGGCATTTTTTGAAATGTTTTGGAAGAAAATCAATCAAAAAATTTTTAGAACGTTTTCGAATTTCGTCAAATCGTTTCAGTCAGCTTCAAGAATGATTGGAACGTCATCTACATTCATTTTATCACAAAAAACCAAAATTTTCCTACTTTCTGGCGCTCGGATTCGGCATCACAACAGTGGTGGACGTCTTCTGAAACGAGACTCGTCGAGCTTCAGCGAATTTCGAATAATCATTCGAATCAATTTCCGCAATGAATTTCAGAAGCGCGTTTTGTCGAGATTTCTCAAGTTCATCATTAAAGTTCTACAAAATGTGCATTAAAGGAAAAAAAATTGTCGATCATTTTACAGCAAATTGTTCAAAATCGAAGTGGATCACTTCAAATGCATGTTTTGTCTCTATATACAACGAATCTTCAGGCGGTGGCGATTTTTCTTTCTTTCTGAACATTTCGAAAATGAAAAAAGGGAAAGCCCGTTGAGAAATCAAACCCCTTTCGTTTCAAATCATCAGCGGAGACCGCAATTCCCTCAATCTCTTCATTTTCCTGCAATCAAATTCATAAAAACTAGTAGTCAATTTTGTTGAATGGTACCAAGTCGTCGTCACTGTCATCGACATCTGAATTCGCGCCGCAAGTCGACGACAACATCTTCGATTTGGTGAATTTCAAGGCTTCCGAGCGTTTCTGGAAAAAGATCATCGAACATTCTTGCAAAAACGCTTACAATTAAATAGGCAATGAACCTGGATATCAAGCCTTTCTGATTTTGAAGCACAAAAATCATGTCGGCGAGCTCAATCGACGCTTTTTTGCTCTTCAATCTGCAAATTTGAAAAAAATTCACAAATATGAAAACATTTTTGAATCACCTTTCTTTATTTATTTCAACACTATCATTTAGTAAGCCGATCAATTCATTTTTGAGGATATCGATGACCTGATCTTCGTTTTCTGGTAGTGGGTTCTTAAAAATTAAGCAAATTATTACAATTTTATCAAAATAATATAAAATTTAGCAATTATTTTGGCAGTAAAATGAAATTGGCGCGAAATTTCATTTTATTAATAAAAAAATAGTAAAATAATTTAGTTAGAGCAGAAGAAAATGAATTTCGAGCAAAAACTATTTTTAAGTCAAAAAATGAGCGATCCGAATACAATTTCTGAACTAGATTTTCGATGTTATCTAATATTTGTTTATTATTGACGTGATAGAATCATTTTATGTTTTTTTTTAAGACAAAGTGCGCGTTTTTGTTGATTTTGAATGCAGAAATTAATCAAATATTTTTGTTTTCTTTCGATTTTATTACAATTTTTATTGAATATCGAATATTACCAGAGAATCTCCCATTGTGTGCATAATTGAGCGAACAATTTGTCTAATATGCGGCTCAGTGTTATTCGATATTTTTACTGAAATTTTTTCATTTTTTCTTTTCAATTTCTTCGGTTAAACCCACTTACATTTCATTGCGTAATCATTTGTTGCACCGGATTCTCCATCCTGAACAAATTTCCGTTTTCTGCCCATTCCTGAAACAAAAACATTTTGAAATAATTGAAAAGTGAAAACGCGGACTAGAATTTCGCGGCCATTGTGTAAAATTCGAATAGGAGCGGTAATTTCGGAATAAATGGTAAATTTCCCTACGTAAAAGCGCAATTTAGTGGAAAAATATCATTACAAAGTCTGTAAATTTGCGTAAATTGTTCGCACACCTTTTGCTTACAGTAACGTTATGTGAAATTTCAAACCTAAAAAATTAAACTCCAAGTTCAAACGATCAGTAACAACTTTTTTACAGTAATAAAACCAGAACACTAGTAGACACTTGTAAAATATAAATTGCTTTTCACTAGACGTATAACTGTTCGACAGGAACAACGAACTTGCGCGCAAGAACCTTGAAAATAATGATTTCGCATTCTATTAGGAGAGGGCATTAATCGTTCCCTCAAATATTTTGTATTTTTTTGCTTTTAAAGTTTGCATGACATTCCTCCATTCACATCACCCATATCATCATCCCCCGTTTTTTTTAACTAAATCGTATAGTAATAATACAATAATACAATGATGAAGCAACCTATAAGTATGCGCAAAAGAAAAAACTGGTATAAACAAACATATTACAGCCGGAAATCACTAGTAAACTGTTTACAAAGTGTTCATATTGTAATAACAATCTCAAAAAAGTTTGATCTCGGGCGGGCTCGAACCGCCGGCCTTCTGTGTGTTAGACAGATGTGATAACCACTACACCACGAGATCGCTGAGCGACGACTTTGGGGTAGCGTATATGTAAGTGCGCGCCTCACTCGCCAGCTAGTTGAGTCTGTTATACGAAATTGCGGCGCAATGATGAGAAAAACGAGACCCCCGAGCCACACCCTATGACGTACTAAGAGGCTCGGAGTCTTGTCTGAATTCCTGGATCCATTTTGACAACTCTGGCGTGTTGCATAACCGTTTCATTTTACACCGATTCATGTCATCGCCATTCGATTCCGTTCAAATTACCAGTCGGCACGCAATACCGAGAAGAAGTAGAAAAGTGTTAGTTGGAAAACCGAACGCGAAAACCGGATCGAGATCGAAGCAGAAGGAGAAGACGATCATATAAAAAAAGAGAAAAGCCATACACTGTTGGTGACCTTCGAGATTCGACCAATTGGCAGTTTGATCGCTTCAAAATATGCATAAGGGTCATATGATTTAGGCGAATATTGTTTTTTCGTCGCACCCCATTTACAATTTGGAATTTTTATGCCTGAGAGAAATTTTTCTGAAAAAAAAATCAACAATACCAGCAATTTTGTTTGTGCGAACGTTTATGTTCTTGGCCTTCGACATGATTAAGAGTTTCGGTATTGTTCAACGAGGCACTCAAGGACACAATCATCGTCTTTTTTCTATAAAAAGAACATAAATGGTGAAAATTTGAAAATTTTCTGGTTTTTGGAAAATTCACGCGCTGTGCATTTAAAATCGCGTCCAACACCATCATTTTGGAACGCGCCTATCGAGTCATTGATGGCTCAGTGGTTCCATGCGCCGTCTCGCGTCCAACATTTCGGGTTCGAGTCCAAGCCACGTTCAAACTATTTTTTGCTTTCCCTAATTTTCAGCGCAGATATATATATATATATACCTATAAACTAGTTCTGCCGTGCGGACTAAGTCGATAATTTATAGTTACCCGAAAAAAGTGGATTGAATATGCAGAAAGCAGAGTTGATTTCGTTACTCAACAGTATTTGATCTACATTCTCACAAGTCACATTGCGCTTTTTTTTCTATTTCAGCATGTTTGCCAAAATGTGATCCGCTAAATGAAGCTGTTTTATGAATGTGTTATTACACAAGCTTACAAGTGGCGATAGTGTATATGGGGGGTTCGGCGTGTCATATTCTCGAAGGCCAACCAAATTACTCGAATAGTTCTTCCTCATTTTCGAACTGGTTTCGTTGGTGGTGTCACCCATTCGATACCATACCAATTCGCATTGTACTTTTTGTTGCTTTTCAGTGTAATTGAAAGAATCGAAAGAAGATTCAGATGAGGAGAATAAGAAGAAAAAGGAGAAGCTGTTTGTTGAAAACTGTTTCATTTCGCAGATTCGTTCAAGCCGCCATCTGTAATTGAATGCGTGCACTCAAGCCGCGTCATCTTCGATACACCATTTCCACCGCGATTGATCAGTGCCGTTTCGTCCGAGTGGTTCCGTTGTATGACCGACGCGCGGCACCACCCGGGTTCGGCTCTGCTTTCTATCGGCAAAATAAATAATTTTGCGGCTAGGTAGCCAGCCCCGCATCATTCGCCTAGCAATGTGTTGTATATATTCAAGCGGATTCAACTTCTCCACACATGTCTCCTTCAGCTTCATCATCGTCTCCTTCCCCCCTCGCCAACCACCACCAAACCGGTGTATACCGTGCGCCTCTGCGCCTCGCCGCCTCGCGTTTTGTTTCGTGAGGTGTATCTACTTCATATCTACTCGCAAGTACTAATAGGCGGTGTGTTGAACGAATGAATAAAGCGTTGAATCTCAATATAGAGAGGCGGCCCATTGCACGAGAGATTTTTTGTATGTGTTTGTGTTGCTTGCTATCGTCTCGACGAAGGCCTTCGATTCTTGAATCGCATGCGATCACCGTCATCATCATCACATTCTGCTCTCGAGGTCGTCTCCGCCCCCCCCCCAACCCAATCATGACCCGCCCCCCTTGCCATCCGAATCTGTCTACATTTCACGTTTGTTCGCTTACATGTTGCTGCAATTCCTTTCAGATGTCGGGATATACATTTTCCTTTCAATTCTCTTTAAACGTCGCAATGATATCGCATTCACTCATTTTCTGTGTACTTGTTGATAGAGGGCGGCGAAACCCGCCAGCGTGTCCGCAGCACCATTAGCTCAAACCGATTGCAGGCCGCTGCCTCGATGACGTCGCTGGTCTACCTGGTGCCATTGGCGTTGTGCATCGATGCCTCGTTTTTGGCGTTCCACAACGGATCGTCGAAGATCTTCGAGATTCCGGGTCTCGAAGTGATGGCATCTGATAAGTATCCGCACTTCACCACCATCGAGACGGTTAGCCGAACAAAAGTAAGATGCCATTTCCTTTTTATTACTTTTTTTTCTCTCAAAACTATTATTTTGATGTGTTCTTCACCGATTGATTTGGCATTGATCATGTGTTCCGTGACGATCTGCGTCTCGCCGTCGTCATTTTCATTTTTTTTTTCGCGGATTTCACTTGTTGCGCAATCGCGCCGCCAATTTTCGACGATGAAACCATTAAAAAAAATGTAGCGCCGTTGAAAATTGCCGAAATTATTTGAATGATTGATGACCGTTTAAACGATTGTGACCGGAATGTTCGAGATTTGAAATTGTGAAAAAAAAAACACTTTTTAAAAATATTACAATTTGATTCGCTGGTTATCCGAAATACGTTGCCCGATTTTCCATTGTTTAAATCAAAATTTGAATCACCGCGCATTATTTAATTTATTCGAAATTTGCCCACTATATTTGGAATCCAGATATTGTACTAATTGCTATTTTTTGTTGGATGTTTGTTTCTTAATTTTTTTTTTCGGAAATCGAAAACAAAATCACTTTCAATGCCACTTCCTAATCTTAAAAAGGATTTTTTTGGTTTTAAGTCAAGGTCACCTTTTCAAGCTGAAATTTCCAATTTGAAATAGAAATAGGCTTATTTGGATAATCCCTTCTCTCGTTGAAGATTAAATCAAATTAGACGCAACAAATTGCGGAGGAAAGGAAGTGAAAGGGATTTTTGGTGCGTTCACTTTCACATATTTCCTTATCCAACTAGCACACGTGCCACGAATGTGTATGCACTCTGAACAATCCCGCACGTGCAGCAGCGTGGCGCAGTGGAAGCGTGCTGGGCCCATAACCCAGAGGTCGGTGGATCGAAACCACTCGCTGCTAACCGTAATCCTTTTTTGCCCGGTAATACGATTGTCAAATTTGCAGGTGCACCGCCATCGACGCGAGGTGATTGCGGGCCCGATTTATGACTGGAATTCGTACGAGATCCCGTTTCAGATATGGGGCGGCGATTGTAAGTTGCGCAACGTAAGCCGGCTTACTCGAGAAACTTTCGCCTCAAGGGCTTTTGATTCCAAACCGAAAAAAAAGTGAAAAGTACTTGCCTTTTGTTGTTATTAATTTTCTAGAGTGCCTTTGGTGAAAGTGGATCGGATGCTGACTTAAAAACGATTAATACTAATAACAATAATAAGCAAACCGTTTTGACCGCCAGCCAATCCGGATCAGTTTTACGGTTGAGTGTGCGCGAATGATTTTTTTTCATTTACATGACCATAAAACGAATGGTTGCGGCAAATTGTAGGGCAAAAACAAAGCAAAAACACAAAACAATAACAACAACAACAAAAATAAGTTGCAACAAAACAAAAAATTGCAGATAATTTTCAAAATTTGATTCGACGAGGAATTCGAATGTGGGAAGAGTCGACGTGTCTACGGTTTCGCGAAAATATGCAGGTAGGAAAATTCAAATTTTCGCGATTCCACCTTTTTTTTTTGAAAAACGTCTGCCTTGAATTAAATTTTTGTCTAAGTTGCAAAGGCGCTCTACTGATAACGAGGTCAAATTCATAAATTAAAAAATGATATTGTCGAAATCAAATGACTTGAGGAAATTTAAAAAATTATTGGCTGTTTGCCAATGCGTCTCGAGGCAACGAGACGTACGCGAGACTGCGTACATTGCATTATAGTGTACGCGCATTTAATATTCAGTCAGGGATCAATTTAAATCTACACTGATTTCGTGAATTTGATGGTCCCGCCTCCCTTCAGTCGTTTGACGCCGACAATATATCATGAAAAAATTTTGTCATTTTAAACGACCGATCGAATTTCAAAAAAATATTTGTCAGGTGTCTCGACGTAAATGAACGTCGACGTGTTTGCGTACTTTGCATTTTAGCATACGCGCATTTAATATTGAGCCAGTTTATGCATTTAGAAATGCATACTTTCACGCTGATTTTGTGAAATTGAATTTCTCCCATTGACAATAGCAAAATTTGATTTCGAAAATCGAGTTTGTTGTTTTAACGCAAAAAAAAATCGCTTATAAAATAGTTTCATTAAAAAAATATTGTTGAATAATTTTTTGATATGGAAATTATTTAGTATTTGATTAAACGTGATAATTTCATCTTGCTCGACCAAATATGGACAAACATCATGTCACGGCCGCGGCCGCGGCCGAGCTAAATCATATCGTGGCCGTGGCCGAGTATTCTCAAAAATTCGACCTCTTCGATTTTCACAATAAATTGGCGATTTTTGGAAGTGAGATAATTCCCAAAAAGTCATTTTGTTCCTAAAGAATATTAAGAGAACTATTTTTCATTGTCTTGAACGTTATTTTCCGTTGATTTCGATTTAATATTTCATTCTTCCAGAGTCGAGATGCAATTCGATATGTTCTCGAGAAAGGCGACAGTTGTTTTACCGAATATATTGGCAGAAATGGTGGACATCAGGATATTATAATTGGAAGCGAATGCGCTGAAGTAAGTGTCTGTGCTTTCTTTTTTCGAATTATGCTCAAAAATTATCAAATTTATGCTTTAAAAAAGAGCATCAACTAGATCTGACTCTTAAAATTCAAGTTATGCGTCTTAAAGTACGCTGTCGGGACTTACCAATTCATTAGGATAGGTTAAAGGCGCACACCGCGCACCGAGACCTCTTCTAAAATTATTTGCCAATTTTCGCGATCGCGCGACTTCGGCAATACTAATTTCAAATACAAATATAGTTTTCGTTCAAGAATATTGTAGTTGAGGACCCCTATTTTGGAATTATGCATCAGGTCCAATTATGGGCAATTACCATATTTTTTAAAATTGTGTTCAAAAAGTCACACTGATTTGTACATATTTTATTGAATCAAAATTACGTCTTACAAGGGAGGTCTTTTTGCTGTCCGTCTTAAAATGTTTTTATTTTTTTTTGCATAAAGATTCTTTAGAAATTTTCCAATCGAATGAGCTAGGGATCTACTTGCGCAAACTTCTAGTTATCGAGATATGGACCTTCAAAGGTTCGGCTATCTGCAAACCTTTTTGGCGTAATTTCTAATAGGTGATACAGTAACTATCACAGTGCCATTTTGCGTTTTTCTATTTAAATTTGTGATTTCAATCATATTAAAAGATCGTGTATAGAAAAAAATAATTTTAAAAAGTTCAAAAATTGTTAGACAGATGAAAATCGATCGATTGTGAAGAAAAAAGAAAAATAGACATGGCTTTAATTGAAAAATGATTGAAATCGCTTGATATTTCGATTTTAGAATCATATTCGATTGAAATCTACGTGTGCATTAGAACATTTTAATTATTATTTGATTTCGACTGAAAACGCAGATTTTTTGAAATTCGTGATAGCAAAAAATTCCAAAAAGTTCAAGAAAAGTCACTAATGGACCTATTCATGCAATGAAAAAAATTAAAAAAAAAAACCAATTTTTTTTTCATTTGAATTCCCTATGCACACACGTCAAAAATTACAAAAAATTGACGCGATATATCGTAATTCTCCGCTATTTATTTTTAAAGGCGCATGCGAAAAGTTGCGCGGGTCACGTCGCGAAGTCGGTACTGTATTTTTTTATTTTTCATTCTGTGTGCTATTTTTCCGTATTTTTCGAAAACTTTGAAGAGAAAATGAGTAACAGAATTAAGAACGAGTAAAAACATTTATTGTTGGTATAATTACTTCCTAATTCGACAATATTTGTCTACTTTTTGTCATTTAGATAGCAATTTTTATGAAAAATCGTGATATTTGTGTTAATTTGATGCAGACTTCGATCGATGACGCTTCTGATGAACCTTTAGTGTTGATTAAATAAAATACTTCTACAGATTTCCAACAAAAACGTTTTAAACGCTCAAAAAATAAAAAATCGAAAAAAAAAACGGCCATTAAAAAATTACAGTACCGACTTCGCGACGTGACCCGCGCAACTTTTCGCATGCGCCTTTAAAAATAAAAAGCGGAGAATTACGGTATATCGCGTCAATTTTTTGTAATTTTCGACGTGCGTGCATAGGGAAAATGAAAAAAATTGATTTTTCTTTATTTTTTTTTCATTGCATGAAATTCCAATTTCAAATGGTCTGCAATAATACATTAAAACACCATGTTTCTATCATAAGTTATCATAATACATTTGAGATTCGCAAGTTTAGGTTGTCGTCGAAAATCGACAATCATACTGCTTCCCAAAACACACGATCAGAATTCATTTTTTTTGGTTTGAACAGCAAACATTGAATGCAAAAACAGCGATTTGTGTAAAAAAAAATAAAAGAAACCTACAAATTGTAATATTTTTCGATTTTTGTGTACATTTGTTTTAAAAAGAGACAATATCAAGACCATCTTTAAACTAGGCACTTCCCATTGGGTTTTCGGTTTTTAATCACGTCCATGTGATCAAGTTTTCTCATTAGCTTCAATTCCATGACATTGCAGGAATACGTTGTTGCTCACGAGACCGGACATGCTCTCGGCTTTTGGCACACTCATCAGCGACCTGATCGGTATTGACAAAAAATGCGAAATGCTTCAAAATTCGAATCTTCTCCTTTTTTTTTGTTTAGCGATCGCCATATTTCGATCAATTGGAAAAATGTGATGGAAGAGGCGACCGCGTCGTTCATGCCGTTCCGCTCGATGCTCCAGGCGTTCGGCATCCGTCAGGTCTCGCCGCGACGGGTTCCCTATGACTACGGTAGTTTGATGCATTATCACGCCGTTGCCCACGCCGTCAAGGTGTCGGATTTTACGATTGTGCCGAAAGAATTGAAATATGTGACGACGATGGGAACCGAGAAAATGGCGTTTCTCGACGCGAAAGTCATCAATGATATTTATTGTCCAAGTTCTTAGCAAAATTCCATAACGGATAATTATTGTCAATTAATTTCAGACGCCTGTGTGGGACGAAATCATTTGAATTGCCTGGCCGGTGGCTATCCGGACCCCAACAATTGCGCGGTGTGCCGCTGCCCGGAAGGTCTCGGTGGTCCCGATTGTAGCACACTGCAAATGTCGCGTGAGTGACAATTTTGATTCGAAAAATTGCAAGACGAATTTGGACGGCCCTAGTAAATGGGACCTTATTAATCATTCTTATACCGCTACTGAGCTTCATAATGTGAGCCGGGTCCATACCAAATTTAAATACCTCGCCCCTACCCCTTGACTCCTTGGGTTCATTTCAAACTGGTCCGTTAAAAGGCCCCATCTAAATTATTTCCTTGATTGTGTGGGATCCAATTTTTCTATCAAGCGAATCGACAACTTTTGAAATGCGTTTTCCTTGTTGCAGCGTGCGGCGGCGAAATCCGCGCGGCGGACCATTGGCAGACGCTCAACAGCCCCGCCGGCCGCAATGTGCACTGCTATTGGCGGATATCCGTTCCGGAAGGCTCGCGCGTTCGCTTCCGGCTTTCCGACGGCGAATTTCCGTGCTCATACGGATGTCAGTCGTACGTCGAAATCAAGCACAAACTCGACGTGCGGCTGACCGGCTTCCGCAGTTGCTGCTATCGGCCCAAAGAGGACACGGTGTCCGAGAGCAATCAGATATTTGTGATCTACCATCCGAACGGTCGTACGGCACGATTCTCGTTGCGATTCCGCAGACAGGTCTAAAATAAATTCAGGTGCGAAATTGGGTTTTGTTTTGAATATTATTGTCGGCCTCGACTGGCTGATGAATGATCAATAATTTCGGAAAATCAGTGTAGATTTACGAATTTGTGACATCGCTTTGAGACACAAATAGCCAATATTTTCTGAATAGTCGTTTGAAATCGACAATTCCAACGAGCGATTTGCATAATTGTGGACTATCGCACTTTTTTGTCGTGGCGGTAATTCAAATTTGAATTTAAAAAGGGGGGAAACCTAACCTGTAAAAGCGAAGTAATCAGATGAAAAGTAGATAAGAAATCGAAAAAATAAAAAAAAGAACGAAAATCCGACGTTAATTCGTCGCGGAGAAAATCGATCGTGAAATAAGCAACATGTGTATTGTCGTCAAATAAAATGCACATGTCCGCAATGATTTCAATTTTGCTTGTTTTTGATACTCAAGGTTAATTCTTTATTCGTGCACTTCTTTGAGACCTCGAAACACAAAAAATTGGGCGTTCAAAATCGAAAATCATGTAAAAATCACATATTTTAAAATTGTCGTCGAATAAAATGCATTCGGTGTATACATTGATTCATTTATGGAAATTCGGGATTCAATTGTTGATTTTTTTTTTTAAATCTAAGATACCTTTGGAAGTCTGTTAGATATTTAATGACGAAGACGTTCAATTTCGAATTGAAGCATTGCGGACTTTTGCATTTTATTTGACGACAATACACACGTCGTTTTTTTCCCGCGGCGAATTTACGTAGAATTTTCGTTTTTTTTTTTCCGACTTCTTATTTATTTTTCATCACATTTTTACACATTTAAAGGTTACCATCCTCCCCCCTTTAAACATTGAGAATTCGGGTCCCGTACTTCGGACCTGCGAATCAAACTCACCATAATGGTCTTGTTGAGATCGGATTGGCGCAGGGTGTATATATTCAAAAATATTCGCCAACGAAAAAATTGCTATTCATTCAAGCCACCAAAAAATGTGAATGAATAAGAAATTTGACAATTTTGCAGGGACAACGATACCATATCAATAATCAACAACCCAGGGATCCATCTCGCCCCCCCCCCAATTACTTCTCATTGATCTCCAGCAGACGAATTCGAACGGTTGGTTCCGTTCGAATCACTTTGCTCGATGCATCTTCCACCCGGTGATCCGACTCAAATGCCTCGCAACACTGCTCAGTTCATTCATTCTTTTTTCTCCTTTACGTTTTTGTATGTATATTTCGCTGTCTATTCAGGTCATTTGGGACTGGATTTTCGATACGGGACCCCCCAAAAAATCACTCATCATGCTTTGTTCCTTGTTTCATTTTTCTTTTTGGTCTTCTTTTTAAATCCTAAATATTTTCATTTTTAATAAAACATTGCGTGATCCTCATCGTTGCCCGTGGAAACATTTTTTTTGGTGAAGAGAAATAGAGAGGGGGGAAGCGGTGGATATCTCCGGAAAAAAAAAGCCTGATATGGGAATGGGTTGTCATGGGAGACGGTGAATTGTTCAACGGGCGCTGGAGCGGCACGAGCTCATTCCATCCGTGAGACCACCAACCAGCCAGCCATGTTCGTGCTCTCCTATATGCACACCTTCGCCGATTTTCTAATTCTATGGGCGCTGCTGCTGATGAGCAAACCGGATGATCGGAGCCATCCGGTCGCGGCGCTCATCACCACCGTCGCCGCACCGTACGCCGCGCGTCTCTATCCGACCATCATCAGCTGCACGGTGTTCACCGCCGACAACGGCGATCGCGAGATGTTCCACAAGGATGAGAGAAGCATGTGAGTCTCGTCTCGAATTCTAGGTCCATTCCCATCCGATGACAATTCGACGCTCGAATTTTTAATTTCCGGCTTCGCCAAATATGGTGATGATCAAAGAAGCAAACGAGAAAAATTTTTTGATGAGATCATTCTCCCATGGCTACAAATTTCACACAAAATTCTCGGAACAAAGTCTCGATTTTTGATATCACCTAATGCTTTTTTTTTGTTTCTCTGACCCTCTCAAATTTGCCCACTATTTCTATCAGCGAATTTTCTCTTTTTTTTCTTTTCAATATTTCAAAAAAAAAAATGTTGTGTTCAAAAATTGGGCTCGTGAGAAACGCTCTCTGCAAATCTCACACTTTCTAGCATTTTCCAGAAGTTTCCAACGCAATCGCAAATATGAATCGATCATGCTGGCTACGGCGATGCTCACGTTCATGTTCGGCGCCTCATGGATCCTTCAAGGACTTGTGCAGTCGTTTCGAAACGACACTCCGATGACGATCAAACAAATCAAGTAAATCGAGAACGCGTTGATCTTGAGCGCTCGCGTCGATTTCAGAAATCGCGTTCTCTACCCGCTTTGTGGATGTCTCGCCTTCTCAATGGCCCTCTACAACGGAATGTTCGAACCGCTTGGATACAAGAGCCTTCCGATTTTCATCGTCTTCACCATTGTCGTCATTCAACTCGTCATCTCATTGGGAGTCGGCCAGAAGTTGATGAGAGACTCGAATGATCTCTCCGAATACCAGGAGTCCAGTTTGGTCTATTTCAAATCGATTCGTTTGTCGGCGATCGTCGGCATTGTTCCAATGCTCTTCATGATGTGTGAGCCATCGTCAATCGATGTCAGCGAAATCGAGTTCTTCAATTTCAGATTGCCTATCGCCGGCGTCGCACGTCTACTTCTTCACCGAATTCGAGAATCTCGTCCGTTTCGTGTTCATATTCGCCATCATTTTGAGCGATCCTTACTCGAATCGCACTCGGGTATATCCATAGTAGGCTGTCGGCAATATTCGAAATATTTGAGGTCCGCCGTCGCTCTTATCGCACCGCCGTCAATCACTCGGACACCATCGCCGAATCTGGAAATTTCAATTCGAGCTCTATGGTAAGACCCTTTTTGCAAAATCAGTGGGGGGCGAATGGACTTCCGACACATCGTTTTTCGTTTGCAGACCTCACCGCTGCCACCGCCACAGTATCCCGACGAACGCGAGAATAAGGAGAAAGGTCCGCCGTCGTATGAGATCGCTCGACGTGAGATGAGAAACCCGTGGGCGACCCACGAAGTCGGACTGACCGATATTTCCGTCAGCAAAAGGCTCACTCCTGTTCAACACAATTAATCCCCATTATTTTGTTTTTCACAAAAAAAAAATAAAATAAAATTCAATGGTGTTATGAAATCGCGATGGACGTCGTGAAAAAAACCTCTCTAATAGGGCCACCAGAATCGCGAGGCTGACGACGCCGTCTTCTCGTTCTGACACTTGTCTGGGTTCGGATCAGGGCTGTGCGGCAATGGAATTGCCGAATTGCCGAAAATTTGATTTGCCGGATTGCAGAAATTTCCGATTGCCGCACAGCCCTGGTTCGGATCAGGCAATCGGATGGCCGAAATACTTTTTTTGGAAATTTGTTACCGAAAAAAAACCCAATAAGAGGCTTCAATTGGATAATTCTCAAATTTTAGTTGAGTAAAAAATTTTTCAGAATAAAACAATTGTATTTAATTTTAAATGAAATTACCATGACCCCACTTCCTTGGAAATTGCTTCGTGAAATCGAAGAGGCTGCTTTCTAAGATCATGTGGGATCTATCAGGGCCATCACAATAGAACTTCTTCTCATCTGAGAAGATCCCTTGAAATTCATTTGGCTCATCTTCGAATTTAACCACATCCCACTTTTCTCCAGTCCGTTCTATTGAACTTACAAACTTCAATCAGTTTTCACGATGCGCATTTTTTTTCTTCATCTACCGCGACTTGCTCGGAACACGTCGAATCATCTCTGAAGTCCTATTTCTGAATTGATTTTGTTGCACGTAGTGAAGATGTTCGATGCTCTTTTCCGACGATCATTCCCTTCTCTCGGGTTGAAATTACTGTTGGGCGTCCAGATCGGATCGCTGTACCATATTGGGATGGACTCTTCTTCCTTATTGATCACTTTTGAGCCGCGCCCCGAATCTCGAGCGATTTGCCATTGGCTATAACATAGCCTTGCTCAAACGCAGAAAGTGGTTTACCTACTGGCATTAAATGAAACGCACATAATTCTAGAATAAACTTTTAAAAAAAATCAGATTCAAGAAAAATTAAACAAAAAACGGTTAAAGACTATAATTTTTTTGAATCACCAAAAAAAGTTTTTCGAAAAAATATCGTTTGCTCATCAGGGAATTCAGCATGAGCAATGTGTGATTTTGCAATAATTTTTTGTCCATATTTTAACAATACAGGCGTTTTTTTAATTGTGAAAAAGTCGTTTTTGAAAAAATCGATCGGCAAGGCTAAACTTTTCTGACGCAGTGTAGCATTTTTCGCTTCTCGAATATTCTATTGTGGGCATATGAAAATAAATTTGAAGCTATAACATTGTATACCATAACAAGAAGAGAACACTTATACCGCAAAATGGTCGCGTCACATGCAGCAGCGTGGCGCAGTGGAAGCGTGCTGGGCCCATAACCCAGAGGTCGGTGGATCGAAACCACTCGCTGCTAACCGCAATTTTTTTGCCACGGTAATACGCTTGTCAAATTTGCAGGTGCACCGCCGTCGACGCGAGGTGATTGCGGGCCCGATTTATGACTGGAATTCGTACGAGATCCCGTTTCAGATATGGGGCGGCGATTGTAAGTTGCGCAACGTAAGCCGGCTTACTCGAGAAACTTTCGCCTCAAGGGCTTTTGATTCCAAACCGAAAAAAAAGTGAAAAGTACTTGCCTTTTGCTGTTATTAATTTTCTAGAGTGCCTTTGGTGAAAGTGGATCGGATGCGGAACGATATTACTCGCTCGTTATAACTGAGCACCCTCGCTGGTAGCTCGAGACCCCACAGCTTTGCGGGAACCGCGAGTCAGTTGGTCCCATCGCGGGATCACAATTTTACCAAGTTATTTTGATTGCTAGACAAAGGTGAGATTGGATGGACGGCGCAAAAAGCGAACAATCGATTATTCACTCTTCCAGGTGGAATACACCGACCCGAGTCGGCCACGGCCATTTTCGAGTCGGCCACGGCCACTTCGGTTTTGCCAAGTGTAAAAGACCAAATCCCAACACATCGATTTTCCCGCATTTTAACGTCACCGTGTTTGCGTACAAACATTTTAATATAAGCAAATGGTTTTGAAGAAGCATTTTCTTCTTCAAAAAGACTTTTCGAGACAAGTAATATCTTGTACTTCATTCAATCATAACTCGAAAAATCTTGCATCTGCCTCAACGAGTTTTTGAGATGGAACGGCTGAAATTCGAATTTGAAATGAATTTGCGTCATATTCGCGCGTTTCGCTCATTCACAATCACTCGTAGACCGAATTCTCATTATCAGGCGATTTTCTATCGAAAATACTTTTTTTTCCAGGTGCACAATGTTAAATGCTCTCGCACAGCTGATTTAATTAGTGGCGCCCGACAGAGAAAAAAAACCAAGAAAAAGCATCCAGTAAAATAATTTGTTTGTCATGCGGGTTGCCATAGGAAACGGTGATTAGAAAAAGAAATTGTAGGCCTCGCTGAGGCTCATTCGGCTCGGCGAGCAACGTTTCGAGCAATGCTGACGCTTTGCGCCTTTAACACCTTCATGGATCTCATGATGTTGTGGGTGCTCGTGCGGATGACCAAATCCGACGATTTCTCACATCCGGTCGCCAATCTCATCCTTCTTGCCGCCGGACCATACTTCCTTCGGTTGGCCCCCAGACTCATCGAGTTCGTGATTCCGGCCTACTCGCCAGGCTATCATCAGCTTTTCAATGATGATATGTTTATAGACAAGTGAGTTTTCTAGACAAGAAATCCCCACAAAAACGGATTCATGATATTAAAATTTTGAATGAAACAAAAAATCGATCGAGTCTCCAATGGCAACCGCATTCAAATTGGCGCAGCAAATTCGAGAAAATGACATTTTCGAATGAGATTTCAGAAATTTCGAGCGTGAGCGCGGCTATGAGTCGATTATGAGCGCCACCGTGGTGCTCACAATTCTGATCGGAGCTGCTTTGACTCTTCAGGGCATCGCGTGCTCATTCCGCAATAATGAGCCGCTTTCGAGATGCGGAATACGGTAGCAATTGGTTTGATCGCAACCAGGATTACTGTAGGATTTAGACGACGCGCCCTTGTGCCGCTCATCCTGTGCCTCATCTTCTCGATCTCCTACTACAACCACGTCGTCCACGGACATCGTCACGTCAAGAATCTGCCGATGATCGTTGTTTTCGGAATCGCCATCTTGCACCTGCTCATCTCATTGGTGAGATTCGTTTCAGAATAATTTCAGACGATCTTCAACTCTTTCTCCAGGTGGCCGCCTTCAAACTCATGCAGTCCAATGAAGCGCTCACCGAACACCAGCAATATTGCATGACAATGTTCAAATCGATGCGCTTCTTCGTCCTCATCATCCTCATCCCGCTCATTTTTATGTTTTGTGAGCAAACGCGCCCCATTGATAAGTATATGTGATATTTTTTAGATCACATGCTTCCATGGTCGGCTCGCTGCATCTACTGGTTCAGCGATTTCGAGGATTTCGATTCATCTACATCTTCGCGATCATCCTCAACGAGCCATACGCCGGAAGAATCAAGGTCGTTGTTTGAAGAGCGCTTCTCGTCGAGCGATTCCATTCATTTCAGGCCAATCGCCTCAAAAGCCCGGTGAAAGCGGAAGAGAAGAAAGAGCCAATGGACAAAGTGACGTACACCTACAATCCGGAAATGGTTAAAATTTAACTACAATGGTGAGAAGGGAACCGATTGAATTGTTGGATTTCCAGACGCAGTCACCGCCACCACAATACACCGAGAAGGCGAGCGGCGGACCGCCATCGTATGAAGTGGCGCGACTCGAAATGGCAAGCCCATGGTCATCCCATGAAGTCGGAATCAACGACATTTCCGTCACCCATGGAATCACGCCAATTCAGAAGAATTAATTGAAATGATTCGCGAACAAATAAATACAAATGTTGATTTAAAAAATTCAGATTTTGATCTTAATGAGCCAGTGAAATTCGAAATTTTTAAAAATCTAACATTTTTTAAAAGAAACAGAAAAAAAGAAAAACTGCCAAAAAAAAAGAAATGAATATTATCATGTCTGTTTTTTTACGTCATTGTGATTACACACATCTCACGTGTGCTACAGTAATCAAATAAAAACCATTCGAAATTTTAATTCATGCCACAGTTTCCAGAAATATACCATAAGTGTATACATATAAATTGATTCGGAATCGAGTTGAACTAGTGTTACAGTTTCCCAAAAGGGTATATATTTTTGTGAATGATTGAATATTCAAAGTCATTTTTCAGGCAAAAACTCTGTGTTATTGTTTTGTTTGAATTCACAAATTGTTGTCTATATATAGACAACGATCAGTAGAAAGGATTTCACTTTGTCGATGCCATCATCCGATCACCTTGGCTCGTTTACACAGAAGCTGACTTACTTACTTAGTCACTTAGTCGGTTCGTCCTTCGCCTGTTGAGGCGCGAACCACAGCTTTCCAAGCTTTTCGGTCCTTGGCTTGGGTGGACCACGGGGTGATAACGGCTCCTTCAGCTGTTCTTGTAGTGATCTCCTTCCGAAGCGAGTCCGACCATCTCATGGGAGGCCTTCCTCTTGGGCGGGTCCAGTTCCACGGCCGCCACTCCGTTAGAAGAGTAGTCCATCTTCCATCTGTTCTTCTAGCAACGTGTCCAGCCCAGGTCATTTTCCTCTTCGTGATGTGGTGTAGGGGGTCCCGAACTTTAGACATGATGCGGATGTCCTCTCGATGAAGATCTTGTTCACGTTGTTGTGATAACGTGAGGCCAACCAATCTTCGCTCAAGCGCAGCGTGACTAATTCGGACTCTCTCGGCAAGAGCTTTGGTGAAGGTCCAAGTCTCTGATCCGTAAGTCAGCGCTGGGAGAACGATGGAATCGAAGAGCTGTGCGCGGGTTTTGTTACAGGAAATCAAATCGGTGGTGTTCTTGATTCCATTAAACGCTGCCCAAGCTGCTCTTCTCCTTCGGAAGATCTCCTTGACTAGCTCGTTTTTGGGGGTGAGTAGTCTTCCAAGGTACACGTATTCGTCAACATCGTCAATGATACTGACCGAATTCTGGTGCGTTAGGATAACCTTGGCGGAGTCTGCGAAGGGGTTACGTAGGACTTTGGTCTTTCCAGCGTTAATCTGGAGCCCTACTTGTTCGCATCTCGCAACCATCTCACTTAGCATCTCGAATGCCGCTTGCGGACTGTGCGCTATGAGCACGACGTCGTCTGCAAACCGCAGGTGTGTGAGGTTGCGGCCATTCACTCGTAATCCTGGAGTGTTCGTATTGTCTTCTGAGTCGTTTTTGAATTGACTCCAAGACAATTCACGGAAAACTTGCTCCAGGCACGCGGAGAAAAGGTTCGGCGAGATTGGGTCACCTTGCCTTACTCCTCTTCGAACAGGTATCTCTACCTGTCGATGGAATGGCGTGATGCTTGTGGAACAGTCAGAGTAACAACTTTGGAGTAGCTGGATATACGCTTCTTCAACGCCTTGGTCTCTTAGGCTCTGCCACACTGCTGAATGCTCAACACTGTCGAACGCCTTCTTGAAATCAACGAAGACAAGTGTGAGTGGGATTTGATATTCTCGTCCCACTTCTAGCAGTCTTTGGACAGAGTGGATGTGATCCACTGTTGAGAAGCCCTTGCGGAACTCAGCTTGTTCTACAGGTTGATTTGCTTCTAGTTTACTCCTGATTCTATTCAAGATGCATTTTGTGAAAGCCTTGTATAGAACAGGGAGTACCGTGATTGGCCTGTAGTTCTCCAGGGAGTATCTATCACCTTTCTTGAAGATGATAGTTGTCTCTGACTTGGTCCACAGTCTCGGTATTGATCCGGTTTCTAGGTAGCGGTTAAATCGGTCCGTTATCAGCGCGATAGTGTTTTCGTGGCAGCATTTGAGGAAGTCTGCGCTTATTTTATCCCTACCAGCTGATTTCCCATTTGGAAACTGATTTCCCATTCTATATATAGACAACGATCAGTAGAAAGGATTTCACTTTGTCGATGCCATCATCCGATCACCTTGGCTCGTTTACACAGAAGCTGACGATGTCAAAAATCTAAGTGCCGTTTGGATATTGAAGAACGGAAGAAAAAACTTTTTAAAATAATGTTCTGAGCACAATAACACCATTTTTTGTCAATTTCTTCATCAAAACTCTGCAATTTTTTAGCATCGTTTTCGCTCTGAAAATCAAATTCTTTCAACATTCAAAAAAAAAACTTTCCAGTTTTTTGATCCACTCGTTGAGTCAATTTGTTAACATTTTGGAGTATGTTGAAAAACGACAACAGGCTGAAAAAAGCCTACAATTATGAATGGCCTTCGAGCTTCAAAAAATTTTGCCATTACTAATACTATATATGTATATTGCCATATATAGAAGTAGTACGGTAGCCATAATTAGAAGGTATGCGATGTTAATCGATTTCTGGAAACAACTGCTTTAAAATGCTTTTTTAACACCGTTAAAACGGGTTTTCGCTTCGGAACCATTTCCAGACTTTGATGAGTAGAAGGGTGTGCGCCTTTAAATAAAAAATAACCTTTGAGGGGATTTCAATTAAAATCGATCCCAGGGAGTTTTATAGAAGCAGACTCACCCGACTTCATATCATTTTGCTGCAGTATGGAAGCGAGAGTTCTTTCGGGAGTTTCGAGAAACTTCTGCGGGTTGTCCGAAAAATTTTTTATCAGTACGACACTCCGATGACACATCGCCCTCAATTTAGCGCGTCAGGATATACCGTGTCCAATTTTTGTTTCGATGTTCGCGACTGCGACGAATTGGCGAAACGCCAGAAATGGTCTCGAGGCGACGCGTTCTGTACTCCACACGGACAACGCGTCATTTAACAACGTGGCGTAAATCGACACTCGTTCGTCCAGGATCGCACGACTCACGAACGCGTTGGCCATTTTCCAATAATATTTTAATGTCCCTTTTTATTGTTTTTCGAATCGCCGCGTTTCTGCGGAAAAAAGCGACAAAATGGAAAGAAATGAAAAAAAAATTAAAATTTGTGGCGAAGAAAAAATGGCAGCTGAAAATTTAGCTGAAAAAAAAGACTTACAATATGATTTTGGATCCCGACGCGATGAATTTGTACCGATGAAAAACCTAATAAACGCTTAAAAATTTTTTTAAATCATATGCGCCTTTAAAATTTTTTATATTGTTGAAAAATGACAAATGTATCCAGGTGTCGTAGGATCCTGCGTTTTGTACGCAATGCCAAGAGACAGTTACCGTAATCCTCGCAGCGATTTACGGGGACATTTTATTTAATTTCGCATATTCATTTTTTTTATTTTTTGTTCAATTTTTTAATTTTCTTTCGAAATTTTTTAAATTAAATTTTTAAATTTTGCAGAAACCGAGTTTAATAATGTATTTAGCAGAATAAGCACTTTTAAACGATATTTTTTTGGTAAAAACAGCAGAGATTAAAAAGAAATCATTTTTGTCGTTAATAAAATTATTTAATCATGTTTTGCTTTTTGTATGCGTTTCTATTATCTTGTTTTTGTATTCTTCATTTTCAAAATGATTTTTAGAGCGTCTAAATCTTCACAATAATTCCCAACTCAACTAGACAAATCGAAAAGTGCATATTCTGAAAATTAAATAATTAAACTCTTTTTTCTACAGGTTTTAAATATAAGATTTCTAAAGAAAATTAGAAAATTCAGCAAAAGAAATTGAAAGAAAATTTAAAAAAAAATCTCCGTAAATCGCTGCGAGGATTACGGTAACTGTCTCTTAGCATTGCGTACAAAACGCAGGATCCCACGACACCTAGATACATTTGTCATTTCTCAACAATACAAGTTTTTCTACATTAAAGATGATAGAATTTCATGGTTCCTGCCGCTATTTAATAAAAAAAAATCTGTGGTACTGTAGGCTTCAAAAAATCTGGTCATAAGCTTTTTCTCCATAGGGTTCTTCTGAATTACCACATGATGGCCTAGAACTTCGATGCAACATAATTCTAGGCCACTGCATGAATCAACTTTTATTCAATATTTTGTAAATCAGAATTCTCTTCAATCGGAAAGTGAAGAACCACCGACTTGTACTTTTCGAAATGAAGACGTCTTGGAGCAAAAAAAAAACAAAATTGGGTGAAGAAGCAAATCTCGTCACTTTCAGCACTTTCAGCTCCCTCCCTTCGTCGATAATCACTAATTTCGCTATCAGTTTCAACTGTTTATCGAAAATGTTTCGATTTTTAAGCGATCAAAAACAGAAGTGTTATCAATTATCGAATGATATTATATGTATTTATTTTCGAAACAAAAACATGTATTGCAATATTTTGAAAAACAACACATTTATGCGATAATTTCAGAGCCCGCCGGGCAGCAGCGTGGCGCAGTGGAAGCGTGCTGGGCCCATAACCCAGAGGTCGGTGGATCGAAACCACTCGCTGCTGTTGCATGTTTTGTTCGATTCAAAGACATTTTTTTTTTAGAATTCCACATTTTACAGCCCAATTTTTTGTTGATAAAAGAGTGACGTGGAACGGGCGTGTAAATATAACGGCGATTTTGCATTCTGCATTTTGTCGAATTGGAAAAAGGCCAGAAATGGTTTCGCGACGATAAGTTGTGCCAAATCATACACGCGTAAAATGTTGGTTGAACCAGACAGTAAACCGCACAGTTGCTGAAATGGTTTGGCTAGTAACAAGGTGAAATTTCATATGAAACATCTGCGGACATTTGCCGGGATGCGCAGCAACCGCCGGTTTGTTGTTATTAGCAGTGGCGGCAATTCAAACCCGGAGCCCCGACCCTTCACGGTGGGCAATGCCTCCCATTTTGTGCAAAGCCTATTCGCCGTACCCCTCTGCGTCGCTCTCACTCTCTTCAATGTTTCTCGATTTATTTATACAGCGATAACTTCTGCGCCCTCCGTCACAGGCAAAACGCGACGGATGAAGTCCGGGCGAAGTCCGGATATTTGAACGTCACGGCTAAAAAACGGGCCAAGTACGGACCAAAAATTTCTTTGAAAAACGCCGCGGTAAAAAAACGGACAAAGTCCGGAGATTTATAGGCCACGTTTTTAAAACGTGTTAATTACGGATCTTGATTTTCAGGATAAAACGCCACGGCTAAAAAACGGGCCAAGTACGGACCAAAAATTTCTTTGAAAGGCATCACGGACAAAAAACGGACAAAGTCCGGAGATTTATTGGCCACGTTTTTAAAACGTGTTAATTACGGATCTTGATTTTCAGTATGAAACGCCACGGCTAAAAAACGGATTAAGTACGGACGAAATATTTCTTTGAAAGGCATCACAGACAAAAAACGGACCAATTACGTGACAATTTTTTTCGAGTGAAAATGTCACCGACAAACAAAGGACTATTTACTGATCGACACTTCCTGGCTGAAACGTTACGACACAAAAGTTAATTAATATTTAATATAACGGCTTCACTGGAAGCTGTGTAACGTTCATGCTTATCGACATACCAACAGGCGAGATGCAAAAGGCTCAAAAGGCTTTGTAATTTATTCGGCCGCTTCGTCAACGAAACGAACGAAATATCCCAAAATACCGGACAAGTTCTTCGAAATTCTTGGAAGTAAGTAGATTTGAAGTAACATTGACCGGCTAAAAACTTGCGCCTAGTCCATATTGGCCAATGAGAAATTGAATGGTAAAAACTATGCTTTTTTTCAGAAATATTACACCGAGGCTTCGATATAAAAAGTGAAGGGTGGGAAGAAACCGTCGTCGTTTCTCATATACGAGAAATGACAAGAAACTTCATGTAAGTGAGCAACGCGAATGTTATATATATGCTATATACTGTGTTTCAGCGATGATAAACGACGCGGAAAAACCGCCAAAATCGAAGAGTTAATGGAAATGTTCCAATCCAGGTAGAACACGCGTGTGCAAATGGAATGTGCAAATATTTTTTTTTTTGTTTTTAGAATTATTTTTGTTCTAGTAATTCGATTCGAATCGAATACAACAAATTTCGGATACAAACTTGATCGAAAATTAAGTTTGAAATTTGTGGTACTCGATTACTCTTTGGAAAAACCCGAATGTACTCGTATTTGGTGCGAAACTCGGTGTATTCATTTCGAATTTTAATGTATTTGATTGTGAAACAAAAAATTGACTCTTTCGTATCGAATACGAATTAATCATTTTACAATCGAATACGATTAAATTCAAAACGAATATAGCGATTGCGATTCGTAAATAATTTTTTTTTCGATTTTTCTTAAATAAAACTTTTATAATAATGCTGTCTATATGATTTCAATTTTAATTTTGATTATTATACGAACGGAAGAAAAAAAAGCATGTGAAAAACGCCACCGGGCGAATCACGGTCCGTTCCCGGATACGCTAAGACGTCCGTGTCCGGTACGTCAGCGACACGCTGGAACGGTCAATAACGGACCGTGATTCGCCCGGATTTCATCCGTCGCGTTTTGCCTGTGGTGTCATTCTGGCCGAGTGGTCTAAGGCGCTGCGTTCAGGTCGCAGTCCTCTCCGGAGGGCGCAGGTTCGAACACTGCGGATGACAAATCCTTTTCTTTTTGACCATTTTCTTCAAATCTTGTAAATATGTGCCCAATTTTGCTTTGGTGTGCGTCTGAGCGTGGGAATTTGATGACGTTGAACTTTTAAGCAACACAATGACGTGTACCACAATGGAGTGTTATGACCCTACTCATAAAATTCATTCTGGCAAAATTGCGGATTGGGCCCCGCCCCATTAACCATGCTTGCTACAGGTACGGCAAATTGTTTTTACAACTCCGACGTCGTAAAAATAACAAAAATAAAATAAAAATTTACTTCGCTAAAAGTGATCTACTCCGTAAATGTGGTGTGTCGTTGCAGGTCGCATACGTCGGTAATTCAACCCATTAAGCCAAATTTTTTAATTTAGATGAAATTAAAACTGAATAACCACAACGAGCAACCTGCACCATTGCGTAGTTTAAATAATATAATTTTTCATCTGCGGACAATTCGCAGGATGCATTTCCCCATTATGTAAATCACATTAATTTCGACTTTTTTCGGACTTTATTTCTCTTCTTTCCAATAAATACACAAACAACAACATTTTTGCATATTTGCACTCGTTTCCCACTTTTTCGATATTAACATATAGCAAAACCGGCGCGAAAACCAATCCTCGTCGTTCGTCGAAACGAAAGCAAAACGAATGCCGCAGAAACGGAGGAGAATTGGGGGAGACGAGAAAAAAAAAACGGCTGTCCTCCGTCGCAGAGAAGCAGCATCGCATCGTGCGGTGTTCGCTCGTTCGTGCGATTCATTCGAGTCGAAAACGCACACAACAAACACACAAGTAAGCAGAGGAGGTTGTAGGGCGGCCGAAATCACATGAGCGCGACATTCAGTCACTCACTCGAATGTATCGATCGCCTCCTCGCGAATCTCGCGGCGACGGCGACGCGACGACTGAGTGAGAGAGTGAGAGAGCGCCCGACGGCTAGACAGTCCGGCGGCGTGGGTTCTCCGCGCGTCTGCGTCTCTCGTCGCCAACCACACGGCTGGTTCATCTCTCGTCGCTGGCATGCTGGCAGCAGTCGACGACAGTCAGAAGCGAACGAACCACACCGCCATTTTTTTCTCGCTTATTTTTCAAATTTACCGCCAAAACCATTTGATGATGGTGTTTTTTTGTTCTGTCCTGTTTCGTTGTGTTCATTTTTTATTTTTGTGTTGTTTTTATCAATTCATTCCATTTTTGTCCGATCTCCCATCATTTCTTGTCCTCTTTAGTATTGTCTCGTGGGAAATGGAATGTGATAAGACGATGGGTTAGGCCTTTCCTTTTTTTTTCAAATGATAACTGCCTGAAACTTTTCTTAATCTATTCCATGGTTCTAATCAAATGTTAATACGATGTTCGTTGCGGGACCCACGTGACTTTAAACCAGTGCGAAAAACAAATAGATAACATTTATTTAAAAAGAAACCTTTAGATGAAGCCATGAACCCTTTCATTGAATCACATCCTTGTTCGTCGGAATTTTGAAAAAGCGTGACCTTGGATGTTCAACGTAAAAACTTGAAGGAATTCCTAAAAAAACAAAATTCCCCAAATACTGATTATCGCTTTCCTTTTTAATTGTCAGTTTCAAACGGTTGATGGAAACTTTAAAAATTATTGAAGTACGCAAGACTGCGTACTATACATTTTAGTCGGCATTCAATTTTCGCATTCGTAAATCCGCACTGATTTTGCAAAATTGAAGCTCATTTGAAATCGACAATACGAATCGTCTGGTATTTTCACAACTTCTAGACTCCGACCTTTTTATTTTGCGTCCAGTTATTAAAGTCTACATAAACTGCAAATATTGAGGGCACGACAGACGAAAAAAAAAACATGTTTCAATTGAACAACGAAGAAATTTGACTTTCCAATGCCCTATTTGAATTCTCTCTTTTTCACACACACACACACCACAAAAAAACACGGATTTCTGAATTTTTCATCAACTCTTTTGCTTCCTCCTCGTGACCTGAGTTGTGCAAAAAAAAACGAGGCAAATGAGTAATTTGTTTACATCGGAGGAGTAATAGAATTTTTGCAAAAGGAGGAGAAATTTTGCGCCTTTTTTTTAAATATCGCCCGCATATAAAACGAAATATTGTGTTCTTTTATACAATTTCGACAACAATTCCTACCTTTTTCCGGTAATAATTTGACATTTTTTCCTCTGAAATAAAAAAGCTGAATAGCCTTGAATTTTGTTTTAGTTCTCACGAGATTCGCCATTCATGAAGCCCCCCATAATTATCCGCCGTCACGTTTAATGGGCCATTTAAATTCGCTTCCTCCGAGCACTCAATTTTTTTGTTTGTTTGTTTTTCCTGGGGTCATGTGAACCATTTGCGCGGCGATTTTATCAAGCTTCTCCTATGCAAATCGATTCCATAAATATCATCTAAAATCGCCGATGAACGTTTTCTTAATTGAAAAAGCTATTAAAAAACTGAACGAAATTCAAACAAATGTCGTCATTTGTAGTGTTTGGTGTGCAATGACTAATCATTGCCTACCGTAACGCGCGAGGTTGAAAAAAAAAATAAATGCCATTCCAAATGTTACGTGTTTCTGCTATCTTTTTACGCTCTATTCAAAAACTTGATAATCTCTATGTCACTTTTTAATTGTATACATTACATTTGTGTTGCGTTTACATTTCTTCTTAATGAGTTTCCGTCGCTCTTATCAATTCATGAACGAAATGCTACCAAGCTTCAATTTTTTGCTCACATGACTTTACGGTTTTTCGTTTTTGCAGTTCAAACCGATCAAACAGCTGGGACCGGCAAGGTTTTTTTTGGATCAAGCACACTATCACCGACATTTTCTGATATTGTTTGATCTGTTCACAAAATACTTGCCAATTGCAAAGTATAGAGGTAAAACTCGAGGCATTTTTTTGCGATCTCAATTTTAAAGTTGTAGACGGCTCTCAACAATGACAGGTACCTCAACGGCACCGATCGACATCGGCACAAGGTCAGATCGAACAAATTCGGAGACAAATCATGATGATATGTCGTTTATCAGTCCACACGTGGTAAACACTCAAAAATTACCATTGAAAAATAAGTGATTAATCGGTGTTTTAATTGTTTCAGTTCGGCGCTTCATATGTCAATCTGTCGCACAACGACTTCTCGGGGAATCCCGATTACGACGACAGCGTGGTACGTGGTTTAATTGGGAATTGATATTTAGACAATAGAGTGATGAGATTGGAGTTGACAACGAAAAAAAATGGTTTTCTGCAAATGAATTTGTTGTCAAATCAAATATCGAATTAAATGTACACTAAAAATGGGGGGGGGGGACATCGTTGATCGAACAAAATTTTCAATAAATAAGTTGATAACGAGGCTGCTAGTAACTGACTGCATCGATTACCGTTTGGAGGGTTGTTTTTGTCGAAAACGAACGACGCCATTTAGTCGAACAGCGAGAAAAAAAAGCCAAACTCGATTCGTTTTCCATTTCGCCAATCTTCGACAGCTACTATACCCATCGATTGATTTTTTGCAGGTTTGGTTTCTTTCGGTCATTTAGTCTATATAATATACCAAATTCGTTTATTCCAAAGCGTAGGTCCCTTGTAATTTGAGCTTCTTCGACCCTTCTAGAATAATTGTTTCGTCTGCAAAACACACGAATGCGTATTAAATCGTGGGCAGGCTAATACCCAGCGAAAACAACTTATTTTTTCGTGTTTCACGTCGATTAGAAAATTTTATTCAAACACCCAAGGCAAAAATGCGAAAAGTTGTTTCAAACTAAATTTTTCTGGATTTTCTCGTTATTTTAAGTTTTCCAATCGATTACAAAGTGTTTTACTGTATTATTGGACCAGCTGAACATCGTCAAAATCCCCTCAAGAGATTATTCGCTCTCATTTCTGTTTCATTCCTATTTTTGGTCATTTTGCTTCGGTGATAAACACCGACCTTTTAGGAAAGAGAGAGAGAGAATTAATTTCACTTTCGGTATATGGCAGGTGACTTTGGCTGCCATCGCAAACAGTGTTCTCCGCCTTCTCGACACCCAATTCATTAATCTTTTGTTCCATCGCCTATCGTGTGGGGTTTCTACTCTCGATCACGCTTCTCGTCATCATTCTTTTGCAAAACGAGTTAGCTGAAAATCGCCGAAATGGTCGCGTTTGTGTCTGCGAGACTTTGATCTGTTTTCTTTTCGGTTGATCTTTCGCCGCGCTATTCACGTGATTGCTCATCGCCGAAGACGAGAAACAGCTGTTTTTAGTAGTTTTGACGAGGAGAAGCAACCAAAACGTGTTCGATGTGCGATCGGACAATTATTTGAGCATGTGGTGATTCGGGGAACATCACCAAGGATGTTCATCGAATGTTTTGATTTCTTTTCGTTTAGATTGGAATTGCGGTTTCATAAAGGGGTTTTGATTCGCATTTTGCAAAAATGTGGCTGTAAATAGCGGCCGAAATAGCATTTAAATGAGATTTTCGTGAATCGGCGAGTTTTGAATGATATCAATTGTGTTAGCAAGCCAGCAATGGTCGGAAACCATACAAACAAAATGAGAGCTATAAAATGTCAACAAATGTTTTGTCAATAATCAGCAGTCACATGTTTGCTGGCGTTTTAGGCTAAGCTTAGTGGACGCGAATCGCATTTGGCACATTTCTTGCAAAAATTCGTACAGTGGTCGAGCCTGTTGGAATCAACTCGTTTTGAAAATCATAATTCGCCAAAATTATTTTTTTTTGGAAAAATGTCTGATTTTTATGACTTTAAAACGCGAAATACCTACTAGAGAATCGATATCTGATCTTCAGTCGCGTTGTGCGATTCCTTCAGAATCCCCCCTGTCACTTGAGCGTGAGAGTTCGATCGAGATATCTCACACGGCCTAGCCGGGAGCAATCCTCATTTTTTTCTCGCTTGTTTCAATAAAAAAATGTGTGTGTGTGCGCGAAATGGCTGACGAGAGCAAATATGCGGTTGGCTCTTTTCCTTTGGTGATTACGCGTACACTCAACCACACACATTGGATTGTTGCAAAAATTGCGAGGGATACCACCTCGATTTTCGCTCTCTCTCTCTCTCTCTTCCTCTCTCGCTTCGAGGTTTTGCTGGAATTTCGCAGAACGCGGGGTTCGATGTTCATTCGGAACGCAATCAAATCGATTTATCGCCAAAATGTGGGTTGTTCTCGGAAATGTGAGATTATTCTTCATTTTTCTTTCATTCGAGAGAGCGTGTTTCTTTTTCTTCTCTAAGCTTTTAAGCAAAACCTGAAAACCTGATTGTCATTTTCTCAAAAATGTGATAGTTCAGATGAATATTTTCTCGAAGAAAATACAATTTCGAATTTCTCACAATTTCTAGTCTCAATTTTTTGCTATGCCCATAATTAATTGCCTGAAAATGACAACTATTAAAAATCGCCTTATTTGTTGATAGCGAATTAGTTGGAAAAAAACGGAAACATAAAAATTGTCACCCAAACGAATAATTATATGATCAATTCCAGGTACATGAGCCTCACGCATTCGTCGATTTGAACGCGCCCACCTCGTCAGCGCCGCTCGTCTCGCGATCATCGAATACGACGTCGTCGGACGAACCGCGTAGAATGTTGGTGCTCGATCGCGACATTCCGCTTCTTCCTGGCGAACAGGCGATGCCTGTCAATTCGCAGCAAGTGTGCCCCGTTGAAGGCGGCACTGTAATGCTCACCAATTTTCGAGTAGGTCGATTTTCGAGCCAACCGAATTCACCGAAAATTGTTCAGCTTCTATTCCTCACTGATGGCGAACATCAATCGATTTTTGTGTTTACACTCATGGAACTTGAGCTCACCGATTTTCGCGATCCGAACCAAGTAATCATTTCGATGAAAGGAGGAAGAGTGAGAGGGTGAGTTTGTTTGAAAATTGTTCGCTAATGCGATTTCCAATAAAATCATTTCTATTTATCGCAAAACAATAATTGTGAATATAGGTTTACATTCGAATCTTATGAGCGAGCATTCCCATGGCATCGACAGTTGCTCAAAATTGTGTCGAAACTCAATCGTGGGCATTCTGTGGCTGCAATCGCTTCACCGACACAGGCAGAAGCTGAGAATATGGAGCCGATTGAAGTGTTCGCTTGGAAGTTTGCCGAGGCTGTCGAAGCGGTAAGAATTTTTTTTTTGGCTTTTGACATTTTTGATGTTTAATGTTTCAGTCGTCTTGTCCGGAATGGCTTCGATCGAGTGGTTCAATTACACCGGATGTGACGAAGAAGGACTACGATCGTCTTGGAATGAATGAAGATTTCAGAATATCGGCGGTCAATGAGGGCTTTCAGTCAGTTTTTCTTTTGTTAAAACTATGGCTGATCATGTGCTTATTCAGAGTTTGCGAATCGTACCCGGAACGAATTATTGTGCCATCTTCGATGACTGATGAGGAGATTAAAGAGGCTTCGTCCTATCGTGGCCTCAATCGATTCCCGGCGGTGGTTTGGAGGTGTAAATCTACGGTAATTTATTTGAGTGTTTGCTTCATAATGTTTTTTTTTTAAGAGAGCTGTTCTTATGAGAAGCGCGCAACCACAGGTCGGATTCCTCTCTTGGAGAAATTACATGGATGAGAAGATTGTTGCGACGGTTCAGAGTCTTCCGCCAGAGGGTAATTATCTCGTTTTGCAACCAGTTAACCATAATTGAATGTTTAGAGGGAAAAGAGAAGAAGCAGTTCGTGATAATGGATGCTAGAACGTATGCGGCGGCATTCGCGAATCGTGCCCGAAGCGGAGGATTCGAGAATACTGGTATCAAAATTTATCAAATCGCATGATCATCGAATGTTTGCAATTTTTAGAATATTATCAACAAGCGAAACTTGATTTCCTTGGACTTCCGAACATTCATACCGTTCGCAATTCATTCATCGCCATGAGAAATTTGTTGCATAGTGGAACACATGGAGATCAACTTTTGGCGGTATGGTTCCACATTTTTTTAGTCAAATTTTTCTCAATTTCTTCTTTTCAGAGCCTTCAAAACACTGGATGGCTTCAGAATCTTAGCAATTTGTTGTTCTCCTCGGCCAGTTGCGCCGATTATCTGTCAAAGGGCCATTCGGTTCTTGTTCATTGCTCGGATGGATGGGATCGGACCACGCAGATCGTCTCGCTCGCAAAGATTATGCTTGATGATTATTATCGAACGATTGAGGGATTCGAGGAGCTGATTCGAAGGGAATGGCTCGCGTTTGGCCATAAGTTCTATGATCGACAACAGAGTTTTAATGGTACGAGCTTTTTTTTTTAATTTTGAATTTCAATTGCAATTTTTCTTATTACGAATTACGAGAGACCGAGCAATAATGTTCAGGAAATTGGGATGCCGGCGAACGCTCGCCGATCTTCCTTCAATTCCTCGAAGCTGTCCGTCATTTGCAACGCGAACAACCCACCGCGTTCCAGTTCACACACGCCTATCTCATCAAATTGGCTCAACACTCCTACTCGGGACTTTTCGGAACATTTTTGTTCAACTCGCAAAAGGAAATGCGAGAGGCGCTGACAAATCGTGATATTGAGCTTGTTGAGATTTGGAGATATCTTGGCGATCATCATCAGGAGGTGATTTTCAAATTTTGACGCGGTCGCGATTTTTTAATGCAATTTTTTTCAGTTTGTTAATCAATCGTACGACGATTTGTTCAAAGGACCATTGAAGAGCATCAGCTTCAGTGTTATCAACCTCCGAGTTTGGCATGAAGTGTTCTCGGATGACGTTGAGAGATACATGGTTCATCAAGCAAATCCAAAGAGTCAGACTTATTCGAAATTTTCAGCATCTATACTCGCCCAACCCATCAGCGACCCAGTCGCCATCGCAACCTTCTGGAAATTCGGCGCTGACGCCTTCAAAGGAGAACGTTGAGCGTCAATCGTCTTCAGGATACAGTTCAAATTCTTCCGGAATAATTAAGAGCCGCAGCTCAGAGAGCATCAATTCGATCAATAATGAAGGAGTAAAGTTGGTTGATTTTTGGATTTGTCAAAAGAAAAAAACAAAATCCGATTGTTTTTAGTGTTCCACTCAACACGCATTCGGGATCGAATGGAGCGATTCCATCGCTTGACACATCGATGATCATCGCCTCGCCGCCGTCCGAATCGTTCTGCTTCGGAATGTCGACGAGCACTCATCAACACTCGTTGGCGTGGAATCAGCATAGTTCGAAAATCGATGATATGCTTGATTGCGACGGTCTGATCAAATTCGAAGACGAAGAGCAAGAGATTCAGCGACGCAAAAACAACGCGATGAAGGTATTTCGGTGTTTCGCGTCGGCGAATTTCTACTAAAATTTTAGAACGAATTGAAGCGCAAAGAAAATATCATCGAGGATTTGAAAAATCGTCAGAGAAATTTCTCGGAGAAGACGTCGAATGGAAGTATTGGATACACGACGAATGGATCAAGATTGGTAGATCCGAATATGCGAGATGTTGAGCTTGACGTTATTTGTTTAGAACTCGTTTTGCGATACGGACGATTGCAAATCGAACTCGGATATTTCGGTGGTTGAAGCTTCGGAACTTCCGGATGCGAACAAAGGTTGGGAGATGAACGGCACGAATTGCAAGTTGTGCAATATGGAGTTCTCCAAAATGAGCCCCTACCAAGAGGATCGTGCCCATCATTGCAGGTTTGACATTGCGTTTTTTTTTTCAATATTTTTTGTTGTTGCTTCTTTACAGAAATTGCGGCTTATTCGTGTGTTTCCAATGCTCGCAACACTATTTCCACGTGTTCGAGGAGGGCCAAAGCCGACAGAAGCGGGTGTGCGACAAGTGCTACAAAAAGATGTGTTCGGATAAAATTTCGAGGTGGCTATTTATGTAATATTGAATTTGTTGAAATGATTTTTCGAACCCGTTTGCGTTTTTTTTCTCTCTGAATCGAAATTTTCCTAGAAATGCCGTATTGGAAATTGTTTTTAATCACAAAATGGCCTAGAATTTTGCGACAAATGTTTCCTAGGCCATATATTCTACACCCACAATATTCTAGGAAGCCAACAATTTCTCAAAACGTCATCCCAAGTCGACACGAATTGCTTTAATTACCAAAAACGTTACCTATAGCTGTTCAGATCTTCCTCCCTCGACAACCTGAGCGACAATGATTGTCGCTCGTTCCGTCGCTGCATCTCGCCATCGTCGCACTCGTTGAATCGAATGCCGACGCAGCCGCAATGCATTCGCTCGTCGTGTAAAGGCTCGTCGCATTCCGTCGCGTCAGCGCACAATTCGCCCGGCGAGTTCTGTCCACATCAAGCAGTTAAAGGCTAAGCTTTTCCTCTCTCTCTCTCATTTTGTTTTGATCCTGGAAATCGCCTTGCCCATTAACTAACATTCTTTGTATTAATTCAATTGTACAGTGTTTTGTTCGTTTTTTTCTCTTCTAGACGATTTGTATTCCAGCTGTGATCTTGTTTTCATTTTTGCTTCGAATTCGTCGCGCCTAGCATTCTAGGTAGATTTTGTTTTTCGTATTTAATGTGTGTGCGTGTATATTCTCTAATATTGTATATTATATTATTATATATTTCTTAACCATGTATACGGTGTTTGATCGGTTTACAACTCTGTCTCACCTAAACACTAAAATTCTTTTTATCTCTCTCTCTCTCTTTTACACACATATATACGTACAACAGAATCACGTGCTTCGTCGTTATTTATTGATGTTTTGCTCATATTCGTAGAAATAGGTCATTGCGTCATCATCATCTCAATTGTATATAATTTTGCGAGTATTTTTGTGTTTTCAATGAAGCTGAGGCGTTGTCGGGTTTGTGAAGTGGTAGGTGGATTTTTGGCGGCAGAAGGAATGTCTGCAATGAACACCTTTCTTATTGTTTCTCGACAATTTCAGAGGGATTTTGATTACCAGTGAACATTGAACGATTAGGAGAAGCAAGAGAATCAATCGCATTGTTTAGCTGGACGAAAAAATATTGAAAAGAAAAGTGGGGAATTGAGAGAATATCTTGAAAATGCTATGCAATGGAGCGCGATTGCTGACAATAATAATGGAACTATTGCTTAGGTCCTGGAACGAAAATTTGGCGTCAGAGAAAAAATTGGTCTGTTTCTGACAAAGAAACATTTGTTTACGCCGTTTGGCATTTTTCAGTTAATTGCGCAACTCGAAAATTTAAGAATGTGACCGCACGCGAAACGCAACGCGCCGGAAATTTCTAGTAGTCGATTTTGTTTTCAGAAATTGGCAATTGTTATTTTTGTCCAAAAAATAAGCCCTAAACGCATTTTCATCATATTTGGATTCGCTTATTAATTTCTTTTCTCTTTTTGACACACGTCGGCTCAGAGAGCTCAGACAACTGTGGTTCTAATAAAGAAAAATGAATTTATTGATAAATCAAGAGCTATTGAATAAATCGGAAAATTTCGGCACTTTTTTTGTTTTATAGCCAAACCAAAAAAACGAGAACAACAATCGACAAATAAGGTGAGCAATTCGCCGAATTTCCTTTTCGTTTCGCGATTTTGTTGATAAGCAATCCGTCTTTGAAACGCTGCCAATTTCTCACGCTGAAGAGACCGAATCCCGCGTTGCTGCCGTCGTTTTTGCCGTCTCCTTTCGAGCCGACATCCATCACCGAGCCAGTTTGTCGCGCAGTTCCCTCGGACTTGTCGGCTATTGGTGAGGGGCTTGTTGTTTCTGGTTGGCCGCCGGCCTCGGCCGCACTTCCCGCCGAGTTCGCAGCGCCGCCTGATCCACTTTCAGATCCACCTCCTGATCCACTTCCAGATCCACTTTCAGATCCACCTCCTGATCCACTTCCAGATCCACTTTCAGATCCACCTCCTGATCCACCTCCTGATCCACTTCCAGATCCACTTTCAGATCCACCTCCTGATCCACTTCCAGATCCACTTTCAGATCCACCTCCTGATCCACCTCCTGATCCACTTCCAGATCCACTTTCAGATCCACCTCCTGATCCACTTCCAGATCCACTTTCAGATCCACCTCCAGATCCACCTCCTGATCCACCTCCTGATCCACTTTCAGATCCACCTCCTGATCCACTTTCTGGCCAACCTCCTGATCCACCATGTCCAATGTGAAGAGGGTATGTCAACGGTTCCCTTTGATCTAGAAAGAAAACATTTTATGAATTGTCGACGTCCGACGACTACAATGAGCGGGTCGATTTACGGGGAGATGCGTCTTTCTTGTGGTCTCGCACGGACAATCCTCTCATAAGCGTTCGCACGCGTGGCGAGACGTTTTCAAGGCGCATGCGCGTAAATCTACACGAGCACAGGAGTCGCCGGACGCCGTCAATAAATTCATTCGTATCACAAAAACCACTTTGAAGGGTATTTTTCCAAACGAGACCCACCGGCGGCAATTTAAATATTTGAAAAAATAGGTGGGTATATAATAATGATTAAATCGTTTTTTTTTTTTATTTTTTTCTTAAAAAAATCATTTCCAACAAAAATTCGATTAAAAACAGTTTTTCGAATTTTTTTTTGATTATTTTGCGAAAAAGAAAAACAAATTTCCGGCCAAGAATGTGCCTTTAAGAAACGATTACAAAAAGACTCACTGATTGGGACGAATTGAACATTAAGAAGTGGAAATCGGATGTACTTGAGATACGGATTATTGTACAAAAGCAATTCGACGTTATCGGCTTCATAGCAATTGTCGAAATTGATCTCAGATACTAGGGAATTCGCAAAAATCAGCTTCACATTTTTAATAATCTTCAAGCGTTGCATATATCCGACGATTTCCGACGCGCTCCATAACGTCGTATCCACTGTGCATCTATAAAACCAAATCACATTTGTCATATTTTGAAGCGCATCTTAAAAATGGTGCACTGTTGCTGGTTCTTTTTGCGTCTGACGACATCGCTGTTTCTTTTTCAGAAAGGGACTATAGATTTGTTATTTTTAATAGCCAAAAATCAGAGTAGAGGATTCGAGATGCCGTATCGCGGATAGCCTGCGAATCGCACGGAATTTTTTTTAAATCCAGATCGTTGTCATGTATTCCTTGTGAACGCGTGTTCGCAGAAAGAAACACGCGCCAATTGAAGCGCAACCGAACCCATGATCTCCATGAGACCAAAAATTTCGCCACTGCGCTATCGCATCGACGCGGCCCGCCAGCTCTATATGACGGTTGTAACTTGATGGCATTGAAACACAACATTGCATTTGATTTTGGCGGCTTAATCACGGATCCCGTCGCGGCTGGTATTATTATATTGTCGGCGTCAAACGACTGAAGAGAGACGGGACCATCAAATTCGTGAAATCAGTGTAGATTTAAATTTTCTTTTTTAAATCGTTTGACTCCGACAATATAACGACTTCACGGCTCGCCGCTACTCACGTACGGCCTAGAAACATCTTCCTCAAAAATTTGGTTCGGCCACGGCCACACTTGATAGGTTAATTAATTTTGTTAAGTATTGTTGAGAAATGACAAATGTATCGAGGTGTCGTGGGATCCTGCGTTTTGTACGCAATGCTAAGAGACAGTTACCGTAATCCTCGCAGCGATTTACGGAGTTTTTTTTTTTAAATTTTCTTTCAATTTTTTTTGCTGAATTTTCTTATTTTCTTTAGAAATCTTATATTAAAAAATCTGTCGAAACCGAGTTTAATTATTTAATTTTCAGAATATGCACTTTTCCATTTGTCTAGTTGAGATGGGAATTATTGTGAAGATTTTGACGCTCTAAAAATTATTTTGTAAATGAAGAATACAAAAACAAGATAATAGAAACGCGTACAAAAAGCAAAACACGAAGAAATAATTTTATTAATGACAAAAAAGTTTTCTTTTAAATCTCTGCTATTTTTACTAAAAAAATATCGTTTAAAAGTGCTTATTCTGCTAAATACATTATTAAACTCGGTTTCTGCAAAATTTAAATTAAAAAATTTCGAAAGAAAATTTAAAAAATTGAACGAAATATAAAAAAAAATGAATATGCGAAATTTAAAAAAAATCCCGTAAATCGCTGCGAGGATTACGGTAGCTGTCTCTTGTCATTGCGTACAAAACGCAGGATCCTACGACACCTGGATACATTTGTCATTTTTCAACAATAGAACTAAATGAATACGAATACAATTTTGTTTATTTACGATTTCAAAAACCAGATATCAAAATAAAAGACGCAACTTCGTGGATTACACACAATTTAAAAAATTTGGTATCCAAATACCCACTGTTTAAATTCAAATTTGAATTACCCGCCTCGAAAAAAGTGCGATGGTCCACAATTTGTCAAAGTACTCATTTTTTGCAACGATGGTAATAATATTAGAATATTTTTCTTCAAAAAAAAAAAAAAAAAAAAGACATACAGTTGGTTGGGAATATTGCTATCGATATCCGTGCAATGGGAGATGTCCGAATATTGGGTGATGGTTCCATGAATTGAGCACTTAAAGTCAGGGATAAAAATAGCGGAGCATTGCTGCCACAATGAAATGAAGATAAGGATTTTTCCAAACATTCCCGCAAAAAAATAATCGATTTTCGGCTATTCACATCACGTACGAAATCTCTCACGTCATCATGATAATTCTTCTTGAACAAATTCAAATTTCCCGCCAATCATTATTGATATGGGCGGGCGGTCTCGCATGGAAATGTCAATTTCTATCAATAATACATATATTGTGGCTACAATAATTTGATCTTTACGAGACCGCTCGATAATAATTATTATTGAATCAAAAAAAAATTTTTAATGATGGTCCCTTGAGAATTTCATCGAACGCCATTTATTGCGATATATGTAAATAATAAACAAACACGATAAGCTCATTAAACCGATTAGTTTGAAGCATCAGAAGAGCGTCCACAAGGGATTTTGAGCAGATGCGCCGATTTGGAGATTTTCTTTGAAACACACATATGGCAAATAATCGGCAATCAACAATAATCAATTATTTGCGAGCGAATGCGCGTCTTTCAAAGAAATGGTCTCGCGACGAATGTGGAGTGTGTACTCCACTCGGACAATGCCATACTGAAATTGTTAAACAAAACGAGCATTTATAAGAATCTTAGTATTTCTACTGTTTAAATTGAAATTTGAATTACCACACCAAAAACATTCAATGGTCCGTATTAGGGGGCGGGATATATATAGAAGCCATGAAACCGCTGAAATTCACAAAATGTTGATGTCCTCTGGTAACTCAAAACCAATAGGATCCGACGAAATTCGGCTTTGGAAATTCCACGGATGAGATTTTAGCATTTTCGGATCCGATTGCTAATTTGCCGGGTCCGATTCGAATTGAAAAATTAAAAAAATATGAACTAATTGGATATGACAAACTAGTAAAAGGATCCGAAGAGAATCCAGTCGGATCAGAAAATAGCCAGTGTGTACTTCACACGGACAATGTCACACTGAACTTTTTTCAAAAAAAAAAAACGAGCATACTATACTTAATAAGAATATTCTGGTATTCGAATTTCCACTGTTCAAATTGAAATTTGAATTACCACACCAAAAACATTCCATGGTCCCTATTAGGGCCTCTCGTGTCGTTTTTTTTTGCAAAACTAATCGGATCCGACATTTAACAATTTTATCCGTCGTATTTCCTATCGGATCGGATTGATTCCTGAGCCGGATTTTGTCGGATCCGATTGATTTTTGAGTTACCAGAGTCGTTTTAATTTTGCTTTCTTCGAAAATCTCGCGAAAGTCGTACAATTAGACGCTGCTGAAAATCGGTACGACGTTCACGAGAAGCTGAATATGTCGCAGCACATCGAACGCGAATACGGTTCAGGGTAGGGCATTCATCCGCGGCCGGGAAAAACAAGTCCGTGGCCGGGAAAAGCAAGTCCGCGGCCGGGAAAACAAGACAAGTCCGCGGCCATGTTGTATTTCATTTTTCTAAATTGCAATTTTTATAATTATCTGTTTTTTGGCAATTTCATTCATTTTTTTCTATTTTTCTTCGATAAATTTCTTATGTTGCTAATGATAATGTATGCATTTCATGTCTCCTTTTTTTTCCTTAATTTTCATTTTGTGCTTCACCACAGATACACTGTGGATCCAAATTAAACTGAGAAGTGAATGTTATCATATTTAATTGCTAATGATATTCAATAAATGACGAAAATGTTTTTTTTTTCTTTTTGAAAACGTCCGCGGACGCACGGATGCCCAAGTTCAGGGTGTCTCAAATCGTATTCGCGATGATATTGGGTCTCGCCGTGAACGCTCAAATATCCACTAAACAGTCTTCTTATTCGATCAAGAAAAATTCACTCAAGTGTGTTAAAGAGTCCGTATTCGCCCCCCAATAAAACGCAATTTTATGACGTGTTTGAAATCGCGCGCCGCTCGCCGTCGAAAATATTGCATTGAATGTCGTTTCGGCCAAAAATAGGCATCATATATTGACATTACAATTCATTTTCCCAACGACTACGGTCTCGAGAAATCTCCAAAAAGCGAAAAAATGTTTCTCACATCCGAAGGAATTTCTGTTTTTGGCCAACAATAATGGCTAGTTGGAAAATAAATTCTAGGTTTTGCACGAAACAACGTGATTATTTGATTTTGTTTTCGTGCTGGCAAATTTCCAATAAATTCCGCAACCCCACCGAAAAAAAAATCTCATTAGCAACTTCTTTTTTTTTCTCGTCGATTTTCAATACATACTCTGGCATCGCCTCATTAGCATTTCCTAATTATCATAATTTGAGATGGAGATTTTTTTTTCAATTCCCCTCGCCTTCCCCTCGCCTTCCTCCCAAATCCGAAACAAACAAAAAACGCGAATTCCTGAATGTTCTTCTCGACAAGACATTGATGATGTTCGATCAACGCGCAAAAATGTTGTCGGGCAGAAGTGAGAAAAAAACTGCTTGCAAAATAAATTGATATTCGGCGATGAGTAGAAGGAGCACAAAAAATGAGCAGCTTCGTCATCGGTCAGGTTAAACAACTTCATCTCAACCCTATCGATTCTAACCTACATCCTTTTACTCTTCTGTCCACTTCAAATATATATTTATTTATACTGAGAGCAAGAGCAGCAGCAGGAGCCACAACACATAGCACAACTATCGGACCGGAGAGCACACGCCTCGTTTTCACTTCTTCTTTTTTTGTCGGATTGCAACATGCTTCCCCCCGAGGCAAAAAAAGCTCTCGATTTGCAGAAAGTGGTCTCGATTCTCTTTGTGATTAAATATTTTACACGGAAAATGAAAATCAAAGAAGATTCGCTGAAAAAATGACAATCTACTTAAAAATGCAAAAATAATATTTAAAATATTATCAATTTTATTTATAGTGAGGTGAGTTCCTTCAAATTCACGAAATCAGTGTAGATTTAAATTAATCGTTGACTGAATATTAAATGCGCGTACACTCAAATGCAATGTACGCAGTCACGCGTACGTCTCGTTGCACCGAGACGCATTGGCACATAGCCAAATAATATTTCTTTTTTAATTTCGTCCACTCGTTTGAAATACCATCTGTCGATCCACTATAGCATTTTACCTGTGTCCAGTGAAGCTCGGCGTCGGAGTGCACATGTGAAACCGGTGTGCATGCCTGCCGACTGCCGTCTCGCCATGTTTGTAGTGTGCTCCATGCAATGTCTAGACGCTTGCCGCTTTTTGTCGAAAAAGTTTTGCAATAGAAGAAATAGTAGTAGAATGTTCCTTTTATAGCCATGAGAGGATATATTACACAATGACGTTCGACTTTCGGGTTTCGTCGTCATTTGACAAGGGCAAAAACACGATTTTTTTTATCATTCAACACCTGACTGCACTTGTTCCACACTTTCCCAATATTAATATATATATATATATATATATTTCTTTTTTTTGAATTCATCTGCGCCTTATCAATAATTTAGCAAATGCGTTGAAATTTGCCATGATTTCTCTCATTTTTCCCGGCCGTCGCTTTTTTTTCTCTCGAAAATTTCACATTTGACTTCTTCTTCTTCTTCTTCTTTTGCAAACATTTTTCAAAATTTTGCATGCCCGCCGCCGCCGCCGCAGGCGAAACATAAGCAGCATTTCACAGTTTGCAGAAATTGATAACAATTGTTGCCGCCGCCGCCGCCGCCAGTGGTGCGATATCAAATTGGCGCATTTGTAGTACTTCCGCGAAGAAAACGGTGGATCGAGGAAAAACGAAAGCAAGCAAAAAATAAAATGCGAATCACGCGGAGCAACCCAGATGTTTGATTGCAAAAACGGGTGGCGTTTTTTTGCAAAAAAAAACGAGCGGATTGGTTTGCTGGCGCGTTTGCGGTGCAAACTTGCATTATTGACATTTCGAGAGGTCGGAGAGCGAGCAGTTCGCGTCGAAATGCCCAAATTTCTCGCAAAACTCCGCCCACTTTTCAGATTACCCCCCAATATTAATTCTTGAATTTGATTGGAAACAAAAAAGAGTTGAATTCAAGTTTATAAGGTTGAGTTCACACGGAATATTTCGCATTTTATTCTCCTCTTCAATCTATTCTCGTACAATTTTTTCTCCATTTTTAGCGTTTCCGAGTTCGCGACTTTTTCTTCTTTTTTTTTCGCCATTGCAGTCGGCTTGCCTCTGCAAAATTTATGAGCTCTTGTCCGTCGAGCCGAGCGTTCAAAAAACATTAGCCGGCGTTCAAAAAACACCAAAAACAAATGTGTTGTCGACAAGAGAGGCGCCAATAAGTAGCGTGTTGGCGCATATTGAGTGCGCGAATAATCAGAATGAATGTTTGTTTTTTGTTTGTTTGAATTCCAGTTATTCTCTTTTCGCATAAAAATGAGGTTGAAAGTCGACAACAACAAAAGACAAACGAAAACCAGCTGACGGCACCGTGCATGACAGCCAATTTTTCATTGTTTCAGCTTCTATTTTTAGTCGGCCGATTGTTACTCATCAGGAGGCGCCCGAATGCAACGATCACGTTGCCGCCTGCCAAGTACATCGCCATCACGTGTAAACGGTGTCGGCGTCTCGCCAATTAGCGCGCTCTCTAAACACGCTCTCGTCACTCGATGAGGCCCGTGGGGGGGGGGTGCCCCGCAAGTCGGCCGACGATCGCTGTGTGTGTGTCACAAAAAATAGTTTATCAAAGAATTGCGCTGCTGCAGCACGATTAAACGAAACCGCTTGACGAACCTCGAACCGTTTTTTTTTCCTCCGCGCTATCCATTATTACTCACCATATTTTATGATCTTGTTTGTCGGCTTTGGCATGTTGTGCATTTCCGCGTCGTCGCCACAAAACAATCTACACCTCGCGCCATTTTTGGCACATTTTTTGTTTTGTTTTTGGTTTTGCAAAGATCACCCTTAAAAATAACAATAATCATGCTCGTTTTTTTTCTGTGAAATATTTTCACCGACTGCCCCTACCCTTAATTTTTATGGAAAAATTCCGAATTTCGAATTAATTTTTTTAAATTGTAGCTCAAACCTTTTAATAAGTATTTTCTCTATTTTTAAACTTAAAAAATAGCTTTCTTCATGGTCCCGTTGAGTTTCAAAATTAGTAGATCGAAAACATGTTATGTATTATTCAATTAGCCCAATGCGTTTCCCTCTTCTCACATTTTAATTCAATTTACTCGCCATTTTGTGGAAAATGTGAATTTCAATGAATCATTTGAGTCTACTTATTTCAAAAAATTAATTAGTTGAAGTAGAACAAAATTTTTTATTCCAAATTTTTATGATGTTTGCCTAAATGGCTCATTTTTCGCCATAAATCAATCAGCTAATCTTATTTTTTCCCCATTTTTAATATTTTTTTTCTATTTCGTTTTCTTATTTCTCAACTTGCACACTGAATTGAGGTATTTCACAATAATCATGTGTCAAAAAATGTTATCCTCCATTAAAAAAAATCACAATGCACCAGAAAAGCGCCAGCAACCGAAACCGCATGAGTCTGCACCTAATCCGCTAATCTTATCAATGTTTTTCAGGAATCATTCCGCTTTAAAAAGATTATTTCATTTGCCAATTCTTCTCTCTTCTTTTTTCATGAATTTTTTTTTCGCTTTTTAATTTTTGCGCCGTGCACTTTTAATCCGGCTCAATTTCTTCTAACGAAACCCGTTTTTTCCGATAATCAAAAGCGTTTTTTTAAAAAGTGAATCGCTGCCTACATATTTCACCTAATTATGTGTAGATTTACGAAGGAAAAAATCTGGTCCCAAAGTGAAAATAACTAATGACAGTTTGAGGGAAAAAAAACTAAAAAAAATGTGTTTCTGGAATTTGCATATGGATTATTTCGAGTTTATATATTTTTTTGCAGTTTTTCCAATTTCTATTAAAGGCGCATTCCAGAAAGACACCGTACACCGGCACGTCGAAATTAAATGGGCGTGGCGAATGGCTCTCCTCGTACACCATAGTGCGCCATACGCCATCTCTTCGCCGCGCCGCCAGACGCAATCTCATGGCAACCATGATTTATTCATGTGTTCGGGTTTCAAATATCACGGCATTCCTTTGGGGAGGATTGACTTTTACTGAAAATCATCGTATGTCGAGAGACTCGCGGCAAATGTCCATCGAATATGCATGCCCTCCGAATCCGCTGCAAATATTTTCTCACCCCCCCCCCCTCTTCGTCGCTTTTTTTTTCTTCTCCTTCTTCTTCTTCATCCTTCTCCTTCTGTCCCACAAAATTGCGACTATTTTCGGCGCAAGCCGTTTTTTTTTTCATTTCCTCTCTCCACCCGTCAGCCACCCCAAGAAAAATTCCGCTGCAACAAAAAAATGACGCCAATAATAATAATAATAATAATAATAATTGAAACTTGACTCATCCTCACTCGTTTTAATGCTTGATTTTCTGCTCGAAATAGGCCAAAAATTGAATTTCAGATGGATTCGTCGACCACGATTCAGATCAAATGCCCGTTGTGCAGTTGTGCGGACCTCGCGAGCCCCGAAATGCTGTGCGGCCATCTCGCGCAATTCCATGATTGCCACACAATAATGCAATCGAACACATTCGAGAGTTTCGCCATGTTTCAGGTATACATATTTTGATCTACACAATTCCTTGCGCACGATTCTCGTTTCAGATTTGGCTGTCCGAAATCGAAGACTCGCGATGCGACGGCGGCTATCTCGGAAGCAGTCAGGGACCATTCTACGAAGACGTAAGAATTTTCATTGTGCAAAAAAACGGGAATTCGTCAGTTGTTCGAAATAATCACCTGCCTGCAGGTGGAAAATAAAATTCATTCGCGCTAATCCGTTCATAATCTGCAATTTCTCATCTTTGCGATGGTAGATCAAATGAAATCCGGTCCGCGACGAAAAAAAAAAACAAAATTCGATGAGAAAAAAAAAACACAAAACGAACCGATTCCAGGAGTACTATTTGCTGTGTCGTCGAAATCCGCCGACGCAGGCGAAACGGCGACGAATGTCCGACGACAACTCGGCGATCATCACTTGCACCGCGTTCGTGCACGTCTTCGAAACGATGGACGGCCGCGTCACCGTTCGCTATTGTCTCGATCATTGCGGACACACGCCGGACGAGGTGCGCGTGCGACGACGCGCTTCGTCGTGCGCTTACCGCCGACGCGACATGCTCAAACGATCGTCGCCTTGCGAGTCCGAGGACGATTGTCAGGTAATCGCGAAAATCGCCGGCTCTCGACACCCATACGCGTCTCGATTTCAGACACCGCTGTCGCCGTCGACCTCCGTCGACAGCACATCAACTCTCGACGATGATTTGTACAAGGAGCTGTTCGACATGACCAGTTTGAACGCCTTCATTTCGCAGCGACTCGATTCAACCGCTGATCGCCTCAAAACGCTAACCAAGGTGCTCGCTGATATCGCCGTCGATATTCGCAACAACGATCTCGCCATGGTCAACTAATCATATCTGTCATGTACATAATCAACTATCATCTCGTCTAGTCCTTTCCTTTCTTGTGATTGTCTCAATCCCACAAATCCTATATATATATATATACACACAATTCGGCTCCAAAATTCGAACGGGATTCAGCTAGTCGATTCGTTTAGTGGAAAATACGTTCATTTTTTTTACATTGCAAAATAAAATCGAAAGAGTTCAATCAAAAATCATGTAGTAGATTCGTTAAGTGATTAGAATCGAGTGGGTGGCCGGGAATGATGGTGATGTGTACAATGCTGAAGGTGATGCTCAACGGAACAATGACGTGGCCTTCATCATCAACGACATCTTCGTCGACGTGTCAAGGCTGAAAAAAAAAACAGAAAAAATGATTAATGAATTTCAACCAAAATTATATACAATTACGGAAATCGTGAGCATGCGTGAATCATCGAACAAGAATCTTTGAACGCGATTCAGCATTTCCCACACCTACGCTTAATTAGAGCTCATGCTCAATTTAAAAACTAAAAATAGATTCATTCACATGGCTCGTCATCATTTCTGCAACGTGCAAATTTGAATAGCCGCCAATTTTCGCTCATTCCAATTAAGACCACTATTCATCAAATCTCTTAAGTATTACGTTAAAACGGTGCAATTAAGCACCTCAACATTCAATTATCGCCAAGTTTTCCATAATTTTCATGTTGCGCTACGAAAATCACGAGGAAAGATTTTCGCACAAAACCCGCATATTTCAATGTGTAATTGGCAAAATTTATGGGAAACACCTCGCTTCGTCACGTTTGTTTGTTATAAATCACACAAGCAAAAAGAAAAAAAAAACAGCGAAACACTCGCGCGATGAAGACGTGCAATTTGCAACCAGCCATAAGGCACAAATTCCGCAAACAACTTGCAGCCAAGTGGGGACCAAAACTCCGGAAAGTGTTCGTCCAACAGCACAACGACGAACGCACTCAATTATGCACAACAACGGAGCGCAAGAGGTTCCAAGAATCAAAACATTTTTTTTGAAGCAGAAAAAAAAAGTGGTTCCTTGTAAACCTTCAAACCAAAACGGATTCCTACCTCGGAGTAAGCGATTCGGCAGTAGTGGTGGCCGTTGCACTCGAACTCGGACCCGATCCGAGAATCTTCTGCATTTGTTTGTCCTGATCGCGAACAATCGCGTCATTCCTCTCCGCCTTCGTGTGGATACGATCGAGCATCTCATTCTGCGAATCAACCTCTTTTCCGAGGTCCATTCCTAAGCGCTGAAGGTTGCGCAAATTCGCCGACATCATGTCTGAAATTGAGAATTGTATGAGAAATGAAGATCAATTTAAAAGAAATACCAAGATTCTCATCGATTTGATTGTCCATCGCCTCCCAACGGGTTCCCTTGATCGCATTTCGGCTCGATTCGTTCAATGTTCTCCCAGAAGGCCCCGAGAACGAAGCGGAAGTTGTTCCAGATGACAATCCCGACGCAGTTTCAGATAATCTCGACGCCGATTTCGACTGCGGCACCGTTGTTGACGCCGAATCGCTCGCTTCCTGCGGCTTTTTCGAGAATTTATTTTTGAAGAATCCGCCGAACACCGATTTGAGGCTGTTCAAATTGCGCTGTGTCATTTGCGTGGTTCGATGGATCTCGTCGAGATTCTTTTCGGTTCTCTCGAGTTTCTCGCGCTGCTCGAGCAGCTCCTGCGCAGTCGCCACACCAATCTTCTCCGAGTTCTCCAAATGTCGACGCGAGCGTTCGGTACTATCAAGCGATTCCTGAAACACCAATTTCTCGGTTATGTCATACTTCTAATAATGTGTTTTGTTTATTTATTGTTTCTATTCAATTTTTGTTATTATTTCACAATAAATACCTATTCTTCATAAAGCTAGTCATTCTGTTGATGGCGGGTCCCGCGCGACCCCTTCTGGACGGTCACCGGCGGGTCCCGAGAGCTACCAGCGAAGGTGTCGCCAACTTCCCCCGCCGAACGTCACTTTACCCGCGCGGGTTTTACCGAGTGCTTCATCACGATATTTTTTGGAGCCGACGGAAAAATCACAATTTGCCGGGGGCGGGAATCGAACCCGTGAAGGATTATTATCCACAAGATCCCTAATCTCGCGCCTTTGCCACTTGGCTACCCCGGCGCAATTCTGGATTATTGCAAACACTGTGATAAGATTGATTTTGAAAAAAAAAATACTATCACTTCCGATAACAAACTTTTTGGAAATCTGGTGTCCAATTTTAATAAATTGAATAAAAACAGATGAAAAAATGATGAAACATGGATTAAAAATGGATAAACAACTGATCTACTTCCGCGTACTCTGTGTATTACAGTATACCGCACAATATATCATCCGGTAACGAATTGTCGAAAATCGGTAACGGGAATTCTCAACTCGGTGACCAAGTCCCCCGCGCGGGTTCCACTCATTTCCACAGCGAATTCGGCATCGTCACACTAGGATGTTTTCGAAAAATGCTTTGCCGGGGACGGGAATCGAACCCGTGAAGGATATTTATCCACAAGATCTTAAGTCTCGCGCCTTTGCCACTTGGCTACCCCGGCGCGATTCCGGAAAATTGCAAACGTGATGATAATATTGATGTTGACAACAACAAAAAATAACACTATCACTTCTGATAACAAACGTTTTGAAAAGCTGACGTCACGGCTCACCGCAAATCATGCGTGCCATGGAAAAATGCAAAAACGCAAGTGCGGCACGCAAATTATGAGTGAAACTGCATGTGCGGCACACTACCACATATCGCCGCAACGGCCCCAGAAAAATCGCCCCAGGTTCGGCTACGGTCACAATTTTCAAATTTTGTCAAGTCGTTTGACTCCGACAATATAACGACTTCACGGCTCGCCACTACTCACGTACGGCCTAGAAACATCGTCCTCAAAAATTTGGTTCGGCCACGGCTACACTTGATAGATTAATTAATTTTATTAAGTAGAACTAAAAGAATACGTATACATATTTTAATTCTCAACTCGGTAAAACTGAGGGCTCGGTAAAATTTGGCGGGTCTCGCGCGGCCCCTTCTGGCCGGTCACCGGCGGATCCCGAGAGCTATCAGCGATGGTGCCGCCAACACACGGCCCCCCACCAAACGCCACTTTACCCGCGCGGGACCAACTCATTTTCAAGAAGTTTTCGAAAAGTGCTTTGCCGGGGATGGGAATCGAACCCGTGAAGGATATTTATCCACAAGATCCTAAATCTCGCGCCTTTGCCACTTGGCTACCCCGGCGCGATTCTGTAAAACTAAAAACATGATGACCACATTGAATGGGTCGGAAACACGGCGTACTCCAAACTTGGGAAATTAAAATAATTCTCCGGAAATTATTGGACCCTGTAGCATCCACGGATAATTTCTGAAGCACATGAGATACCTGTCCGCGATTATGTGCAATCGATAATGGAATTTCCCAAAGACATCATCGTCTCATTTAGATGTTTTCGAAAAATGCTTTGCCGGGGGCGGGAATCGAACCCGTGAAGGATATTTATCCACAAGACCGCAAATCTCGCGCCTTTGCCACTTGGCTACCCCGGCGCAGTTTTGAAAAATTTCAGCCGCAACCAAATAGCAGAATCGAGGAAAATGGCGCGAAACAAAATCCATTCAAATTTTTTTTTCAAATTTCAGACAAAACCGAACCTGGAGGTATTTCTCGATTTCTTTTTCATAATAATCCGCTTCATCTTCAATATTTCCTTGTCCCATTGTCGAATAGCTTTTAATCGGTTCTAAAATTTAAAAAATTCCGAAATCAGAAATTTCCACCAAAAAAACTTACGCGCAGATGAAGCGCTGCTTCCACGATAATCATCATCGAACGGGTTGCGCGACATTTTTTTTTACAAAACTCTAGCTAAATAAATACTGAAAATCAGAATTTAAAATGAGTTAATAAAAAAATGGTCTAGATAGTAAAAAGGTAGTCAAACCTTTCAATAATTACGAAAAAGAAAGAATGAGAAAAAAACTAAAAATGATATAATATTTATACCAAGCCGGGGAGTATACAAGGACAAATTGAAAAAAAAAATATTAAAGATTGCGTGATCAAACCTGTATAAAATAAAATACAGAAAAAAAAACAATAACTATATTTCTATGTATAATAAAGTGGGAACCTGCTCAAATCAAATTCTTTATTCAAGTTGCGAGTATTTCGTTGGCACCAAAATTTTCGATTGCATTTTCTTGATTAGTGGAACTGAAATACATTTAAAAATTTTCTAGTAATGCCACAGGCAAAAACATACAAATTTTATTTTTTTTGGCCAAAAATCAATTCATCTTTTTTAATGAACTAAAATGCTCCAGATTTAATATCAGTCGACTTTTAAGAAACTCGATGATTCAAAATTTAACAACTTTTTTTAACTCTTCTAAAATCAGTAATAATTTTACTGCAATAAAAATAAAACCATTCGAGTTTTTCTTTAAATTTAGGAAATTGAAAAAGTTTGAAATCAATGTTAAAATTACAGAAAATTTAAGAAAAATACAAGTTTTGAATTTTTAAATGACGCTAAACCGCATAATTGGATCACATATTTTTCAACAAAAAAATTGGTTGCTCGATTTTTTTTTTATTCCTACCAGTATATGCAACAGTGGCATCCCATCCCGGTTTCGCCCATGTCGCGTGTCGCGTCTCATTTCTCGCCGACATCGACGGATACGCCCAAATATGGTAGACGACGTAGAGTTGTCCGACTTGCGCGAAGAATCCTCCGACATCCTGATTGGCTTCACGCCGGAAATTGATACCCTTCGACCACGCCGACGCCCACTCGATCATCGTTCCCGGCTACAAAAATCGAGCACATTCGTGAAATTCAATCGATGTATTTGAAATAAACAAACTTTTAGCACATACGAACGCAAATCATAAACATGGTCCGGCTCGCGTCGCTCGGGCTCACGCCAATAGCTGAACGACTTGACGTACAGGTTTTTGCGTCGATTGCACAGACGAGCCATGTCGTTGTCGGCGGCGCGCAATGAGCTATCCTTGAGATGGAGAGCAATAGACCTAGAGTTAAAAAAATTTTTTTTGGAAAATTGCTCAATTTAAGTTTTCGCAAGATTCCAATGGAAAATTTAGCCAATGCACTCAGTCTTGGAGCTAAATTAATTGGGATCGATGGTTTCCAAAAGTAATTCATGATATTTCAATTTTAAGTCATGAATTTTCGCAGGTATTCATGACAAAACCAAATCTGATTGGATAAATTTTACAAACAGAAAATTACCAATCAAATCGGAAATGAACTAATATAAATCGGATTCTAAAGATCGAAACGATCTAAATCTCTAAAGATCGAAATGTCGGATAAAAAAATTTAAACAGTGTGCAAGACATCTAAAAGGGTCATATCAAGAAGATCTCTTCTACTAAACAATAAATCGAATTCGTCAATTTTGAAATCTTATCTGCAAAGTTACTAGTCGGATCGGGCTATTTGAGGAGCCAAATTTTGTCGGATCAGTTTTGTTTTGAGTTTTTTTTTTGAGTTACCAGAGTTTATATTGCGAAAAAAAAACAATTTATAACAACTTTGAAAATTGTAGATATATCGTTTTAATGCGTTATAAATTATACATACGAGTCAACATCCGAATATCCTTTGGTATGACGCCACAAATGAATCGCTTGATCTCTTGTTCTTCCAAAAGCCACCGTCCACGAGCCAACCAATTCAATAGAAGAATTCTAAAACAAAAGCCATGAGTCAGTGTCAACAATCGCCAAAACCACCTTATTGTTCATCTCATTCTTGTAGTTTCCGAACGCCGCCAAATATTTCTCTTGCTCACCTGGATGATAATTATGAGCTGAAAAAATCTTGTTTCTTTAATGCAATGTTCTACTGCAAATTCTTACTCATAAATTCATAAATATACTCGGAAGAGGACAAAAGCGACGAATGCGATTGTTTCTGCCAAGCCGACGGATCCTGTCCTTTGAACAACTTGCTGATCCACCCTTGCGGCTTCTTCTCGCCTTCCTCCTGCTGTTGCTGATCTCCATCGTTCTTCTGGCATTGTCTCGCCGTCGTCGAGACTTGTCTAAAATTCTTATTTTATTATTTAAAAATCTATCTAATTCATCTAAAAGGTAATATTATTACAATAAAAAAATCAAAGAAACGAGGAGATCAATTAAGTAGATGAAAAATTGTGCGTGAAACGAGGAATTCGGTCAGCGAGTCCTTTTTCTCTGGCAATTTCGATGTCATTGAGTGTATTGACGCCAGTGGACATCCACACAGTCGCATAGCTTAAACTCTTTCATTATTCATGAAATTTCCTCCTACGGTTCGGCTAATGAGCTGCTCCATTATAGGTGCAATTCTGTCAACAAAATTCAAGGATCTCATCATTGCCGAACCGCAATTCGCGAGAATATCTCACTTGTTCGAATTTCCGAACGCGATATCCGTATCCAACCGATCGCCGAACATCACAGTTCGTTTCGGATCGATTTGAGCTCGTCTCAACAAAAACTCCGAAATCGGCTTATGCGGCTTGCCGAACACTTTCGGCTCTCTTCCAGTAACCGCGCTAATCGCCGCCGACGTGATACCCGATCCCGGGATGACGATGCCGGGAATCGGTCCAGGAAAAGTGTAGTCCTGATTCGTGACAAGATATTCAACATTCCTGTCGGCTAGGTAATTCGCAGCTCTCATAATCTTCGGATAGCTGAAGTGTCCATCAAAACTGCAAACCACCGCTTTCGGCTTCACCGTCAAATCCAAATTATGAATGAAATCGCCATCGGTGTGATTCGACAGAAGATCGGGTCCCGTTCCAAAACATTTCACTCTACCATCATTTTCCAATGTGCTCCTCAAATTCTCCGTCCCAATAAGATAAACTGGCTGGCCGGCGAATTTCTCTGGTTGACTCTTGAAGTAATCGGCAAGCACAATCGCCGGACTGATCACATTCTCTTTTCCGAGCCGCCCGAATCCCAATTTCGCAATCTTCTTCATATACTGATCCAGCGTCTTGGTGGCATTGTTCGTGAGCACAAAAACCTTTTTCGATTTGTCGTCGAGTAAATGATTAATGAATTCGATAGCGCCGGGCACAGGGATATCGCCAGTCCACAAAACGCCGTCAGCATCGAACAGAAACGTGTCGTAATCGGTTAGAAGCTGCTCGCGGCTAATAAATGGAACATTATACATATCTGGAACATTTTGGAAATAGTGGACAGAAAAACGAGGCGAATCGATACATCGTTCGTATTTATCAGTCGTCTTTTCACGCGAACAGTTATCATTGAGAGGCAGAGGAGGAATAGAGAAGCGAGAGAGCGAAATTAAACTTTTCTAGAAGCAGAAAATGAGTCACATGGAGGGTTTGAAAAGAAAAAATTAAGAAAATCTCTATTATTTTTTGGGAATCAACCTATTTCTAATCTTGATTTTCGCAAAAACTATACAAATGGTTGTCATATTCTATTTTCTCTCTCAAAGATAACAATCTCCGCGAATGAAAAAAACGACTAAAAAATCTGAACTTGTTATGGCCGAAAAAAACCAACAAAAATTCAACAAGAAAAAAACACGGGCGAAATTGGAAATTTATTGGCAAAAAAAACTGCTGGCAACTATGCCGACCAGCAACTGAGGAGAGGGCCAGACAAAAAGCGGCATTATAATTTCTTGAGCGACGAAACGCGAATCGTCTCTCCGCCTCTGCGTCTCTCGCATTCGCCTCCAAACTAGCTTCGATCGGCAATCATTTCATAATAGATACAACAAAACAAAATCTAAATTGATAAAATATTAGAGAAGAGAAAAAAGATGAGGCATCAAATTACATATCATATGGAAAAAAATCGCATTGTGCACAAGGGAAAAGAAAAAATTCATTGCAGCAACGATATTTGGCGGAAACGGGAAAACTGTGCAAATATGGGCATTATACGTAACATCGGACGCAAAAAAAAATTGAATACACAAAAATGAAAAGTGTTTTCCGGACTGACCTCACAACATTGGACAAGGACGCTTGTTTCGGGATCGCGGCCACCACTCGATTCATCCCAGGTAGCCTGCAAAAAAAGAAAGAAAAACTAGAGAAAATCGATAAACAAAGCAGGTTTTTGAACAGATCGAGCTTGGTCTCTGACACACACCACGTGCGTTGTTGCGAATCAAGCAAACGGCGTGGAGACGAGAGAAAAATGAATTGTTTTTTGGGGGTCGGGCGGTAATTTATATATAAATGAACCAAAACATTCGAACAAACAATTGTGGAACGAACAAAGACCAAAATTTCGAATTTTTCTACTGCTTTGCTAAACAAAAAAATACTACTACATTATTGTGGAGAGGAGAATTATTGTATTATTTCTTTAATACCTGAATATCTATCCTAGGATTTCGGATAGAAAAACTTAACGGAACGAATTTCACCTTATCTAAATTCATTTTTAAAGGATCCATTCAAGGTTAGCAAAATTCGATTCGATTTCCGATTTTTACCCATTTTCGATTTTTACCCAAGCAATGATGTAAAAATTTGTAAAAAAAAGACTGCATGCTACTGAAGAGGTCCATAAATATACTCAACAATTTGTTTTCGTATCTATTTTTCATCCACTTCTTTCCCAGTTGCAGTGGTAGTACGGGTATGGTCCGCAATTATTTCTCAGGCCTCAACCATTTGAAAAGGACAATCCCCGGTTGAATTTGGTATGAACGGTTTGACATTGTTTCGTGCTAAACCGTCGGGACATTTGTGTCGGCTAATTGAATTTTCCCTTTTTTCTTCCTAAACATTTCTCGGGTTGTCCCAAACCAAAAAGTGTCCGCTGTTTTTCACGATCGAATCGTCGAGTTGTTAGCAAAGTTTTTTTTAGAAATTAAGATTTTAAGCTAATGTGATTAGTAAAGAACTTCTTTATGGACCATTTTTTAATTTTTTTTTCAGATACCAGTGAATGAATTACCTATTATTAAAATATAAATAGAGGAATACAAAGTTCGAATCTGATTGAAACGTGGGAATCTATACTCTGGTAACTCAAAACCAAACGGATCATACTGTAAAAATATCGGATCCGATTGGTAATTCTACGGATAAAATAGGTTATTTGTCGAATCCGATCCGTAGAAATATTAAAACATATTTTTTTAAAATAATTATCCAATCTTATCCGTAGAATTTCCTATCGGATAAGGTTGATACCGGAGCCGAATTTTGTCGGACCCGATTGGTTTTGAGTTACCAGAGAAAGCGAGAAAAAATAAAAATAATCCATAAAGAACTTTAAGCATTCACACGTGACGAGGCCATGACGATTAGGCGCGTCCGTAAATCTACCCCGACCCATTAGTCGCCGAAGATTACATTACTGATAAGTATTTCATTGGATCATAACCAACAAGTAAACTATATAAAGATTACAAAAAAATAAATTTATGAAATCAGAACAACAAGATCAACAGAAAGATAAACCGTCTAGCCTATAATTGAAGGATAAATTAAAATTATTCGCTTCTTCTGGCGAGTGGCTGAACGGAGCTAGCAATTATGTGAGTGTTTCGTGGAGAGCGGTTTCCCTTTAAAAACATTTTACATATATTATACAGATTTTAATATTACTTGTTCATCCTTTTGTCCACCGGAATAGTGAAGTCTTCCAGTGACAAAGAGTCGCGATCCTTTTTTGATGGTTTTCGACAAAGCTTCCGCTTGCTTGCCGAACACTGTGACGGCGTGTCTTTCAGTCTTCAATAATTTAATTCAAAACTTCATTTTCCCATATAGTCTTGCTACCTGATCGTTGAAAGTTCCATCCGGAAGTTTGAAGCTGTGATTTGTGATAATGTTAAACAACAAGAACGGTTTGTCGTTCTTTCCAATTTTGTAAAGAGGATCCATAGCTACCCCACCAACAAGTTCGACCTTATTGATACTGTAAGCATGTCTTCGGTGCTGGTGGCTGTCTCCGGAGGGCTTCTCCGCAAAAAGATCGTCAACCTAGAAATATAAAATTACAGTTTTTTTATATCTTTCGAAAATCTACTTCTTTTGCCAATGGTTTTTCAGAAGACAAACGAGCCGTCATTGACATACATCTAACGGTCGATTGAGCAACAGATGATACCGTTCGCAACATTGCCTGTAGAAAATTGAAGCATTGAATTTTGAAATAGAGCACGTAACAATTTTAGTAAAAATTGTTATACAATTACTATGCAATCATATTCAAATATAATAATCAGAAAAAAAATATGAGAAATGAGGAAAATCTCCCAAAAATATGTGAAAAATTAACGGAGGAAAGGGGCGGTTCAAATTTGCGCAAGTTCCGCACAATGTTTGGCGTGCTGTGCGCATAGTGTTCGCATTTTGTAAATTGAAAACCTCGTAAATCGTGAGAAGATATTGTTTTCTGCAATTTTAATTAAAATATAGATGTCATTTAATATAATTAATAAAATTTAAATATCTGAAAAACACATTGGATTCATTTAAAACCGAAAACATTTAATTATAAAAACTCAAAAATTTGCATTATTTTTATTTCTTAGTTCCCAAACTGATTCCATTTTCTCAAAACAAAAGAAAAAGCGATTTTACCTCGAAAACAGCGGCGTCTTCAACAGTACAACACGAGTGTGTCTGTGTCTCCGCTAATCATTGTACTCCCTAATATAGCCCGTCCCAACACGGCCGTCCTCGCTCCTCGACCATCATCTTGTTCTCAACCTCGTTTTTTCTTGTCAAACAATTATTTCGTTTTGCCCTTGCCCTCCACCATTTTACGAGCCATCTGGTTATCCTTATTGGCCGCCTTCAACACAATCGATTGTTTATTTAATCTTTGGAGTATGTCTTCGAGTGTAAAATTTTGCTCTTCAATCTTCAATAGACCATTTTTTACGAGGAATTCCATTATTCAGTCATAGTTTCAGGTGGCTTTCGTTAAAAGATCTCGTTCATACCGCTTAGAAAGGTAACCTTGGTGGATTACGGAGGTGAGCGATTTAAAAAAAATGTATTGATTGTCAAAAACAAGCAAAAAAACACTTAAATCAATAATTATTGACTTTTTTCACTCGGAGTCCCCAAATTTATACTCGGCCAAATTATTGCATGATAAAGTGAACTAAAAACCAAATTTCAATCAGAAAACTTGAAAAATAACAGAAATGTTATAGAATTTCAATAACGGTTGTTAAAATCGACTTTAGTGACAACTTCAATCGTATTCCTTGAAAATAGAACTAATAAAGGTTATTTGAAAATTCAGCTAATTTTTTTTCAGTTCAAAATATTAACGACCCTGTAAAACCTTGAGATGGTCAATAGAAAATCTGATTTTTTTTCAATTTTGTGATAGAATGATTAAAGCCAAAATTTAGAGTAATGGTTGGCGGCGGACGCACCGGAGTGCATCTAGTGCTTGGCTTCGTCTTTGGAGGCATTCTCGCAACCTTTTTCTTCTCCGCTCATCCGGCCACTCAACTTGTCAGCAACTCGATTGCAGCATTTTCATCGTGCCAACAGTTAGACGAACAAGAAATACGAATCGAAGCATCGCCTCTCGAAAAAGGACGCGTTTATAAGGATGTTAGCGAGCATTGGATTGTAAGAAATGATTTTTTAATGATCAAATACAACATGCGATTAATCCTTGTTCAGGTACATCAAGATGATATGCCGTCTCCGCCCTCAAATCAAGATGCGACCCCCAAAGTTGTTCGGTCGAGATTCGCTGCCACTGAATTAGGAACAAGAGAGCGAATGATGGTTGCAATCCTGGCAGAGTCTGCGTTAGCGTTGTCCATCAATGCAACTCTCGGCAGGTAAATATTTATAATATTAAATAAAAAATAAGCAAATATTGGTTTTATAGACACGTTCCTCGTGTGCATTTCTTTGCGGATTCCTCAAGAATTGACAACGACCTTGCTCAGCTTACCAATTTGAGCCCCTACAAGTAATTTCCATGATTTTTAAATTATAATTATAGTTCAATTTTAGATTAAATGGACAGAAGCCGCATACAATGGTTCTCGGATTGCTTTCGAATATGGTGAGTGAGAAAATTCACTTTGAAAAATTTTATTAAAATTATTCCAATAAAAGCGAGTTTTTTTCTCAGAAATAATCGATTTGGATTGGAGCTGAGTAAGTTTTATTATATGTTGTCAGGTCAACCTTTGTGTCGTGAACGACATTTCTTTTTCTCCTGCTTAACATTGAACATTTGAAATTTAAAATAATCTTTAAATTGTGCAATATAGATGTTCTTTTTTTCTTATTTTTTCCCTGGGATTTTCACAATTGTTTTGGTTTTCAATTATCGTCCGTTTTCAGACTGTCCATGAGAGTTATGACTGGTTTCTGATGGTCAAAGATTCGACATATATCAATCCGTTTGTATTGAATAGAATTATTGATACAGTAAGGACAAATTGTTTTTTTTTTCTCAACGTATTGTGAATTGTAGATGAATTGGAATGAGCCGGTTGTGCTCGGTGAGCCGGCGGCTGATGGAAGTGGTCGATGCAGATTGGACACTGGTGTTTTGCTCAGCAATCCTGCCATGCAAATTCTTATCCAGTAGGTTATCCGTTTATAAAATATTCGCAATTATGCTTCTTCAAGGCAACGTCACACTTGTAATATCTTGAGTTCTGATGATGATCAGCTCGCATTTGAAAAGTGCCTTCTTCTCGCCACCAACCTCACCTGCAAAACCGTTCATCAAGGTGTTCGGTATGAGGTTTGGCGTGGAGCCGAACGAGCTGATTCGCCAGCTGCGCATGATTCGATCGAGGAATGGCGCCATTCGAAGGCGTTCAGTCATACACTTGCTGTGCCGAGGTTGCTTTCTGATGCCGATGCTTCTGCTCTTCATGATTTTTTTGTTCGTGTCGAAATGGATAGGTATTCGTGTTTGTTGAATCAACTGCAAATTGTGATGTTTTAGAATGGACAAAGAAATTAGCAAAATGGAGGCCGAAATAAACGTTCTTGCTGAGGAAGAAGCTCGTGAGAGCGGGGAACCTGTGAATTGGCCGGCAGCGATTCCATCGTTTGCGAAACCGCCGAATCGCTATCAGGTGCCCACTTGGGAGTACTTCACAATGTCCGAGATATTCCGAAGCGAGCCGAACCAGAATGTGCGAAAAGTTGAAGGGAAAGATTTCGATGACATCATTGAAGTTGTGGAAGCGGCACGTCAACAGGTCGAATCCGAAGAGCCTGAACTCGAATTCCTTCAATTGAGAAGTGGATATAGGCAAGCGACCATATTGATAATAGATGCTCATTTCATGTTATAGGGTGTTCGACCCACGACGAGGAATGGATTATATTATTGATTTGACGTATCGCAAAACTGTTAGCGATTCGCCGGACATTCGGATCAATAATCAAGATGACGACGAATCTCAGCAAGCGGTTCGCGATGAGAATCTCAATGAAGTCAGTGTCGAGAAGCGCGTCCATGTGAATCGAATGATCGCTAGCACTCAACTAATGAATCAAGCACCGTATGTGAAGGAAGACACTGATCTGACGATGGTGGTGCCGGTTGCGGTGGAAAATGAAGTACTACCGGCGCGAAAGTTGCTGGCGAGACAGGCGAGATTATGCTTGTCGCCGAGTGAGGAGACAAGAAAAGTACGAAGCGCGATATTTTCTGATGAAGCTGTCATTTATTTTTAGACACGAGTAGTCATTGCGGTATTCCCTGATGTTGACACAAGATCCATCACTTATATGGGAAATGACATGGAGGAATTGAAGAGAAGGTGTAAGCGATCGCTTCTTGAAACCGACATTCTCACGGTTCGACCAAGCGCAGTCCCAATTGGTAGTTTTGATCAAGGCGGAAGGGTTATTTCAAATATTTTTTGAAAATGTTCAGGTAAAGGAACTGTCGCCGCGGCAGCTCTTGATGATGCCGTTGATCGGTATGGCGCCAATACTATTTATCTGCTTTTGTCGCCACACGCCGACGTTCAGAAGGAGTTTTTTGATAGGGCTCGAATTAACACAATCAAACGTTATCAGGTACTTTGATTTCATTTTCTTTGAATTGTTTTTTTTTTCAATTTTTAGGTTTTCTTCCCGGTGCCATTCGTTGAATATCATCCAACGATTTCTGGAATGGAGATGACGGAAAAGGAAGCGCAGGAAACGCCGAGCTCGCAGGCGCGTGAAGCGGCGTTGGCCCGTCTCCGCGATGGAATTGAGCCAAAGCGAAAACGACCGCTTATTGTGCAAAAAGTGGGATTTGAAGGGTTGCTCGCGAGGATAACGATATAATAATTAAAGGATCATGGTCGATTTGATGCGCAAGACTTCACATGTTTCGCAGTTTACGGAGCTGATTATACAGAGGCCAGAAGTCGTCTGGGAGATGTTCAGCGTAGAAATGATTTGATTGCTGCGTTCCTTGGTCAGGATTCGATTCACATATTGAGAGCTGTGGAGCCAACGTTGCGAATTCGGTAATTACAATGAAATTCGATATTTTTTATTATGAAATTTGCATTTTTTAGATATCACAAACGACAATGTGATTTGGAAAGTGTCGATAATGACGATATTGCCAGATGTTTGGAAAGTAAAAAAGAGAATGTGGCAGCAAAGGATCAACTCGCCAAACTTTTATTCCATGAAAAATAATTAGAAATCCATCATTTAATTGATTCCCCCAACGCATTTCCAAATTACTACGGTTTTCGTTATCACATCCCTTTCTGCCGCCCGCGCCAATCTTTCTCTCGCCGCAACGCCCTTCATAGTCTTCTTGCCATTCAAGCTTTATCATATTTGTGCATATTTGTCGTCAACCCCCGGCTGTTTTGTTTTAACTTATTTCCAATACTTTGTGATGAATCTGTTTTTTTAACGCATTTAATACATATAAATCATTATTTTCAATTTTGAATGAGATAAATTAACACTCGCGATGCGCATTGGATTTTCGAATAGTCGAGTTGCGCTAAAAATCGCGTGATTGATTCGCGCTCTCCATACACAATCATTTATCTCGCTCATGTTGCATGCAACATGAAAAATTGGCATTCTCAAATATTTGCTCTCCATTCTTTTAGCAGTTTTTTGTTCGAACGTGACATCTGAACTTTTTTGATAAGAATCGACAGATAAAACGAATCGAATGGAATTTTTAATTCGATGCGGTTACGGTTGCTCGAACTATGTGCAATCGCGTGGACGCATTTCCGCACACAACTTAAATCTTTTTTTTTTTCAAAAATCACATCTTGTATGTTTTGTTGTTTACAATTTGCAGCTGCGAACGATTCATGTTGCGCTTTTTACGAATTGCTGTGCCACGTGTGCTCATGTCACACAAATGTTCTCGGTTTAATAGGCAATCTTAACGCACTAATTATTTCGACGCCTAACTTTTGGTTTCGTTTATTGTTTAAAGCGTCGCCAAGAGACCTCATAAAAGAAAACCGCTTTCTGGATTGAATTTCCGTCGCTCGAAATTGTGTTGTTTTCTCACAATTGTTTTTCTGTGGAACGCCATAAATAAAAATAATAAATAAAATCATACGACCTCGTTGACCACGTCTGTTGTTGTTTCTCATGGGTTTGTTGTTGTTTCAACATTTTTTGTTATAAAAGTGGTCAATGAAGGAGGCCACACGTTTTCACAGCATCACCCTCCGTAAGAGCAAATGTTCGCATTTTTGTATTATTTCATCTATCGAAATTGTTTCTCTCAAAAGCTCTGAGATTTCGCGCTCTCTTTCCGAGACTCCAATTTCTTGATTTTCGAATTGCATGCACAATTTTCCTTGTAGACCCCCCAGTACAATCTTATCTCGCAAATTCATTTTAAGCTCAATTCTAAAAAAAAAGGGAATTTGTCGTTGTTTTCCTTTCTGTTTTCTTCTCTAGCGGACAAAGCTGTGTCAGAGATGAATCACCCATACGCCGACAGCCCGTCAGAAAACTTGTATTCAAAATTTCGAAATACCGAGCCACCTAAATCTTAGTTATGCCACCATCAAAAATTGAAATGTGCTTTCTCGAAATTTTTGAAAATCGTTCTTTGATTTACGAGAAATCTCCACTTCTCACCTGCTCAATTCTTTTTAAAGCATGTATTTCAATGTTGTTAAATATATAGATTTGAAATACAAGCAAAAGCAATATTTTTTTTTAATGTATAATCGATAGTTTTCGATTGTGTATTTGATTTAATGGGTTTTTGATGTGAAATATTTGAACATTAATCTCTGAAATTGGGTGCGCGTTAAAAAATATTTATTTGTTGAATTATTTCAAACAAACACCCAATAATAGCATATTAGAAATAATAATTTGATTTTAATTTTTTCTCTTTTGAATTCTTCGATCCTCCATTTCATCTAACTAATCAATTTCTGATTTAATGATAGGTTTCTCTTTATGGAAATGCTTTTGTTGGTTTCTCATCTACTGGAGCATTTACCCTTTCGGCGAGTTCAAATTCTTAACTTGAATGTGTGTTTGATTTATCGTTTTTTGACCGCCATTGTGCAATTCGTTCGTGTCGGGATCAACGTAAATTACGATATTGGTTAGCAAGGAAGTCGACAGTTTCTCTGTTTTGTGTTTTGTTTCAGCTTCTCGCCCAATTATTTGTTAGTTTATGTCGGCGTGCAATACTCCCACGATTAATATGCCATTGAATACATTATTATTATTATTATTGACCATAAATACGGTGCGTCTTGTGACATTTCAATATTTAAGGCGGACATTTTCAATAAACATTTCAATATTCGTATTCTTGCTGCTATTATGAAGGGCTTTGGAATGAAGGCGTTGAAATCGTTTAGAAAATCAAAAAGTGATAGTAAGTGATAATAATGCGACTGTTTTTTTTTGTCGAGCTTGCGGGATTAGTAAGGTGTGAGGTCTGGGCTCAATTTCCCAACAAAGCTTTCTACTTGTGTGAAAAAAAAATTCGAAATTGGTACTGTTCTAATCGACCCCCTGATGTCAAAGGGTCGAAATTTGCAAAACATGGTGGATATTCACATTTTTTACTCAAATTCCGTAAGATTGGTAGAATTTCTACGTAATAATTAATTTGAAGAGCTAGGAAATTTCAGAAAAAGGAAATTAGAAAATTCGTTCCGATGATGTGAACCGGAAAGCAAAATTTGTGATTTTGCTTCTATTTTAAGACGCGCTTTCCTAGAACTCGTCATTCTCGATTTATTTTTAGAGAATTCATTTCGAATCTTATTAAAACCCGATATATAAAATTGTATTGGCTCAATTTATTTCTGTCGACGATTTCGCCGCCTTCGCTCAAGTGCGTTTCCATGCATTCTGACGACGACGCCATTCGATAGCAATTTTATTGCGTGTCTCTTCTGTTTTTTTTTCTGGTGGCGCTCGCTTGTGTTCGTCTTATGTCCGTTTGTTCCCCCCAAATTGTCCACCTCTTTTATCATCATTTTTTTTTCGTGTTTGTCGATATTTTTTCCGATATGAAATGAGGAAATGTTGTGGATTTCAGCCAAAATGAAGCTCGATGAGCCGGTTCTCAAAATCGGCAACTACATTCTCCGCGAGACGATTGGCTCGGGATCGTTTGGAAAAGTGAAATGTTCATCAATTTTTTTTTGAAAAAAAGCTTCATTTATTAAATTTTAACGTTTTTTTCAGTGGGCATTGAGGAAAAATCGCAATACAAGGTGGCGGTGAAGATTCTGAATCGTAAGAAGATGAAGGAGATGGACACGGTGGCGAAGATCCGGAAAGAAATCCTACACATGGAGAAGTTGCAACACCCACACATCACACGTCTGTAGGTGTCATTCTATTGATAGCGCTGATTTCACTGATTCGCAAAATTCTATCGTGACAGATGTCTGAGAAGAAAAAAAAAACCAACTTTCTTCTCGTAAATGCCATTTTCAAAATGATAAACGTTCAAGGGCAGCGCGAAAAAATCACGCGAAAACAATAAAGTTGAACAATTTCGATAAACAAAATTTTTAAGAGAAGTTTTCCGGTTCAGCATTTCCGGAAGTGGTTTGGAATATCGATTCGTTGAACACATTTCATTTTTTTTTCAGCTTCAACGTCATTTGCTCGCCCTCTGATATCTTTGTGATTATGGAGTATGTGTCCGGTGGCGAGCTTTTCAGCTATATCACTCGAAAAGGCTACGTATGAAAGCCTGCGAAACAAAATTTCAATTTCGATGCGTTTTTTTTCAGTTGTCTGTAAAAGAATCGAGAAAACTGTTCCAGCAAATCATTTCCGGCGTCGGATATTGCCATAAGCATATGATTGTGCACCGAGACTTGGTAATAAATTGTTAATTTTTTCCAAAAATGTTCATTATTATTATCATTATTGTAGAAACCTGAGAATTTGCTGCTTGACCAATATCGCAATGTGAAGATCGCCGACTTTGGATTGTCAAATTTGATGACGGACGGTGATTTTCTCCAGACAAGCTGCGGATCGCCGAACTACGCGGCACCGGAGCTCATTTCAAGCAAGTGAGTTTATCGAAATATTCCAGCTATATTTTCTCATTATCAGATTGTATGCTGGTCCCGAAGTCGATTTGTGGTCTTGTGGCGTGATCCTCTACGCGATGCTCTCTGGAACACTTCCATTCGATGATCAGCATGTGCCGACACTATTCCAAAAGATTAAAAGTAACCAACCGGAATATGTTGTATTTATTCAACTGAATTAATGCAGCTGCATCGTTTGTGATTCCGGCGAACATGGACTCGCAAGCGGCCGATTTGATCTGCAAAATGCTGAAAGCTGATCCGATGAAGAGAGCGACGATCAAGGATATCATGTAGATTATTCGAATGATCATAGGATTCAACTTCGAGTTTTCAGCGACCACGAGTTCTTCCAGAAGGATCTTCCTTATTATTTGTTCCCAGAAAGTGGGCATGGTGAATCATCGATTGTAGATATCGACGCAGTTCAAAATGTCGTTGAGGTATGCGAAAAGTGCAGTAGAGAATTTATACATTGAAATGTTTCAGAAATACAATGTGAAAGAGGAAGATGTCACAAATGCGTTACTCGGTGATAACCCGCACCATCATTTGGCGATCGCTTACCACCTCGTCGTCAACCATAAAAGGAATGGTGATGAGGGTTGGTTTTTTTTTTCAATTCTTTCAGAAAATATTGAAATATTCACAGAAACTCGCAAAGCAATCGAGGATTTCTACCTTCTTGGACAACAAGGACGACACAATAAATTCCCGAAAAGTTGGTTGAAATAATGTTAGATTATTGAAAAGAAATTCGCAGATTTAGCTGGAATTGATCTCGAAAAAGGATTCGATGCGACGAATACAAATAAGCGCAAACTGTGGCATCTTGGCGTTCGATCAATGTCGGGACCAGGTTCGATTGTCAATGTTATTTAATTATTATACACACTTCAGATGAGACGATGATGCATATTTACAAAGCGCTGAAGAAGAACGATCTCGAATGGAAAGTTTTGAATTTTTATCATATAATTGTGAGAAACAAGCCGACTGAGGAGAATCCGGATCCGGTAGGAAAATTGGATTACCAGCAATGAATGTTTGGAATGATTCAGAGCCGATTGTCTCTTCAATTGTACACACTTCCCGATAAGCAAGGATATTTGCTCGATTTCAAGTCTCTGTGCGACGAGGAAGAAACTAATTTGCCGGCAAGCAGATGCAGATCCCGACAGGCGTCAATGTGCGCGGGAAGATCGATTCCAGGAACGCCAAAGTGTTTCGACAAGGCGACAAGTCCATGTAAAATTTTTGTGTTAAATTTGAAATTTTTATAGTCATTTTCAGCCATTCCGATTCCATCGACGGTTGACGATGCTGATATGGCCGACAAGATGTCGATGACGCCGACACCGAAGAACATATCATTTTCCGAATTGGTAATTGTGTTTGTTTAACGATTGGAAACACATTTTTTGATTTCAGACTCATTTGAATTCGTCTTCGGCTATTTTTTCGACTTGTGGCGACGAATTCGAACGCAGTCGCTCAGCGACAATGGAATTCTTCATGCTCTGCCATACGATCATGAAATCTCTTCTCATCTAGTATTTACAGTGCAATATACTGTATTTATTTGGGCTCCTAATTTATTGCACACTATTTTTCTAATAAAAACAAAACCTTTTGCGAAAATATTTTGTTCCTTTTGGAGAGAAAGCAAGGGAATGTTGAAATTTTAATTGTCTAATTTATTAGATTACCTGTTAGAAATTAAGGCTGGCGTCCGGCGACTAATATATGGTGGAGAGATTTACGCGTGTGCTTTTCGATCAAATTTTACTCGAACATCATCAAATCGCATGAAAAGAGTATTCTTTTTGATATTATTGAGAAATGACTAATGTAAGTGTCGTAGGATCCTGCGTTTTGTCCGCAATGCGATGAGCCAGTTACCGTAATCCTCGCAGCGATTTACGGGGACTTTAAAATTTCCTGTTTTCATTTTTTTTCTCTCAATTTTCGTATTTTCTTTCGAAAATTAAAACGCGGGTTCCAACGACACCTGAATACATTTGTAATTTCTCAACAATACCTTTCGGTTAATCACCGTACTGAATAGGCTCAGTAGGATAGGTGTCGCACATAGTTCCTGACACATCTCTCTCTTCGAAACCTGATTTTCGCAAACCGGCGCGACTTAATTTCACAAGTTGTCCTTATATAAAAATTAATTCAAGATAAAATGTGCAGAGACTAGTTTTTGTAGCCACTTTCTCTTTGTGAACTGAGCGTACATAGAATTTTCTTGTTTTGACTTCAAAGAGTGAATTTGTGAGTGATTAGTCCAATAACTATTGAGCGTTTATTTCAAAGATTAAAAAAAAGAACATCTTTAGGAAATTGAAGAAATTGGCTTCGGCGAAGGATTCATTGTGAACAAAACACGATCGAGCCACTGAAATTTGAAATTTCACATACTGTTTCAATAATATGTAACACTTACAACTAATGGAGCATGAAGATGAATCTCAATCCAGCAGGGAGTTGAAGTCACATCCTGAAGATTGGGGATTAATAGGAAATACAATTGAGCATTCTTTAAAAGGTAAATACTCAAAGGGATAAGCTTCTCGGGTTTTGGACTTTGTAACAAACATACAAAATTTAATAAATTCGCCGCTTTAAACGCTGAAATTTGATCCACCTTTTTTTTTAAATTTTCTTTACATTCTTGGAAAAATAAATAGTTTTTTCTTCACTTTATTGTGTTTCCACGTTAACAAATATGGGAAAGACACAGAGGCGAGGGACTTCTGCCACTAAACGGAAAAGGGACCAAAACGCAGATCTTGGCTCAAGTACCTGTCTTTGATATTCGGCACCCCATCCTTTCACAAATGATAATCTAATAAATGACATCTTTTGTAGATCAAATGAAGCATCGAATCCACGACGGCTGCAATCATCGAGAAGCTGCAAACGAGCTTTTATATTCAATTCTAAACGAATCGCCAAACTTCTCTAAACCGCTCAGTGTCGAATATTTTCAATGAGCATTTATTGGCAATCTTGACGACTGTTGTTGGATGAAAACTGAAAATCGAAAACGAAAACTGACAAAACCTCAGCCAATAATAAATACCCATTAATGTAATTGCAGTTTCTTGATTGCACAAAAATTGCCGAGTCGCTCTCGCATTGCGCAAAAAGTGCTCCGTTTTGACGAACATACGTTAATTTGACCCCTAAATTTGTCGAACTTTTTACATATTGCTTAAAATTTTTACCATTTCCAATCATTCTTCTAGTATTTTCAATTGTTGCATTCCTGTTGACATTTGAGAATAGCCCCAAACTGATTTTGCTACCATTCGTGCACGGATCGGTATAACCATCAATCGTTATTGTAGAAGAAGATACCTGTAAAACAACATTAAATCTCGAACAATTCAAATCTTAATAATGAACTAAGAATGTTCAAATGATCTTCTGTTACCTTCACTTGTTCCCCAACCCTTGTATTCATTTCATAATAGCTGATCGTCGCCCAATATTCTTCGTCGCGGTATGGTACCTATAATTGGCGAAAAACGTGCGATATTGCAATTTACACCCATTAGGTTGTTACCGATATAGTTGGAACACCCGGCGGTATCGTGTACGCATTACTCGTATCCATTTCTTCGATCGCATTGTTCTGATACTGATTGAAATTACTGCAAATAATTTTAGCGTTTTGACTTCTCTGGTAACTAAATAAAGTGCATTCAAGCAATAATCAAAGTTTCTTCTTCTTCTTCAGTAAAAAATTGAAAAAGGAAAATATCAGAAAACAAAACTTGACGAAAAAAAAAACTGTCATATAAAATATTATTTATTTTTCGGTGCAACATTTCAACTCTGGTAACTAAAAACCAATCGTATTCGACAAAATTCGGCTCTAGAATTAACCTTATCCGATTGGAAATTCTACGGATAAGATTGTAAAATTGTCGTATCCGATTGGTAATTATTCGAATCCGTTTTGTTTTAATATTTCAATTCGAATCGGATTCGACAAAAAACCACAGTTTTTTTTCGTCAAGTTTTGTTTTCTGATATTTTCCTTTTTCAATTTTTTACTGAAGAAGAAGAAGAAACTTTGATTATTGCTTGAATGCACTTTATACTCCTTTTGCGGCGCCAACGACGCTTCACTTGCCGCACCGCCCGACTTTTATCGTATTACTAGAACACTCGATTTTCATCATTCCTTCGAATTTTTTGGTTTTCCCATTCATTACTTTATTTTTTCCAGATGTCGAACGCGGCGAGCGATCAGACGAAAAAAATTCTAGTCGGCGCTGCAATTGCCACTGCCACAATCGGCGCTGGATATTTGTTATACAAAAATTTAGGAACGACGACAAATGTATATTTTTTCAATTATTTCACTATAAAAAAAATTGATTTTTAGTTGGCGAAAGAACTTGAGAAATTGAAGGCCGAAGGAAATGAGTATTTCAAACAGAAGAACTATCAGAAAGCTCGTGAATTGTTCACGAAGGGAATAGAAATTGGAGAGGCGAAAAATTCAGAGGGCAATCTCGTTGCAATGTTGTACCAGAATCGCGCAGCATGCCGGGAGAAGATTGGCGACACGGCTTTCGACATCCTCAATGATTGTTTGGCAGCTTTGAAGCATGATAAAAAGTACGCAAAGGCTTATCTGAGAGCGGCGAAGCAGCTGCACATGATTGGAAAGAAGCAGGACGCATTGACATGTAAGGATTAAAATTTATATTTCGTAATCATTTCAATATTTTAGATCTGCTCGCTGCTTTTACACTTGACGAGAAATTGAACAAGTCCAACTTTGCATTCTTCGACGAACTATTGGACACTGATAATGTAAGAACTTAGTGAATATTGTCGAAGTCGTGGTGCCTACCAAAAATTGTCAAACTTCGAGCGAGTCTAAGTATGAGGATTGATTAAAGACACCGAGACCTCTACCTAAATTTTTGACTTTTTGCCCATTTTTCGCAGTCGCGCGACGCCGACAATAGATTATTTGTTTCGTAAAACAAGTTTTATACGAATTTTCAGACGGAATGCGTTATTGAACCATCCAAAGAAGCTATAAAATCGCCAGCTCCTGTTTCATTGTTTAGGGTAAGAAAACCTGAACATGTAAAATATGACATATTTTTCTACAACTTTTTCTTAAAGATTCAACAATGGTGGGATACGTGGGATATTATGGACCTGTTCAAGAAAGATTTGATATCTTTCACGCCGGAAGTTGACAATGATGAACAGCAAAATTATCGAAAGGCTCTTGATGCGATCAAAGCTGGGCGATATGAGGCGGTTCTCGAATTATTGAATTCCGACGAGATCGCGTTTTTCCCAGCGGCGATCCTTCGCGCAAAATTTCTGCTCTACTCTATTGATCGCGAGACTGCAACGAAGAGCATCGCGAAGCTCGTGATAAATATCGCATCGGCTCTGGAGTCCATCGAAGACGAGGAACGACGACGACTTGTGCAAGAAGCGTTTGATATTCTTCGAATCGAAGCATGCGAAACTGTTGGCGAATTGGACAAGTTTGTGAGAATAAATTGTGCTTTGTTCGAAATTTGCTTAATTTTAGGTATTTGGAATACATGGCGAAGCCAAGTGAACCGACCCGACGATTCAATTTGAACCTGTTCGCCGCAATCAATGTGGTAAGTGGGAGACCTCATTTTTTATTTACCGAAATTTTCAACAGTATAATGGATGCGCATTAGACACAACGGCAACGTCCCATCAACAGCAGATGATGGCTGATACGGTAATTTCCATTGATTTTTTACCAATTTCAGTTCATTGAATTTTCTAGATGAATACATCGAGATACTTGAAAGCTGCCGCTGAAGTTCAATCCCTAACAACCCATACTAAGTAAGGGGGCATCTCAAAGTTATTTTTTCAATCAATTTGCTGTTTTTGCAGAGCCATTGAGCTTTTCGTGAAGTTGTGTTCGATCGAAGACTATAGCGAAGTCCATAAGACGATTCGCGAACTTGAAGAATTGGCAACGAGCCAGCCGACGCATTTCGTACTACTTCTCATGACCAAAGTATATTTAATGACTGGAAATGGTGAATCCGCGAGAAAACTGCTGGAAGAGGCGGAGAAGATCAACACACGGTGTCTGGTTGCGGCTAGACATTTGCAATCAGCGTGAGTTTTTAACGTATCTTGCAATTTTTGTAGATTTATTTCTTTCAGCGACTTATATTTGAACGTTTCGCAAGAGGAACGTGTACGAAAAGTGTCCGAATGCGCAAAGAAGGCGTTAGAAGTCGATGAATTCAATTTTTCTGCTCACATTCTGCTTCTGCTTGGCTCGAATGGTCCAGAACCATCGATTAAGAGGTAACATTTGGCAAATTGTATCAATTTTCGAATTTTGTTTTCAACTAGGGAACACTATGAAGAGGCAATCGAGCACATAAAAATGGCGGCGGTATTTGCGCCGATTCGCGAGTTGCTCATGCTCAAAAAGATGCTGCCGTTGATGAATGCGAAGAAGCGCGCGTCGGAATTGCTCGGAGTCTATTAAGTGCATTCAATTCATTCCGATACCTCTCAATTATGTCACTTTTGTCGTTATTATTTAGGGGAATAGAATAGAACATCGCGGTGCAAATGCGATTTTTGTCGAAACGGCCACACACAGACGGGTGTTCTTCATTCAACACTCCTCTCACCACCCTTTTAGTTTTTATTTGTTTTTGTTGCTTTTTCTTGTATTCTCCCCCCAAAAAAAATAATAAATTGTAAAGGTTTCTTTTCGCGCGAATATTCTTGCATTGCCGTTTCCATGTCGGTTACTTACGTGAACATTGCGCTTCCGATGTTGATATTTTGCGGCATATGCGATCCGCTTGCCTCCATTTGCTTGAGACGTGCCAGCGACGGCGGAATTTCCTGCGGCGGTGTTTCGGAATAGCGTGGAACGAGCACGGGCGGTAGAACGCTGGCGGTGAGCACGCGATTGTAGTGGTACGGATTGATGCAAATCTCTTTTTGTCCGGATTCGTAAAAAAAACTTAATTTTAAAAAAAGTACTGATTGGTTGATTAGCTCATCTTACCGGCAATCTTCGATCGGCTTCAATTCATGATGAGACTGTAAATCGGGCCATCTGTAAACTCGGCAGTAAATCACGTGTGGTAGTGCCTAAATATTTCAGAACTCATATTTTTTTGTTGAATTCGTGTATTTTTTAAACTTTTCTGTGCGAAATTTGTAAGCGACCATCCAACGAGCGTGGAATTGTTACACATTCAGTTTTTTGGCGTCCTTGACACTGAAAAGAATATGCGGATTTTTTTTGTTCGATTGAATGACTGAATACTTGAAGAGCGAATTCGAGGTTGTCCAATGCTTGCTTGTTGTGTTTCATTAGTTTTTTCATGAGTTGGTCGATCGCCTTCTTCGCCCAATTTTCGTCCTCATCGCCTGCTCAGTTTGAATTTTAATCGAGATTTTTTTCAATTTTAAATGCTCACGAGATTTTGGCAAGTTTCCATTTTTTTCAGGAAAAAATTCTAGATTTTTCAAACTTCATTTTTCCTAGAGAATGAAGAAATATTAACAAAATCGTGTAACTTTTTGAGTTTTCGAAGAAATTTACTTATGGAAAAGTCTGGAGAATTTTCATTGTAATTTTACGCCTTTCACTTTTTGATTTCAATTCTTTCAAAATTTCCGAGTATGGTTTTGTTTGAGAGTACAAATTAATCCGAAACGACTGAAAAAGTTGAAAATAATTTCTCATTGGTGTCGTTTTTGATATAATTGGCGTATTATGCAATTAATAATTTCGAGCTACACTCAAAAGAATTTCAAGGGGATCATCTACAAAAATTTAGCAAAGAATCACCTTGTTTCCATCGCAATCTCTCAGTGATCTTTCGAATTCCGTCAAAATTGAGCTAAATTTTTGGATTAATGACGAGTAGAACGAAACTAGTTTCCCCTACCATGATGTTCGATAATTAGCAACGACCAAATCAATCACCGTAAAAAAAAAACAACAACAAAATATAGGTTAGTATAGGTTTTGAAGTAATCGCACCGTTATACGCTGTCTCTCGCGCCCTCCTCGTTTTCGAAATGCGAATTTTCGCCGTCAATTTCCGCCGGTTTTTTCTTTGTGCGTCTGAGTTTTGCGCGTTGTTTTATCTCATTCATTCACCGTTTCGACCCAATCGACCGTTATCGCGTGCGGAGACACAGTGCTTGCCTAGTAATGAGTCGCGTCGTCCGTCGGAGACGGATGAGAAACACATGGCGCCACAATGGCCGAGCCATCGCCTTCTTTCGGTGCACTCGACGATTTCATTCGCCTTCCTTAATGTATTTGCACAATTTTTGCAAATTGCCGAAACTTTGGATGCGAAAATAATGTTTTATTTTTTGGAAAATAATATCTTATTGAATGGGTCCATAGATGAAAAGGTAGGCGAAGTGATCCCCGTTTCATTTTCGCTTCGGACCGCATCGCCTAAAACGTGCATGCCGCCTTTTCTTCTGTTTTCACTTGCTGCGATGATCTCAGAGATGTGTCGCGTTCATTAATGGGCTTATTAATGCAATAAAAAATTTCTTAAAAATCCGCATTTTTAATGGAAGCATATAAAAAATACATATCTTGATCATTTTGTGTTATTTTTTTTTTACATTTTTTGAATTAGCCAATTTGACCTGCAACGAATTATTTGAATTTGATTTTTTATGACTTTTTTATCAGAAAAACATCCAATCCTCTGCCCGAATAAGGCGAAAGATTGAGATCGAAAGATGTAATCCGCATGTAAGGCGATTTCCAAGTCGATACCATGGAACACATCTATCATAAATTCTAGCGATGAAACACCCCATTCATTGCAACTGGGAAAAGGACAAAAAATGGATTAAAAGTGGATGAAAAATGGTTCAAACTCTAGAAGTGTATATTTTTCATCCACTTTTTAACAATTTTTCGCCGTTTTCCCAGTTTCGGTGTTTAGCAATAGATCTCTTCAAAATTCATGGAAATTCAACAAATATTTCTCACTATTATTGCAACATCATTGAATTAAATTTTTGATAATTCAATGTACCCTTATTAATTCATGTTTCGTGTATACATATATAACCTTATCTTAAAGGTGTATACCACTTTCATATTTTTTGCTATTTAGCCAATCAAGACCCATGCCGTCAGGCGTGTCGCGAGTCGCGTACGGTCGTTTTTTTGGAATACAATTTGCTCGCGCATTCTCCAGAATGTATTCACAATCGCATCCACGCGAACCGCATCGCGTCTAACGACACATCACAACAAATTATACATTGTAAATGTTCCAATTGGTTTTTGTTATTTCGTCTTTTTTTAATCTACTGGAGTTATACAGTGTTTAATGAACGGGGGAATTACTAGTAGTGCCGAGAACTAGTCCGCCACACATCGATTCATATTATAATTTTTGTAAAGCTTATGTTTTTTTTTATTCCCTTGACTTCAATGTCTCATACTTTATTATCAACCACCAAATGTTTATTTAGAATCGAATGCCCCTCGCTCTTTACATTCTTCTATATATTGCTCTCTTCAACAACTATGCGACATTTTTGCAAAATAACAATTGAAATGACGTTTTGCACGAAAAAACCTTGTGTTTATTCATTTTCAAATCCCCACGCGCTTAAAATTGCAGATTTATGCGCATTTTTGTATTGTATAGTTAGCAAACATCGTCATTTTCTTTGCTTCGTCACCCGTGCCAACCAACCAACCAACCAGCCAACCAATTCCTCTTTCCATTTGTTTATTTTTGAATATATATGCTTCGTTGCCTCGCTGGCAATTTTATCAAACGTTTCCAATTAATATCGCTGATGTTTCAGGAATAGCTTGGTGTAATGGCCAGATATGGTCAAAATGTACATAAAGCGTTGGTTGTGGAAACGGAAAAGCTGATTGAAAACGGAGATAATGAGAAACAAGGTTTGACATCACTTCTAAACGATTCATACGCTTTTTTTAGAAAATTCGATTGAAAAAAGGCCGAGTTTTTTATTCAAATGTTATGTTATTGCAAGTATGACATTAATTTGGACCGCTTACACGCTGACTATTAGATACACCCGAAGTACAGTAGAGCCAAATATGGTAAGACGACTTGTTTTTTTATTTTTTTATTTTTTTGTTATTTTGTTGCGGACGGACGAATTTGAGAAATTTGTGTGTGCTAATAATCAAAATGTTTGAAATTCATAAAAATTATGCTCTTTCATATTATTATAGTTAAAAAACTTAAATATCACTCCTAAACATTTTTTCCATACGAGACCCACAGCGGCAATTCGAACAGTAAAGCATTCGCACCCCAAATTCGTCCGTCGTCGACTATATACATATAAATATTAAGATGTATTCATCAACAACAGTTGTCCTGTGCTCGGAAATCACAAAACTCGCGATTACTCTCGCGATGTTCTTCAAAGAGTCCAAATATAGTTATAAACGGTTTTCAGAGGTAAATTTCAGAATGTTTCGCCACACAACTAACATTCATTTTAGTCAATTTCACGATATTTCATTCATGCGCCAAAAGAGCTTGTCAAAATGGGAGTACCATCAATTGCTTACGCGCTTCAAAATAATTTGGATTTCGTTGGATTGTCGAATTTAGACGCCGGTGTTTATCAAGTAGCCACAAATTGTTTTTTTGTTTTTTGAAATATAAAACAAATAAATTTGAGGTTACAACTCAACTAAAAGTCGTTTCCACTGCTCTTTTCATGATGCTTTTTCTTGGTCGCAAATTTTCGCATCGACGATGGCTGGCAATTTTTCTTCTCATGATGGGCGTTGCTTGTGTCCAAGTGAGCTGATTAAATCGTACACGCTCGATTCTCAATGCAGAATTTCAGCTGAATAATGTGAATCCGACGACGGTGCCAATAAAAGTCTCATCGGAGAATTATTTCATCGGAATCACTGCGGTGCTCGCAACTTGTGTTACAGCTGGATTTGCAGGTCGTCATTTTTGAGACGAGAACAAGTTAAATACGAAAAGTGACATATTTTAGGAGTTTACTTTGAAAAAATGCTCAAAGATGGTGGAAGCACCCCATTTTGGATAAGAAACATGCAAATGTATAGCTGTGGAGTGGTAAGCGTTTTCTTTCTCTTATTATGATTATTATTATCATGACTTTTTTTATTTGCAGATTAGTGCTACGATTGCATGTTTTGTGGAGTACGAAAATATTAGCAATAGAGGATTCTTTTATGGTTATACCGAGAAAGTTTGGATTATTGTAGGTAAGTTGGCGTGATTAAAAAAAAATTATTATTGAATTAATTTTTTCTGCGAAGATTCTGCCGGAAGTAGAAAGAGAAAAAATAATATTTTTACAGGTCTTCTCTCAGTGGGTGGCTTATACATTTCGCTGGTGATGCGCCATCTCGACAACCTTTACAAATCAATGGCGTCAGCTGTATCCATCATTCTCGTCGTCATTTTTTCGATGCTCCTCTTCCCCGACGTCTTCATTGGAATGTACTTCGTGTTGGGAACATTGCTCGTCGTTCTTGCCGTTCTCCTGTATAATTCCGTCAAGGAATAACTACTCCCTCTTTAAGCTTTAAATAACTTTATTAAACGGGTTATGTGACCGAAATGAATATAAATGGGTTGAAATAAAACATTTTAAAATAGAAACTTAATAGATTTAATATTTCTCACTGCAGTTGACATAATTATGTTTTCATTCGAATCGTTTCTCTTATTTTATTTGACTTTCGTAATTATTTCGAGTTGAAAAAAATGTTCATTGGACTACTCAATAAGGCATACTTACCGACTTTTGATTCATGTGGGTTCATTTACAAGCATCAGATAAGTTGTGAATAGTCAATCAAGGATATCACTCAGTTATTCCTTTGTCCAGCCTTGCTTGTCCAAAGCCCATTTCAGTTTTCTGATTCGTGATCCTCATGGGGTTTGCCTTTTTCGCCGACAATTTCAAACTAGAGGATTTCAACAGTTTGGAATTTGTTTCTGCGAAAACCAATTGCGATCTAGTGATTTGGGAGCAACTCTAAATGACGTTTTTTCTACTGCTGAATAGAATCAGGCCCATTTTGCACAGGAGCGGCCTTTGACTTGCTCTAAGCTAAGTCTGAAGCCAATTTGGAGAGGCTCCAGTGAACGCGACGTCCCGAAAATCTACAGCTTGAAAAAACATGCAAAATTCAAGTGAAACTTGTGAAAGAGACGCTAAAATAGAACATTTCATTTACAAAATTATATAATTCAAAATTTGGAAAAAAAATGAGTGGTTAGTATAGAAGAAATATAAAATGAAAGAATTTGAATTATTCGATATCTCAGTTAATGGTGATATGTTATTGAGAAATGGATGAGCTGCAATAAACAAGAAATTGCCCGTGAATGGAGATGTCGATTTATGTTTTGCGGAATGTTCTATATTGGTAAAGATGCCGTTAGACGGTTCAATGGAAATAAATAAAAAGGGAATGAGGACTAGGCAACAAAAACAATTTGGGACCGGGATTATGCTCATGGTGTGGTTCCTTGCTGATCAGCAAGTTGGATCATATTGCGTATCGCCGTTCGGATCATCGGATTCGGTCGGCGCTCATGGAGCTCGTGAAGAAACGAGCTATGATGGAGGTTAGCCGCCGCCATCAATTTGAGCAAAAGCTTTTCGGTCAGCGATTCCTGCGTATTGCAAACTTCCCATATGAAATTGAGCCAATCGCTCAGCATCGGATCATTGATTTCGTGGGATAAGAAAAGAAACGGGTTCGCGCCGGCATTGCTGAAAAAAAGAACGAGAAAATTGGATTCAATTTTGGCTATTCAAAATCTTACAGCATGGCGTCTTTCACATCTTTCATGAATCTCGGGTTCGACGTCAAACAGAGTGTCCTCAGAAGACAGGATGAACGCGAAACGATTCCTTCGTGATCTTTCCTTTTCTTTTCAATCTCCGCTGATGGACCAGAATTCATCATCAACTCTTTGCTCTGAAAAAAGAAATGAACAACAATTGGAATAGTAATAAAGAGATGATACCAATTGTCTCCACTGTTTCAACGATTCCCAGATTCTCTTGAGAAGCAACATTGGCAGCCGCTCGTTGGTAGTAGCGTGCAAATCTACAAACCTCTCAGCGTATGATGGGATGATCTCAATAACCCTGAAAAAATAAACCAATTCATATTCGATTTAATATTTAAATAATACCTCTTGAGAATCGTAATAGCCAATTTCCTACAATATCTCTTTCCTATGCAGATAAAGTTAAGGAACGTGGCGGCCGAATCAACATTAATGCTTATCTGAAATCATTTTTTGAAATCAAATTCTTAATAAAAAAAACCGATACCATCTTGCAAGCTTCAGTGTACACTTCTCGGCTGTCCGATTGCGACATGATCGTGACGTTGTTCAGAATCCGAAGGCAATTCTCATAAATGTTGCCAATTTGAATTCGGATCGCCTCGCATTGTTGTGCTGAAAAAATTGCGAACGATGATGAATTGCCTTGAGTGAACGAGGTTCTTACGATTCGTCGCCAACTGCAGATATTGATCCGACATGCGCAGAACGGCGAAAACGTGATTCGTCACGCCACATTGAAGCAGAATCGCCTTGTTGCTCTTATTGTGCAGTCCAATGTTCATAAGAACCGCCGTCGATCTTTCGACGATCGTCGGATCAAAGCTTCCAAGAAGTTGAACCACACTGTGGATTGGTTCGGCCATATTCTTCAAAAACAATTCAATTTCTTTTGAAACTTTAGAATGAACACTTACATGCTCTTTGATGGCTGGTAAATCGGCAACTTTCGCCATACAAGCGAGCAATTCATGAAGCAATCTTGACGAACCATGCGATAACAAACCACAAACGATCTAAAATTATTTTCAATATTTTTCACAATTTGAACCAATAATCTCACTTGTGCTCCGCCAAGTCGTATGAAGTACTCTCCATTCCTCGAATCCGAGAAAAACGAAGAAAGCGCCAATGCTGTCGACCACAAGAGGTCCTCATGGATCGTCTCCTCCTTCATAATGTTCAAGAATATCTTTACAACGTCGAGGCTCATCGCCAATTGTAGAATTTCCGGATTGGCTTGCGACAAATTCCTGATGATCGACACCGCGAATCCCTTCGGCTTTGATTTCAGATCCTTTTTAAGCGATTCGACGGCAAAACGTGTCACTTCGTCGCGCAGCGGCTTATTACCATCTCCAGGTCTCCTAGAATTCAATATTTCAGTGTTAAAATAATGCAATCGCGAATATTCAAATCTGGACAACCGCGCCAACAAAAAATAAGATCCATTTTTTTGCGACGTTTATTTCCAATAAAAAAAAACTTACGCGTATTTTGCTGCGATGAACCGTCGTTTGAACGATGTATTGCAGAGCAAGTGGGTGAGAAGCATCCAAGCTTTTGTGCAATAACGCGACTCCATTTGACTCGCACGATACATGATTATCGAGAAGATGCCATTGGGATTCTCGAATCGAAACTCGACGTTTTGCGAACCAATCTCGCCGGATTTTTCACGCGAAATTCGACCCATAATCTCCAAATTTAAAGTGTCGAAGATTTTAAGGCAAATCCGGGTCTTGGAGGGATACAATACAGCGTGGTAAAGAACGTATAGCGTCGCCTCAACAACCTGAAATAATGGGTTCAATTTTATAACTTTATTCTTTGGACTTTGAATTTCAGTTATTCAAAAAAAAATAAATGAATTGATATAAAATAAATAAAACAAATTCACGAGATAATTTTAAATAAAATTAGTACAAATATCAGTGTTTATCAAATTTTTTTCATTTTTAAAAATTATTATTATCAGAGTACTTCAAAAAAATCAGATTTATCTAAATTTCTATGACTAGAAAACCCACCTTTTCGTCCTCATTCTCACGTGGTAGGAGATTCTCAAAAAGTGTATAGATCAAATCTCGCAAATCCGTCTTTTTGAGACTCATCTCAAGCTGATTCTGCTCCGCTGCCGGTATCAACTCCCTCAGCGACAACATTTTATTCATCTAAAGTGTTATCCATAATTAATTATGCAGAAAAAAACTGTGATCATACCGAATCCGAAGATCGAAGATTCATAATAATCTCGTTGATGCTCATCCGTCGTCTCTGCTTCATCGGATCCTGATTTTCAACCGAAGATGATCCGGAAACCTTCGACAAAATATGAGGCGCTTGATGAGGATTTTGCGGCCATGAATAGTTGGCGATTTCGGTGTTGACCGACAATGTGCTCATTCCACCAATTGAGAATCTCGACAAATCCGACATGTGTGACATGGTCGATATTGTCGATCCCATCTAAACACTGGCGTTTTTGTTTTCGAAAATCTCGCGTTTCAAATTTACCATGCTCGGCGGTCGATTTGAATGCTGCGGTGACGGCATATTGTATCCAGAGCCCATCCATTGCTGCATGTAATTCTGCTTTCCAATCGCCGCTTCGCGCAATTGTTGAACGCGTTCATTCGCCGGAACAGCCATGTTCTGAGGTTGCGGACGAAACGGAGACGACGCGATGCCTAAATATGGAAATATATGAGTTGTTTTGTTGAGCAATGACCAATTTCGCGCAAATTCTAAACAGTTGGCCAAATTTTAATTGGATTTTTTTTTTTGAAAAAAAAAGCAACTCTAGGAAACGAGTATAAGCAGCTTTAATTTTTCTAAGAATTTCGCACAACTAATGAATAAATCCAATCTTTTTTCAATTTCGAAAAATAAAATCAAGGGAAATCATACAATTTTGGGTATTTTAGAATTTTTTTCAAATTTCGCCAGTTTATCATGAGTTTTTGGAATCATTCTCACTTAAAATACCACCCAATTTTCGATTCTATTTTGAAAAATTACCGTTATTTGACATTCGACTGCTTGTCCGATTCGGTGTCCCTGGCATATAGGAGCTATTCGGCGGAAAATGCGCGTAGAATCCACCCTGATTGGCAACGGGTGTTTCTGGGTCTGCAAATCAACAAAAAATAGATTGAATTCAATAAAATTCGGCTTATGGTAACCAAAAAAACGGTTTTACCAGTTTTTATAGGACATCGCAGCATAATCTCTCGATAAATTGGTGTATGAAACATTTTTTGGGGGAAATTTCACAACCACAAAAACCTAGGTTTGACAAGGGTTTTCTCAAAAAAAAATTGGTTCAAAAAAAAAAGACGCGAGACATTTTCGTGTCTAAAGTGCACGACGTTAGTCATTGTTTGAAAACATTTCACGATGAATAGAGACCGACAAGCGACTCATTGGCCAAATTTGAGCGAGCATTAAATCGACGGCGAGGAGCTCAACGCAAAAATGAAGCTAATAATGGAATCTAGATTAAACTTTGCACACGTACACTTCATTAATGGGAATTCGAAACACTAACACTAATCCGGCTTTCATGGGGGGGGGAATCTATCCGAATTAAAACCATTAATGAATCAAAAATTGGATATACCGATTACTCGATTAGGCATCATTCTTGGCGTCGACGTCGTCGAAGACATTCCGGAAGTCGATGGCTGCGTCGGATCGAATAATTGAGCTCGTTGCGGTGTGCATGGGTTTGAGTTGACTGAAAATTTAATTGAAAAAACTCTTTTTTTCAGTTTCTCTAAAAAATTCTCACCATTATCCGCATATTCCACTTCCATTTTTGTCGAATATCGAGTAGCACAAGCTCACTGCAAATATGGGGCATTTCGCTAATGCATGGAGAAACGCGAACGAAACAACCAAACACAATTTCAAATCAGATAATGGTCCGCAAACGCCATAATTGACGACATTTACGGGCCAGTTTCCAATTATGGGAAAAAAAGACAAAGGCAATAGGAAATCGGAAGAAAGGCCGCCCATTAACTCTCAAAAAATATATGATGTTTGTTAGGCGATTTGTGTAAAGTTCGAAAATATCAAGAAAATTTAAGGAAGTAGCATGAAAAAAAAAACCACGTGAAATTTACACAAGGATATCGTTCAACCTAACCAAATTGCATCGTTTGAATCATACTTATTCGTCGTCACTGACTAATTTTGAACTTCGCATTTTTTGAAACCGCTTGTTTGCCGAGTATTCTTACACTATGCGCAAGAAAACAAACAAAAAATTAATATTAAGCGAAAAAATTCAAAAAAAAATGGATATCGAGTGCAATATTCCATGATTGGTTCATCGAGTTGACAAAAAAAAAACGACGGAAAGCTGTGTAAATAAACAAGCAAAGTTTTTGATGGCGTTGGGGGTGCGTCTTTCACTCACACCACAGTGCACCAATAAATCACGTCTACTCGATGGTGTCAGAAGGGTACTCAACTCTATGAGTATATTTGCGTAAGCCTCCTGCCCAACACCAAACCTCTTTCTCTCATTCTTAGCACATTTGTGGTGGTGGTGGTGTTGGTGCAAAACTTGGGAGGGGCGAACCATCGAACAGGCGTGAATGACGCCTGCCGATGGGACAGTCCATCTCAAAATGTGTTGATTAATGGTGTCGACACGGTCATTAAAAATACAAATGCTTGATAGATGGCAAGTCGTGATATGGCGAACGACCTGTCACAACGATCGCTGCCAAATTTGAATGATCTATCGCCCAACAACTTTTATCGATTTTTTGCGATCGCCAAAATTTGAATCGACGCTAGGAGGTCGAACGATCAAGATTAAATCACATTCGTCGCCTCTCTCTCTCTCTCGCAAATATTTTTAATGATGGGAAACCAAAAATTCTCAAGAAAAAAAGCGAAAACAATTTTTGTCAAAACATTTCGAGGGCGAAAATTTCACCAATTATTTAAAAAAACGTACTGTTAAGTGTTAAACATATGCAAAAGTTACAGTAAGTATTAAAGACGCATTCAGAAACTGTGTACAAGAATTGAAGACACAAGGTGACCTAAATACTTTAAATTTCCGATAGTGATCTGCTTTATACAATATGCAAATTGCGTACGATTTGATATTAAAAAAATTTTTTTTTAACTTCAGACACTTTACGGGAATCTGAAATATGAAACAAATTGTGTTATCATACGCATAAAATCGAAAACTCATTCATAAACGAAAAAATCAAAAATTGATTATCAAATTGGTTCTAGTTTGTACATATGTCCAAATAAACAGAACCAATTTCCGATTCTGATGAGCACTCGCGAGTCCCGAGTGCACCTGTCTTTTCCGGCCCCAATTTTTTTGGTGATGCCTCTCCCATCCAATTGCAACTGTTAATAAATAAATATATTGACATCTGCGAGCAGATGTTGCTCAAAAATCTCCAACAAATCTAATCTCAACATTTTTTTTGTCATCCTCGTCGTCGTCTCGGTACAAGAAAATTCAAATTTTCGAACGCTCGCGCGTTACACTAATTGGCGCGACATATAATTATGCACATTTGTTTTATGAGATACAATGAAAAGACGATGAGACGCAGAGCATTTGAGTCATTCATGACAGCGATGGGAATATTTAAAAGATTGCCATCGAATACATAAATAATGAGGAGAGTTTGGAATTTGAAAGAAAAAAACCATTAACTAATGAGAAAAATCGTTTAAAGGAGCATTGGGGGGGGGGAGCAAAAAATAAAGCGAGAACGCGGCGATTGACTGACTATACTGATTTTATTGGAACATTCACCATGTCGTTTCATATTTTATTAGGCTGTAAACGGCGGTCTGAAATTGTGTGATATAAAACTGGGCGATAGCGAGAATGCGGAAAAAAATGAGAATGGCGGCCGTTTGTGTCCCAATAAATATAATCTCGAATGAATGAACGTAGATTAGGGATATACGACCAAAAAAAGGTGATTGGCGGGCTGATGTGACAAGTTTTCGCTAGAAATCAAAAAACAACAGCCATCAAACGAAGCCAAGGTCTTTTTTCTGTCTAATAACGTTTTTTTTTAAATTAATTGTAAACGATGGGGAACGAATTCCTAAAAAAAACCAAACGACAATAATAATAACAACAAAAGATACCAAAAAACATGGAACGGACGTGTATTTTGAATAGCGAGGTAAGTGGTTTGAGCGCGCACCGAGTGGGTGGGGCGAATGAACGAAGAAAGTGAGAGTCCGAGGAGGAGAAGGAGGAGGACGCGCCAGGCAGGACACCCAACACCCAAAAACCCAGGGTGCAACAGCACACGTTTTGAATGCAATGGTACGGTTGAACGGATGGTCGAAAACGAATGTTGGCGTGTATAGAGTGCGGCATGCGATGAGCGCGCGCCATCACCGGACCGTGTGACGCAATTCCAAACGGATTTTTATTGAACGGAGACGCGGTCTGCCAGGCCCGGCCAACCAACCATTTTTCTGCTCTCTGCGTGTGCGTTCGAAACATTTCGACCAATTTCGAATTGCGCGCAAAAATTTCTATAGGGTTTGGCGAACGTTGGCAACAATGGATAGCCGATGCTAATCCCGACCAAAATTTGGGCTAACCATATTCAAAATGGATTATTGTTTTGGTTGAAGCCTTTGGCACGTATTTAATGCGAATTTTTGAATAAACATTTGTCTCATAACAGAAAATACAGAAAAATTTGAATATACAAAGAGTTTGGGGAGAAAACTCTAAAAACTAAACTTTTCTGCCTACGGTTTTTGATACTCTTTTTTTTGCGAAACCAGAATTGCACCATGACACTCTCACAAATTAGAAAAACGAAAAAAACCAACCTATTTTGTTGAAATGAGGTGTCGGTATTGGTTTGAGCAGCTGAAAGAATAAACGATTCTATTAAAAAATTTCAATAACATTCAATAAACGAGTTTGTTGTTAATTGGGTTGCAATATTGCGAGAAAAAAATGCTCACAAATGAACGAATCAATATTATTGAGAGCACAAAATTTGTTGCGAACACGATGAAAAACAATTGCAAAATTATAGGATAATAAGAAAATTCGTTGCGGGACACCTGACCATAACCAAACATGTGGTTGGTTGACTCCCTTCCTGCACCACATGCCCAAATTAGGATAATATTGATATTGTAAATGATGCATGAACATTGTGCACTGCGCAAATACGATGTTGGGCCGACTGCCTGAGCACGCCTGGCAGGTGCCCATTTGCCGTATATTGGCTTACAAAGTAATTTTTCCATCACTATTCACACCGCAAAAATATAATTGAGGGTTTCGCCTGGAAATTTATAATTATAATACAGCCAACGCTGAGCGCATTTTCGGCGAAATCGAATTTGAATAGTTGATAAACATTTACGGGACGTGGCGAAAAATCGAGCCCTTTCGTGGTTTACTGCTCAATTTTGTCGTCACGGCTCAAAGAAGCCGCGCCAAATTGGGAGCAAACGCATAAGATGTAAATGGTTGTAAACCAATCTGCGGAATAGGCCTTTGATGTCTGTGGTCGCCAAAGTTTAAATCGAATTAAGCAGAGTGTCCTGCTCATGACACCATTATTTGAATTTCGAACATTCGAGTAAGTGACAGTGTGATATTTCCGGGGAAAGTTCATGCAAATGTGACAATATTCACACCCATAATAACCGTCTTAAAAAAACCCCTAATGTGTGAGAAAATTGTGCTATATTCCAAATAAGAGCATTCGTTTTATATAAAAGTTGTCAAAAGTTATGAACATCAATCGGCTATTAAGATGTAATGGTGGCAATTGACCCATCTTTCAAGTCAGTCCTCGGCGAAGAAAAGTTCAATAGAAAGACAGAATAATAATAATAATCCAATTTGTCAGAGAATATTGAAGAGTATTGGCTATTAAAGAATGCTTATATTTCTGTGTACACGATTGGTGCTCATCTGGCATTAATTCATTATTGCAATTCACATGAGCCACATGAAATACATATGTTCTGCAGGTGATAACTTTAATTAAAACATTAGGAAACAGCAAAGAACGAAACTGAAGAACCAACGCCAAATTTGGTTTGAAAAGTTAATGGGGAGGGGAACACGCGATTACGATAAAGATTTGAAAAACATGACGATGCACGGCCCATTTCATCTAAAACTTTTCCCATTTCTTGCAAATCCTTCATCTAACTATATAAATAGTATATAGAACGATTAAATACATCCAAATGTCAATGTTGGCCAGAAATCCACTGCTCGTAAATAATTGTTGGTCGAAGTTAATGACAATGCGTTGCGTAATCGGGTCCCACCCCTCACATTGTTGCATATAATCTTCCTATAGGAGAACGAGCCTGTCACTTTATATCATCGTAACCGGATTAGATGGTGTGCGTAATTAGCATCGACCTTGCACGTTGCTTCTCGATTTCAGTAGTTCGATTTGAATCGCAGAAAATAAACGGACAAGATATTTGGCGCCGAATCGATCTCGCTATCTTGATCGACTTTTCGAGTGAGATGGATATGGAAGGAATTGCGCAACTAACATCATCGGATACACAAACTTTGAGAGGGTAATCGGATACTTGGCCGAGTTGTATAACATATTACCAGAGGATTAATGACATCTGAGAAGTAGAAGCTGCATTGAAATATGATGTTGAGATAGAGGGGGAGGGGGTAGGGCATGACCATATTAATAATAAGGGTACAGCTCAATCATGGCTTTGTCAGAACGACGTCGCTTCGGACTTTAATTTGTCGAAAAAGAAGAAAATTCGAATATAAACTGCGAAAAACTAATACTATATGCACACATTGATTCAATCAATCATACTGATATTAATAAAACGTGCAATGGTGTGTTGAATACAAATATGAATTGCCATATGCATGTATGCAATAAAAATATGCTAATTTCGACGGTTTTGAATTAGAACTACGTGCATATAGCAATGAAAATTGAATAGAAAACGATGAATTGAATAGAAATGTCCGGCAAATGGATATATTTATTGAAAAGAGAACACGAAAGGAGGACGCGAAAAAAAAGAGAAATTTGCATTTTCTCACCAATAGGGTGGAATTTTTATTGAGAAACGAATTAGACGTGAAATTTTTGGATTTTTATTTAGAAACTTAGAAAAAAACGGTTTTGAAACAATAATTCGAGTTGCTGATGAAAAAAGAAAAATTATTTGCGAAATCACAGAATTTTACAATATTCTCAAAAAAGGGATGAATACTTTTAAAATTTTGTTCCAATTTGCATTCCGAATTAAATCCGAAAATTGAATTGCCTATAATCTATAGAAGTCGAAAATGAAATGAAGAAAAATAGAATATTCGAATGACGCGCCGGCTTTGTCTGCATTATACATTACGCAATATCGCATACCCGCGAAATTTGAATTTTGTGACGCATCGATTTGGCGCACTCGTCACCTCGTTCCTTTGCCAATCAGCAATGCTCTTATATATTTCTCTTGTAGTTTTCGATCTTCAGATGAACTCAAGACTCCGACCACGCCAATCAACAACATCGAAAATAGTAACGACAACGCCGGCGAAATCGCGAGCCGAGCGTTATGCTGGACGCAATAAAACGCCGAGAAATTTGGGAAAAGTTGTTAAATCCGTCATTGAATACCCGAAAGAAGTTGAATCATCATCGTCGTCCTCTTCAGATGGTAAGCATTAAAACGTATTATAAACAGATTTAAATAATTGCAGAATCTGGAAGTGAATATAACGAAAAAGATATTGAAATAATTAGCGACGATGATGTATCGAGTGAGATGGAAATTGACGATGATGACAAAGAAAATCGATGTATTGCATCAAAAACTAGAAAATCAGCCGTGGAAAATCATGCAGCCAAAACTTTTGCCAATCTAACACTCGAGAATGAAACCCGAACCCCTAGAAGAAGTAAGAAATACAGATTCTTAAAACTCTTGAAATAAAATTTATCCTTCCGAAAGATATCTCCATAGCTTTTAATGATTTCTTCAAATTTTCAGTTTTACGCTCTACTCCTGCCCGCAAAAATCAGGGTGCTTTGTGCTCATCGTCAACGTCTTCATCAATCAATTCGGATTCCGATGAAATTGGCGATGATATAATGGAATGTGTCGAAAGAGCCCAGTAAGACAAACAAGCAAAACGATGAAATTGTTTTTTTTTTTTAATCAGACGAAGCACACGAAGAAATCCGTTAGGAATAATAGCAACACCAAATAGTGCTTCGAGAAAGAAAACAGCACCGATTAAATTGAAAAGCACCAAAACTCCAGGAGGATCGAAGCGATGGCAGATTGAAAAAAAATGCGAAGATGAGAAACCGGCAGCTCCAATAAGAAAAGTTGTAATCAAGGTTTCGAAAATCATTGAATTATTGGAATCTAACAACGAGTAATTATAGCTTCGTGAGCCGCTAACCGTCGCTGAAAAGCTTAGAGATCTGTCATGTCGTTTGCATCTTTCCGAGGTTTGTGTCGCGCGTCATTTCCGCCTAATGATGTGCTCGTCAGGTGCCCACCGAATTGCCTTGTCGCGAAAAAGAAGCTGCCGATGTTCGCCGATTCATCGCTGACGCCATCCATCCGCTATATGGAGAGAGTGGAGCAATGTATATCGGAGGAACAACAGGAACTGGAAAAACCGCTACCGTTCGAACGGTAAAAATATTGGAATACGATAGACTGCTTAGATTTGGAGAATTTTCAGGTGGTTGAATCAATGCTGAAGAATCCAAAAACACCAAAGTTTGTTTATGTCGAAGTGAATGCAATGATATTCCGCAAGAAAATATTCACAGAAATCTATAATGGGTGAGTGAAAATAAATATTTATGAATGCTAGGCATAATTAGAAAATGCAAACTGCATTCTGTGAATTATACTGGTTATTTAGTGGAAAATTCGCTTTTCTAAACGTGAGCTAATTGAAAAGAAAAGTTATTCTTGAAAATGTATCCATTCGCATCAGCATTTTCTACGAATTAGAATAAAACCGGTTTTAGAATAGCATTCCAAATTGTTTCTAACAGTTTTTACAGTAGAAGGAGTAATAAAATAGCCATTTTAATGATTGCATTTGAAATTCGAACAATATAATATATTGTCGGCGTCAAACGACTTGACGAAATTTTTAAAAATATTGGCTAATTGCCAGATGTCTCGAGGCGAAGAGAAGTGTATGTGGCATACACTTTGCAGCGTGTTTTGCGCAGCGTGTTTTTGGGCGCGTTATTTTTTGAGAATTTTTCTGTGTCTCTTTTTTTTTATTAGCCAATTTCTTTTATTTTTACGGTTTATCTTACATTTTTATAATCGCTGATTGATAGTTTAAAATTTTCATATATTTTATGGCATTTTTTAATTAATTTGGCATCGTTAAAACTTATTCTTCATCATTTTTCGTTTTCTAATTTTTAGTACATTTTAGGAAACGCAATCATATTGAACTGGAGCCGAAGGACTTTGACAACTACTAAAGTTAACAAGACGGGTATTTATTTTATTTTAATTTAAAATTGTCATTATTTCATCATTATAGTTGCAGCGACTACAATGGCATCAAATAATGAACCCTTCGCGCAACCTTGAAGACAACCTCCAACGGACACAAAATTCTGAATTATATGCTCGCCTCGGTACTTCACAGCTTCAACAATACTAGGGAAAGGAAAAAATATACTCAATGACTTCAAGCTTCCGAAAAGTACGTTATCATTCTTTTTTATCTTTGTAGACTCAGTTTTATTTTTAATTTTGTATTCAATGTGAAGTTATTACTAGTTTTAGGCGATTGGAATCAACGCTCGTTTGGCTTTCGGTTATAAGTTTCAATTGTGCGGCGTCTTGGTGCATTTCGAGAATTCTCAATTAATCGGATGACTTTCCCCTTTGAACAATAATTTTCATACTATTTTTACGGTAAACAAAACATTGTTGTGGTGCTCTTAAAATATTCGATAAATGTACGATTCTCTCGCTTGTTTAAGTAAATTCCGTTAGTTCCGTGAACTTTTACGTATATATGGAGGTCTACTCATTAAAAGAATGCAAATGACAATGGGAATCAGGATTAAAACACGCATAACAATTTTTAATATTAAAAAATCGAAAAAAAAAACCATTTAATATTTGGTCAGCGCGTAAATCTACCCGCTCGTAAACCTACACTGGTTACGATATATTGAAGGCCACGCCCCCATCATGTCGTTTGACGCCGACAATAAATGAGTGCATAATTTCGCGTTTCCTTGTTTAGCATTCAAGAGAAATATGCGATTTCATCGAAACGAAATGTCACTTCGAATATCGCCCCGGCGACAGCTCGACGAGAATTGAACACGGTGCTCCGGAAGGCTGACAAACATCGTCCGCCTATTGTGATTCTTGTCGATGAGCTTGACGGATTAGTCAATCGCAAACAGGATATTCTGTATGACATTTTCGATTGGACCGCCGTTCCAGAAGCTCGTGTAACTGTGATCGCCATCTCGAATACTCTTGATTTCCCTGAACGAATGCTATGTCAGAGGATATCAAGCAGATTGGTAACACGCTTATGAAGTTGTTTGAAGATGTTGGTGATGTTTTAAGGATAAGCGGCGATTGATTTTCCATCCGTACGATCACGAGCAAATCACCCACATTATTCAGTCACGATTGAGTGGATCGGATGTCGTTGATAACCACGCGGTTATTTTGGCTGCGAGAAAAGTAGCATTTGTTTCAAATTATCGCTGAAAACTTCATCATTTTCAGGTAGCATCTATCAGTGGAGACTTAAGACCCGCGTTGGATGTGCTCAGGCGCGCTATTCGGATTGCACTGGAAACGAATGCTCAGACGCTGTGTGCTGAGCATGTGCTATTGGCGCAGAAGTTGAGTATGGAGCCGTTGAGGAGCCGCATCATTCGAGGATTGAGACCGCACAAGCTAATGCTTTTTAGAGCAGTTTTATCAATTGTAAGTTTTTTTTGGTTCATAAAGCCCTCAAGTTCCAAAATTTCAGATGCAAGATGGAAATAAGGAGGAGACGATTTTCGCCGACGTCTATAAAATTTATTCGGTCATTTGTAGTCAATTATCCGGTCTTGAGCCGATTTCTGACTGCGAAGCCTATGAGATGATTCTTCAAATGGCGCGTAGCAAGTAAGAGTTCTGCCAATTCGATTTGAATATATTTCTCATGTTTTAGTTTATTTGTGCTCTCCACTGGAAATTGTGGAAATTTACGTCGAAAAATCAAATTGGGAATGACGACGCATGAAGCCGAGACATGTGTGAAACTGGTCGAAGATGACCATAAAAAGACATTATAGAAAAAAATTGCAATAATTGATATATTTGACTAATTTGACTTATATTGTATGTTTTGATGTAATTTTGGTTTGAAAAACCCGCCTCCCTTGCTCCTGAACTTCGTGTTTCTTTTTTTTCTGAACTAATTGCTCAATAAAAATTTAAACTGGCACAGTTATTCTGTTGATATCTCAAGTTGCCCACTTTTCTATATTTTTCACAGCGAAACTGCATTTTGAACGTAACCAAAAATGCAGGATGGATGGACATGAGCAGTCGTTTATCATTGATTGTGCTCAACATGCACTGGATGCGCTCGATCATCAAATTGTCGGATTAGAAGAACAGGAAAGGTTCTCCATTTTTTGTTTTGGTCTTTTTTTTCGGATAAAAATCGCCAACTAATTTAATTTTTAATAAATTTCCTTAATATTAGATGGCCTAGGACTGTCGTTAACAATATTTTTCTAGGCCATTTCTGCCAATTTCCTCTAACGTTAATTTTTCATTGAAAAACACGATTTTTGATATTTTCTCGCATCCAACAATTTATTCAATCATAAATATTAATAAAAGTAGATTTCAAACTCAAGATTTTTATCAATTTTGGTGTGCTATCACGCCTATTTGTAATTGCAGCAAACGCGCTCCAAAGAAAACTTGAAATAATAATCCCAATTTTTAAAGGCAAATCGAACAACTTATTACTGAGTTCCAATCATCACAACAAGGACAATGCTGCTTATTAGAAGGTTCGAAAAATTAATTGAATTTTCAAAATAAAATTTGAATTAATAGGAGAACCGAATTGTGGTCGGGAAAGCGTTTTAATGAAGGTTTTAGAGAAGTTTGACCTGCCTTTACGCGTTGTGAATGTTGGTACGTTAATTTATCAAATTGCCTTTAGAAAATCGAATTTTTTAGGATATATTTCCGCGGATCCGTTGATCCAAGAAACGCTGGCACGAGAGAAAAATGAAGGGTTTTCGGTATTCCTTATTCGGGATGCTGATGAGCTTTTGACACCGCATCAACAGGAGTTCTTGTACACAATGGCTGATAAAGCGACGCGCTTCTCTTGGTTTGTATTTTTTTCGATCACAAGACATGTAAGAGTGTTTTTCAATTATCAATTTTATAGAAACGATTTTAGAGTTTTGCTGCGAAATTAGAAAAGCGTGGAACTTCGAGAATGCCGCGAATTCGAGTCACTTTTGATCAGGCACCGAATTTCGAAGAGTTTTGTGGTGCTTTTCGCAAATTTCTGATTCCGGCAAATAATAAAAATGGTGAGATACTGAAAAAAAATTCATTAATTATCGTATGTTGCAGTATTGTCCCCATATTACATAGAATTTGTAGATAAACTAAACTATCAGAAATGGTTGAAGCCAGTCTATGAGGTTTGTCAGCAATTTTTTTGGATTATAAATTTGGTAGATTATTGAATTCGATGTTTTCAGCGTTACAATTATGATGTCTTGAAGCAAATTGCTGCCCAGATTCTTATGCGGATTGCTTTTATTGACGAAAAGGTAAATTGGGTGTTTTTCAATAGGAATATTCATATTTTTAAAGGAAAATTTCGAGACATTCAGCGCGAAAGACGTGACAACGATAATTGAAGAAACTATTGGATTCTGCATTCCGGGCAACAATCGAAGATTGCAGTTGCTTCATGGTAAACATTTAAAATAAAGGCTAACTAGGAATAATTTGTTGCATTTCAGATCAAACTCTCCGAACACAATGCGTTTTTCTATGTATTCATCGACTTGTCAAGAATCGGCCAGCGGATAATGCACTTCTCACACCAAAAACAACTTATCGAACCGTGTTTTTAGGTAATTATCCATTATTTATCGTTATAGCGGAGAATTTCAGAATATAAAAAGCTTGCAAACAAGAATTACACTATTCTCGATGTCCATAGCGATATTTTCATTTTTCGAGAAATCGATCATCTTGTGGAATTAGGGCTTGTCAAGGCGGATAAGGGGGCAAATGTGACCAACACTTCATTCAGGTTTTCTTTTTTTATTTCTTTCTTCATTTTTTCTTTTCCTTTAGGAAAGTTTGGCTTGACGTTGATCCGCTGACCGTCGAGAAATCGATTCCTTCTTTCCAACTTCCCACAAAAGTTCAAAATTTCTTTGAAACTGTTTTGCAATAATTTGACATGTACTAATTAAATAATTATACTTATCACTCGCTCTTACGTGTTTCTTACAATAAACGAGTTTTCATTCTGTTTTTATTTATTAGATTTTTGACGAAAAATGGTGTTTAAGCCACAATTATATAGTTTTTTATTGAAATTTATTGAAAATCTTCCAAATTTGAAGATGACGGAAGAATATGATGTCGTTGCGCCGCCGAATGCGAAGAAAATGAAGACTGATATGACAAAGGAGGAGAAGAAAATTTTGTATGTGGTTTTGGAAGGATGTAGCCTTGAAACTGCCAAGGTAAGAATTTTGGAAAGTTTTAATTTTCGAGACAATACAAACACTAAATGGAATGGGTTCTAGATTGGTGGCGAATACGTGATTCTGGCGAGTGACAAGCACGCCAATTTTCTGAGAAAACAGAAAAAGGACCCGGCAGATTATCGGCCGGACATTCTTCATCAGGTGTCTTTCACAATTCGTTTCGATTTTGAAAATCATCTTGCAGTGTTTGTTGAATCTCCTCGACAGTCCTTTGAACCGCGCCGGAAAACTTCGAGTTTTCTTCCGAACCACAAAAAATGTGCTAGTGGATGTGTCGCCCCAATGCAGAATTCCGAGAACATTTGATCGATTTTGTGGGCTTATGGGTAACAAATTTTAATTAATTTTTTTATTATTTCCTCATGTTTTTTTTTTCAGTTCAACTTTTGCATAAATTGTCGATTCGAGCAGCCGAAACCTCACAAAAACTCATGTCGGTATGTTTATTTTAATTGAAAGAAAACAAATTTGAGATATATGAAATTGTAGGTTATCAAAAATCCAGTCACCAATTATTTACCAGTCGGTTCAAAAAAGATATTGATGTCGTTTAACACACAGGTAATTTTCTCACAAGTCATCAATTCATTTATTTAAATATCGGATCTTTTCATCAGGAATGTCCCGGAAATTTGCCGGCTTTAGATATTTGTGGTACATGTGGGAAAACAAAAACTATTCAGCAACGAAAAATAATTTTCATCATTTATTATTGTGTTTCGTGCATTTATCCGGCTTTCAGCTCCGTCAACTTGAGTTTTTGTTGGAAAATGTGATTTCTTATCAAACTTATTGCAAAAATTTAATCGAAATTCAGATTTCTCAAAATTTTTTCCCAGTCCATCCCTGGGTCTCGTGAAAAATCAGTTAATTTGAATTTTATTCACCAAAAAATGAATTATTAAGGAAATCTGCCTTGCTAACAAACTAGTCTCACCGGAATCAGACGAGCCATTAGTTGTGATTATTGGAGGAATTGCGAGAGGGAAGGTACACGTTTTGTATAGATATTGAAATAATATATTCATCTTGGCAATCCTATCTGAATTATCGAAACGTTGAAACCCAATTTTGCTACAAAATTGAATAGCTAACCATACTATTTGAGCCTAACAAAATTTTTTTTAAAATTCAGAATTTTGAATTTAAATCGACATACGATAAATAGACGATAAAAAAAAGAAATTCAGATCTCCATTGACTACAATGATTCCGAAATGAAGATCAGCAACTATCCGCTAAGTGCTGCATTGGCTTGCGCAAAAGTAACCAGTGGTCTCGAAGAGATTTGGGGAATTATTTAGGCGCAATTTCGTATCCATTGTTTTTGTTGTTGATTTTTGCCCATAATGTTAAAATTGTTATCATTGTTATAAATCCATAAAATACAAAATGTCGTCGCCTCAACACAATTGAGATTTGTTTTGTCTGGATGAGCTAATCCATTATTCGATATTTGAGTCATCAATCTTGAGTAATAGGCTTGAATATTGCGACCAGGTGGTCATTTTAGCATCGTGGGTGGCCGCGAATTGATTATTTATGGACTTGCACTCTTATTTTCGAATGTGATGCAGATGCGTTTTCGACGTTTTGCGATAATGAGTGGACGAAAATCGGTGATTTAACGAAAAAAAAAATCCCGGAAATTCCGATTCAAAAATCCTAAGTTAAGATGGCCGAGAAATTTGAGAAAATTGGCGGCCACGGCCATTTCATTAAATATTTTGAGGGCGCATCGAGCCGTACGACAATAATTAGTGTAAAAGTTGTCTTGAAAACCGTACACGAACAATAATGAGCTCTGCGTCTCCGCACTCCTTTTATGGGCCGTCTGACCATCCTCGCCATCGATGAGACGCCCTCCGCGTTTCGCACGTTGCCTCGCCGCGCGCGTCAGCTTTTCCCATATGTTTTGGGGTGTCGCAATGTCTGCCACCCTCCGCCACCCGCGTTATCCCTCCTACCGACTGACACGCTGCGCGTCACCCGTGTACATGTGTGTGTTTTGCAATGAGTGAACACACACGCGCGCACTCGTCGGAACAGTTTTACGGGCTCGTTTTCCACGAAATTTCGAGTTTTTTTGTCTAGCTTAGCATTTTTTTCGACAAAAACAATACACACCTCCGTCACATTTCCGACCAATTTTGTATAATTTATTCAAATTTCCCGCAAAAATTGCATATTGCCTCTTCATATCTTTATTGCATAAATTATGAAATTGCCCGAAGCCAATTTCGATCAAATTCGAGCCAATTTTCCGCAAATTGGTGTACAAAGATCAATAAATTTGGGCTTTGCAGATTTTTTAACCGCCTAGGTGATCGCAAATTTCCATCGAAGCAATGAAATCAATTCTTGATTCATGCGCAACTCCATATTTTCTCTTATTTATGTGGTAATTTGAAATCTGAATGTTTTTCATTCGTGCAATTCCAGTTCTCCCATTTTAATCGACGAAAATAGATTTTCTTTTCCAACAATTTTCCAAATCGATTATCTATTTTGCGCATTTGTTTTTTTTTTCTCTAAACTTTGACCGATTGGAAGCATTATATTGACAAATATTTGCACAAAAGATAATTTCAGTCACCACAAACATTTCTGAAACTTGTGACCTCGATTTATTTTTGGACATCATTGTCTCGATCCAATACCAAAACGAATTAGATTGAAATCAATACGAGCGAAAAATTTTTTCCACTAATTCTTGCAATAAATCTCATATTAATTGATGAAAAGTGGCAAATTCGTGGCTTTTCATTATTTCAATTTTCAAGAATTGTAAATTTTTTATCAAATCATCTGTGTTTTGTTTTCACAAAATTCTAAACATTTTTTTTCCAAGATTCCATAACTTAAGGTACTCGCTGAAAATAAAGCTGAGTCACGCTGCAATTGATTTTTTTTGTTGCAAATTGAATAATGTTGAATTTTTTTGCCAATTGTCCTAGAAAGCTGACCTGTAAACGTGGCTGACCCGAATTTAAAATTAAAGTAATAAAAATATCAGATGCTCATCAGCTTCACACAGTGAATATCATATTAATCGTTGTTTCTCATTCGACGTTCGTTTTCTTATCGTTTTTCCGCAACCTCTCCATTTCTTCGCTTTTGTTTCGCGCGCACTGTCATTTTGTCATCAACTGAACAAATACGAAACTGTAACTTTTTTGTTGTGCCTTCGTATTCTTCCGCGGGGCGCGCGCGGCGCGCTCCTCTGTTTGTGAGATAGGCGTGTACTACAGGAAGGAGAAAGCAAGTTGTTCGTCTTCCAAACCGAAATCGACCGACAGACGATGAAGATGAAAAACCACAGAGTAGATTTAATTAAACGAAACCCATGGTTTCCTGAATATTTGCCTTTTACCTAGACTATTTCGTGTCAATCTCGTTTGCCTATCATCAACGAGAATCTTCTGACATGTTGAATCCACTTTATATGTGTCATTCGTCAAAATCATTCTCTAATTGTGCTTCTATTTTTTTTCTCATTCAATTTACACTAAACTCATTTTAATTAAAATGACGCATTTCCATTTCACTGACTAATTTTCAGTGAAAAAAATGGACTTCAAGACAATACCCATTGTTATTTATTGGGGTTTTCCTCCAGAATATTTGAATAAAGCGGCCAATTTCGTATCAATCGTCTTTCTTTTTCCTTATTTGGAATATCGTCGAAGGCAATAAAACGGCGAGTTGGCAAAACGCCGATATCATCGAGAGAATTGTTGAAGAAAGCGACAGTTTCGGGATGTCACGGCTACCGTTTGTTCTCATTCGTCGTCTCCGCATCCTCGAAACATCATTAACCCATTCTTCCCTTCATTTCCGCGGTTTGAATAGACATATTTCGACAATGCATATCTGTATATGTACATATGTATATTCCATTTTTGGTCTCATTCGTTTTCACCTCGTTTCGCTGTTTTTCCAATGTTCGCTTTTCTCCAATTGATTGCCTTTTAAAACTTTTCGTCTTTTTTATTGTCTAACGACGTTCGCGCTCGATTTCTATAGCATCTTTGCTCAATTTCTTCGGCTTTTGCTCTATTTCGTTTTCTATTTTCTTCTAGATCATTTTGAGCACAGGTTAAGCTCCAATGCAAGAAAAGAAATTTGCAATTCAGTAAAAATTAAAAATAATAATTTTCTTCTGTTTTTTTCAGCATTTAAATTTATCTCGTTTTTTTCTTTTTTAATTGACTCTATAAAAAAAGTTGAAATTGGGTTTTTTTTTTTCAAATTTCGCTTTTCAAAGATTTTCTCCCAAACCGTTTTCTCTAGTTTCCTCAGGTAAATGAAAAACGAAAGGATTCGATTTAAAAATCTTTGAAATTGATGATTTATTTCTCATTTTCAATTTTAAAATCATATTGTCTTTTAAATTATTATTTTTGTAAACCAACTAATTTTTATTTACTTAAGATTTCAGCTGTTTTCCACACATGAAATTTTCTTTTATTTTTTTTTGCAAAAACTCGATTTCTTTAGTTATTTTACACGTTTTCATCATTTAATCACGCTTTTTTTTTAAATTCCTTCGTTGATTTCCTTCTCTGCTAACTTTAACACCAGTTTTTTTCTATAGTTTGTTTACCCAACTCCACTCGTGTAGAATTACGCGATAAAAAAATATTGAACCATTCTTTATGCGTATTTGATGTGTATTTGTTTTATTGCGCAACATTTCAATTTCTATTACTTTTTTATTACAGAAATTCAATCGATAATTCGGCGCATATTGTAATGGAAGCCAAATAACAAAACAAGTGGCCTTGGCGAGTATTTCACACAAACACCTAAAAAAATACATTGTAAGTATCTCGAAAAATTGCCATTTTGGTTTATTTTTACCAAATTGATCTTTTGATTGACCACGTCGCAACAAGCGAACTTTTCGAACAACAGAAGTGAGAGATTTTGAGAAAAATTGTGAGATTTTGAGAAAAAAAAATCCAATATTCTGATAATATTTGTCAAAAATTTCAATTTTTAAGGCAGTAATGTCGTCTCGACACTTGTTGTCCGGCGGCAACAACACATTAAATTCTGAGCAAATTCGCGCCGAAATCACACGTTTTGAAAGTGTGCATCCAAGTATTTATCAGGTAAGATTGTTGAGCAAAAATAATTTATATTCATTTCGATGAATAAGAAAACAATATTCAAACGTATCAGTTTTTAAAATAGGATTTTTCGAAATTAAAAAAAAAAAACTAAGAAAAAAGCCGGTGATTGGCTACGATGGAGCGAGCTTGCAGTATTTTTTATTTTCAGTTTTTCATATTATTTTTGGTTCCTAGAAATTAAAAAAAAAAGAGTAAATTCAATTAGTACTAACCAACTGTTTGGAATAGGTGTTCATATATCAAATCTATTCAGATCTACGAGCTTCTCAATTGTCTTCCCGAAGGCTATGAGTCGTTGAGCCACCAGCTCCGCGATCAAATAGTGAATATCGAAGGTTAGTTCAACGCTTTTTTTGTTTCGTATTGTGTTTCGAAACCCATAACAAGATTGGGACATGCATACAAATTTGATTTCGTCGCTCGTTTTGCTACGGGGGTCCCCCCATCATCATTGACCGCATTTGGCATTTCGTTGAAGGGAATCGGGTGCTGCTGTGAAGCGCCGCGCACGATTCCGTGTCCCTAATAAGCACCTCGAGTATAATTACCGGGAGAAGGAAGATGTGTATAATCGCGCACTCGACCTGCTAGCTTGGCCGCGGGCGCCCCTCCTCCAAGAATACTCTGTCCCTATATACAGTCGAAATGGGCGGAGCCGAATGGATTGAAGACCGAGCGAATGCCAATTTTATTATTGCGTCTAGATCCAATTGCTTACTTTTCTTTCGTCTTCACCGCGTTTCGAAGAAGACGCAAAAAAAAACTTGCCAATTTCACAATTTTACGCTTTCACGCCACTTTGGAAACGCGAAATTGTAACACTTTGGGTGTTTTAATGAATCGAGGATCACCTCTCACCAGAATTTTCCAATCATTAACGCTTTTAATAGCCACCCATAAATCTTTGCAAAATGTTTCAAGTTGCCAAACAAAGTTTTTTTTGGTTTCATTCATTCTCTATTATATCATTGACGTCAATTCATTTAATGGAAAAAAACATTGGGCCGTCGACTTTTTGCCCATCCTTAAAAATGTTTTGTTTTCGAATTTCGAAATTAAAAATGCTTCCTAAAGCTCCTGTTATTATTGTTTTTCAATCTCTTCGTTGCCATCATTCGGTTTTCGATTCTTCGATTTTATTGTAATTGTGATCTATGAGGCTAATT